AAGAAAATGTTTTTTTTTTCGTTCTGTTTTTTCTTGTTGCTCATTGTAGATGCCAAACAAAGTTACACAAGAATAGTAAAAAAAATTGAACCGAAGTTCTCGTTGCCCTCAAGACTTCTTATAAAAGTGCACAATTTTTTATTTAAACGCTCTAGAATAATTTTTCTATGAATGATTTTACGCAATTTTTTCTGCTGTTGTTGTTCCTTTACAGTTTAGTATCATGAGTGCCAACGTACTTTTTTCTATTTTCTTGTCTTTCGCAGTCTTTTGACAAATACGGAGGGCATATAAATAAATAAAGAAAAAAACTTTCTTGAGACTGCATATTAAAATATTTCTTTTTGATTAATTTATATAGCTAGTATGGGAAGCAAAAGAATTTTTATAGGAATTTATTGTTTCGTGCATCTGTTTTCACCGAAGAAATCCTTCTCATATCTATTCCATTCTATTGGAATCACTTTATTTATTTCATTTAGTTATCTACTGGGTAATTGATAAGATATGTGATTAATTGAAATTATAAATCTCTTCTATTTTCAAAATAGTGCATGGAGTATATCCAAAATCATTTCCCAATAATGTCACAATTATTCATCAACCATCAAATATTTCATTATCAAACGTATCATCCTCTGGCAAAGATCGTAATAATTGTATGAATGATGGTAAATCATCAATTCAACTCCTTTCAAATTTAGTATTTCGTAGTGAAATAATAAACTATCTCGGTTTTATTCTTCGATCGAAATCAATATTTTATTGTTCAGTTCCAAAAGTAGCTACAAGAACTTTTCTTAAATTTATAACTTATCTTCATATACATGATGATTTAATCCCGTTACTTACACATAATTCAACATTAAGTAATTGGAATTTTCAACGAAAATTAAATCCGTTTGATTTTAATGATATCAATCAAATTCTTTCGTCTCCAATGAAAGTAAATCTTACGTTCACATACTGTGCAACTCATCTTTTGAACTTTCTAATATGACCAGAGCCAAGGTCAACTTTTTTCGATTGACAATGAGAAGTAAACCATGCAGCTATCTGTCAAATAATAAACATCATGCACATTTTTATTTACATTTTCAAGACAATTCTGTTTCTAGTAAAGTCATACAACAAACAGTATATATATATAATAGGCACAGAGCTATAAAGATAGAAATTGTACATTTGTGCTTAACCATGATTCATATATCCTACACTGAAAACAAAAAAGGTATTTTACCGAACTTAAAAGGGTTTCGAAATTTGAAACGAATTCTGAACCGTTTTTCGATGCTGTATCAAACTTTGAACGTTTCGTAAAGTCTCACGAAATCCCTTGAATTTTGGTAAAAATCTGAAAAAGGTTTCGTGAGANATACTTTACTAAACGTTCAAAGTTTTATACAGCATCGAAAAACGGTTCAGAATTCGTTTCAAATTTCGAAACCCTTTTAAGTTCGGTAAAATACCTTTTTTGTTTTCAGTGTACAAGTATATATGCAAAGTTCTATAAGTTTGGTCGACAACAATTGAAAGTTTTTATTTTTTTTCTATTGACTTTTAACATGCTTATCAATAAATGTACTCGTCCTATCTATTGGTCTAAGATTATTGATTAGACAATGATTATGGGTATGGCATGATAGAAATGACAATTAGACCGTATTTTGCTATAGCAATATCTATCAACTTATTTTTCGATTTGTGCCATATGAAATATTTGTGCATTTAGCTATATATCATAATTAGATATAAGCTATTTAAAATAATCTAGAGATACCTATAAGAACTAATGTGAGAGAAAATAAGGCAACCATCAGCTAAATTCAAATCTTTATGATCTACTTATGTAACATGTGAATAATATTATGAATCCCAGTAAGCATTTTCTTTTCTCCTCGGAAAATACTCACAGCAGCTCTCATTCTTTATTGCAAAGTGTTAAAGAGTAAAAATAGAAAGAGAATAACAAATAAATCATTTTTTCTTCTTCTGTGAAACAGTTTTGCTATACTTCGGTGCAAATTGTTCAGTGAAATATGTTACCATATCTTACTATTAACAATTTACAGCAAAATATTAATTAAAATTAAGTTTTTTTTTGCATTTGTTTCTATTCATATGAAAATTTCAATTGAAATCCATAAATTTTATTTTAAACGACATGCTTTATTAAAAAAATACAAAGAATTGTTTATCTTCATGAAAAATTTCGTCAAAAAAACAAAAGCTTTTCTTATTTTTCATTTTACATTGATTAACTATATTGCATTGAACTGATAAATAAGTCTATTGAGAGAATTTTCGTATTCTTAAGTTCAATAATAATCATAAAAGAAAATTTTAGAATAGCTCGCAACCATCTACATTCGATTCGGTTTCAATTCTTAAATTATTATCATCGCGTCTTACGAATTTCAATAACATAAATGTCACTGATTTTGATATATGGTCAATATATCAGCGGAAAAATTTTCCTCTTACTCGTCCTCAGACTTTATCCGATGTATCATTACTGTTCTCATCGAATTTTACACGTGCTATTTTTGTTCGCCATCCATTAGAGCGTTTAGCATCAGCTTATGTTGATAAAATAGCGTCGCTTACGAATGAACCATTTTCATTATATGATACAATACGTCGAGAAATTTGCCGAAAATATTCTTCATTGTATCTGACAGGTACGCAACGTAACTATTATATTTATCATACACAAATAGCGAAAAATGACACAGAACCATGTCATAACGTAGTTCCAAAATTTGAGCATTTTATTGATTATATTATGTCTAATTCAATAATAGATGATGTTCATTGGTATCCTTATTCAAAGTTATGTTATGCATGTTTATTTAAATATAATTTTATTGGAAAATACGAAACAATCGAGCAAGATCTTGCAAGATTATTATCGAAATTTGGATTAGAATCAAAACATTGGAATAATGAAAACTACTTCAGAACTGGAAAAACAAAGGAATATTATAAGTCGATTTATGCAAATTTAAATGATCAATTACTTTGTAATTTGAAAAATGTCTATGAAGATGACTTTACATTATTTGATTATAAAATGGAAGACTATTTGACTAATAAAAATCATATTTCATGTTCTCCTGCACATAAAAGACAACTGACAGACAGCATATATAAAAATTGAATTTTTTCTTTGTGCCATTTTATAATTCATATTGGTAATAAATTGATTTGGGTGATTTTAATCAAGCATAATCGATTTTCTTCTTGATGATAAAGATTAACAGGCTCAAATTAGAACTATCTGAAAAAAAATTCACATTTTTTGGATATTTCTATTTATTGTTACGCTCGAAAGCTCTTACACTGAGATAAATATAAAGATTAACAGTACAGCATTGAATAGTCTGAAACAGCATATTTAGTTGTTCACCTTCCTCACAACGCGCTATCAAAGTACTTGTTAACCTGTTTTACGAGGATAAAAAACAGAACGAAAAGAAAAAAAAAGAAAGCTGATCAACACAGCTACTCCGGAGCTCACTTATAGGCTTTAGGCTCACTGAGCTGATGCAAAAATAGGTTACGTGAAATCTTTCTTAAAAATCTGCCTTATTTTTATGATCTATATTTAGGGTGTTATCTATTTGCTTTATCTTTAACAGTGGTCTAATCTAGTTGCTAATGTCTGTAATGATGAAGAGATACATTGAAATTGAAACCTAATTATAATTACATATAATTAGCGAACAAAGAGTTAAATTACACAGGTATGCAATGGCGAAGACAGAGATTAATTATTAATATTTAATATCTGTAATGGGGAAGGGATTTAGCTATCAAAAACTCACTCATAAAAACTGACCCTCACAATATTCTTCGAAAATAATTATACGCAAGTTCCACAAAATGAGTTAGAGAAAAGAAGCTGAAGAAAATCTGGCATCGCAGTCGGCTTTTATTTCCTATATTTTCAAATTAATCCTATAATAGACTATGCTTTTAACTTTTTTGCTATATTCTTATATTTTTGAAAAATTGAAGATTTTTGTGAAAAGAGTCACATATTTTTCAAATAAGCTTCTAATATGTTGTCTTTATATTATTGTTGTCGTTCATAACATCACATAGATGTGGGTGACAATATATATGCGATGATGCTTACTTTCTCTTACGTTATTTCATCAAGATGATGTATATACACTGCATTTATTGTCTTTCTATTAGCCCCTGCACGGTACTCCAAAATCCGACTCCGTAGGACTCTATTTTCTATATATTTAAAAAAAGGTTGTCTCATAAGACAGATGTGTGAATATACTTTTTGGGAAATATAGTCAACGCTTTTATTCTTCATTTGTCACCATCCTTCCTTCATCGCTCTGGATTTCAGCTGTTATTGAAAAATAATTTTAAAAAATCGTTCACTTGATTTCACTGATTTAATGAATCATCTTTGTATATCAGTCGCAAAATATACCGAGTTCAATCAGACTGGTTGAGTAAAATAGATGTTGAAGGTATTAATGTAATTAAATTTTTTTTATTATGCTCGCGAATGTAACACTCAGAAGTGCTTACATAAAAAGAAGAGAAATATAGATGTATAAGCGAACCCAGGTCGATCAAAACGGAACTCCGTTACGGTCCGTAAAACTGATTCCAGTAAACGGACCGTGTCGTTCGACCTGGGAACAGCTGCATCATTTAAAGCAGCACTTTACACTTTGTGTCAACAATATATTATGCTGCGTACCAATTTTTGCTTGTAAGGATAATCGGAGAGTAAATAAATGAAAACTCAAATAAAAAAAGTATAGAAGAGAAGAGAGAGAGAGAGAGAAGTACTAATGATAAACGGCAGCGAAGAAACGTGAGTACAGCGAACAGCTAGAAAAAAGAAGAACAAACTAAAAGAAACGAACGACAGAGAAGAAAAAAATAAACAAAGGAAGAGAGAATGAAAACAGAATCAAGGTTAAACTACTAAAAGGAAGAAGACAAAAAAAAGAAGAAAATTGCTTAAAGCATTACATTTATGCATCTTTCTGTGATATTCATTCGCATCAACAAAAGCCAACCACGCTAAAAGGAACGATTCGTGTCAATCTTTCAATTGTAGCACACGATGTGTGCAAAAGAAATGACCAAACTGATCGTTTTTTCTTTTACAAAAATTATCCCAGCCAAATATATCTTTATAGAAAGCTGAAGAACCAAGATTAGTTATGAACATGGTTTTCAATCTGCGTTGAATATATTTTTTAACGTAAAATTGTAAAGGCTGTTCACAAGTGATTTTCAACAGATTATGCGCAGAAACGAAGGAACAACAATGCACCAACCGAAAACCTACACGGAATTTTTGTTCTAATACATGTTGTAGAGATTCTGGAAGGAGAGGAAAAAGCGGGAATAGCCACGCGAAATGCGGAAAGGTGTACGCGAAGAAACATTGACGAAGCGCTTTACATGACATTTTGCGACCAAACTTTATCCATTTCAGTTTTACTAGCGATCTTTGAATATTTCCTATGGTTTTATCGACTGTTGGTTTCAATGAAAGCTTATCCGTCCAAGTAAATCCTAGATATTTGAATTCTTTGACTAACTCGATTTTGTTACCGTCTATTGTTACGTCTACGATCGGCCTTTTAACTTTTGTATGAAATAATTGTACTACAGTTTTAGAAACATTTAACGGCTGTTTCCACTTTTTTGAGTACATAAAAACCTGATTACAAACTCTTGTACCTTCTTTTTCTAAGTAGTCAATCATCGAGCCTAATTTTTTTATTATTGGAGATTTAATTAATACACACAGGCAAGAGGGGAAAAGCGGATTCTGTCTATCCGGGATGCGGTGGCAATCCATGCGATCCGTACGATACGCACGATACATTGCAGATACCGAGGATACGAGTTTGTTCCATCGAAAAATTCACAATATATAGGATAGATGTAATACGAGTACGATGAATCAATGTTGGTGAAAAAGTTCATTCGATTTCAAAGAGTTTTTAATGTTTTTTTGTCATTTATTTCTGGTATAAGCGCATTTTTTCATAGAGTGAAATGGATTTAATCTAAGAGAAATAACAATTCTATTTGTACAGTGCCAGCTAAATCTGCTTGTTTAACATTGCTTCAATCTGTGAAAAATATTTGACCGAGTCAATAGGTATATAGATCGTCTCCCACAAGTAAAGACTGAATTTGTTTTCAATCGAATTTGTTTGACTTTGCTCACTTTCATATATGCATAGGAAACTAATTTTAAGGATGACGGTACAAAATTTTTGAAAAAATATCATTCCGTTATTAAGGTGTTTAAATTTTTTGAGAACCTAATTCCGAAAAGCTACTCTTTTTGTGATTATGTATGTCTACATGCATTTTTCAACAACAGTACATTCATTTAACTTGAAATGTTTAACATGAATGCATTACAAGTTGATCCACCTATCGTGTATAAATAAGGTCAGATGAATCAAATTTGAATAAATTGATCATTACTGTCAGTTAAACAATGTAATGCTCACTTTTAGACTTTATTTGGATACATATATCTCATAAATTTATCATGTTACACAGAGCTGAAATTATATTCATAAAAACATCTTGTTGAATAATTTCTTGAGCAGAAATCTTGGCTCTTTAGATAGCTTCTATGGCCAATGAGACTGCTCAAAAGAATCAGGATTTTGATCCAAGACATGGTTTGAAAGGATCTGATCACCTAGGATGTTTGATCAGCTGAAGTCTGGTTAATAAAGTTTTAAAAGGACCCAGGTCGAAGCAACCGGCCCGGGAAACGGCCGGTTCCCGCGCATTCCCGCGATTTCACGGAAGCAGTATTCCGGATCGGAAAATCTACGGATTTTTCCTGTAAATTCCGCCAAGTTCCTGTTGGTGCCCGCCAGAAATCACTGGGAAAATCCGGAAAAATCCGTCCCGGAATCCTGCTTCCAGGGTCCGATGATATCCGGTGTTTTCCTGCACGTTCCGGTGCGTTTCCAGTATGTTTCTGACCGGTTCCAATGAAATCCGCTCATTTCCGGAGGCCGGAAACATCGTCGTGGGGAGTTTAGAATAGGATAAAATGACCCTATCCCTTTCTGTTTCATCGGATGACATGGGAATTTTCTTTTCTCATCGGATATTTTTTCTTGTTTTCTAAAAAATCCAAGTTTTTTCTGTTGAGATATTTTCAGCAAGCAGTTTATAGAAACGGTGATTAATAAAATGTATTACACCTTCGTTGTTCGTCTTTTTTCTTCAAAACATATATGTTCGTTGCTAATTATTTTCTACTTTTTATCATAGGAAATTTTTAAACCTTTTTTTTAGAAGTTCAAATAATGATATCCACAACTGTTTTTTTGTGTAGTTCGATATATTTTATAAGCACTTATATTTTTAACATTCTACTACACAGCTATGATTTTATGCATCAGAGACTTGGCTATAAAGAATCATCAGTTTAAATGAATGTTGAACAGAAATATTTTATTAAGCTTCGATTGAAAACGAGCTAATGCATATACAGGAGATTCTGGTGGATTATACATAGATCATAAAGTAATTGATTTCAAAAAATTCTCAAAGATCTAAAGAAATCAACTAAAATACACCAGTATAGTAAAACAAAAGTCCAGTGGTTCTTAACACTAGAAAACTATCAAAAATCGCAAGAAACAAATAGTCCGTGATAGAAAGATGCACTGGAGAAGGAAATCTATTACTTTCTATTGTTTAAACATATGAAAATGAAATCCTCTAATAGAAAAAAAAATAGATTAAAAATGACTACTGAATTGATTAAACTCAGATTGTAAGGATGGCGATGAATTCGCTTATGTATTTATGAGGATTTGCCAAGATTCTAATACTCTAGATTTGCAGTTTGATTCTTCTCGAAATCAATACGATAAATGTGATTAGTATAATGATTTGACGTTCAATAAATAGGTTCCTACATGCACGGATAGAAGAAACTCAGATCATTAAACAAAAAGATCGTAGAAATCGATTCTAGATTTGAAACAAATATTTTTATTAGAAGAGTTGTCTCATGGAACATATTTTCCCTCAAATTATGAGCGCTGATTTTAAAATATGAACTGAACATTATAAAGCAATGCTAAAATTGACCTGGCATCTTGTAGACTGATCCTTCGAACCTTATTCAAGGATCCTCAACAGTAACTGATTTTCTGTAACAAAATATTCTCCATTTCATTCAAAAATTCATAGAAAAGCTGCATCACGTGAAATAAATATTATCCACAGAGTCTTTGGGAGAATCTATAGAAGGTTATATACTAATTTCTACTGAATAGTTTTTATTTCACTTTATGAAAGTTTTCTATTCATTTTCAAGTGAAGTCGAGTATATTTTCAGCGGAAAAAGGATCACTTGTGAGTATCTTACAATAAGTCATCCAAATATATTCTAGAAGATCCCATGTTAATTCTTGCAGAACTTTATGGTATTTATTATGTCCCTCAAAATCACACCAATCGAGCTTCTATTGATAAAGTATTTTATGAAATCTGTCCTTAGCAGTATAGTGTTTTCAAGTATTTAGAGCATTATCTTTTGTCACAAAAGCTACTCTATGAAATTCTACTACAGTCAAAATGTCAGCTTTCTAGCACGATTTCTTCATGGAATATCTATATTTATATAGTATAGCAAAAATGATCATTTAGCTGTGCATCTCTGCATATTGATGAAGTTATTTTTACGATTATTATATGAAGTTAAGGCATGTAAACGCTGAGCAGCTCAAGCAAAACGGATCTGTTTTCGCTGGAATATGTCTAGAATAAAATACCAAATAAATGTACTCTCTCGTGGATAGCGCTCTCGGCAATATTTACGTACTTTGGAAACTGAGCAGTATGTTTGTCAACAATTTACGTCAATAGTCTTAAACCTTTATTTCCACTACATATTTCAACATAAAAAAAACTGTAACAACCTTGATTGAAGACACATCCAGCGGTGTTTGCATTAATATTGACTTATACAACCGGTATAAATGAAAGTCTAACTGTGATACTCAGTAGTTTTGACATCGCCGTTTTTATCCAAGAAAACAAATTCAATTCGTGAATACGTCATTTCACTTTCTGATCCTTTCTATTTTCATGATACCCTCGTATCCGGGATATGGTGGCGATTCATACGATCTCACAATCCCGAGATCCACTTTTTTCCCCTTACACCCAGGTCATCTGCAAATAAATGACATGAATGAGCTCCTAGATAATTTCTCAGGCCTGAGTGAATCACTACAAATAAATACGAACTAAAAGTATTACACTGCGGCAGTCTTATATTTATATTAAATATTTTCGAAGTTATTTCATCATATTCTACGTAAACTTTTCTATCTTTTAACCAACTATTAGTCATTTTCAATAAGCTGAGAGGCATACCCATTTTTTTCTAGTTTACAAAAGAGAGTAGCATGCTATACACGACCATAAGCCTGTTGGTAATCAACATATAGGGCAAGAGTCGGAATATTAGCTGCCATGTTGTTTTTCACTTCCTGATATATCGAAAGTACTCGAGTTCGTAGAAGACCTCTTGGGCGGAAACCAGATTGTTCTGGCGGTACTAAACGATCTGTTTCAGCCCAATGTCTAATTCTTAGTAAGAGCACTTTTTCGAACAGCTTTGAATGTGTAGCTAACAAAGAAATTGGACGAGTTTGCTCACACTTTGGGATACCCGATTTCAACTTATTTAGAGTAATGATTTTTGAAATTTTCCAGTCATCTGGATAACGACACTCGTTTAGCCATGTATTGAAGCAGTTAGCTAAGCATTCAATGTAACTTGGAGGAAATTTTTTAACTATAAAGTTTGACACGGAGTCAAAGCCAGCTGATTTCTTAGACTTTAAGGTTTTAATTATACGAGTAATTTCAGCAGTGCTAGTTTTTTCTACGCTATCATTCAACATTGATAATTTAACGGATGCGCCAGGTGAAATGAGCCTCTCCGTATTTTAGCGATGTTGTTTTTAATTTTCATCCGATTGGGCTATTTTTTTAAAAGATAAATTCCCCATCTCAAGTTCCACTGAGTAAAGTTGTGTAAAAATAGAAATACTGATGATATTTGACAATAAATTACTGATACATCGTTGTCAATGCTATTATTGAGTGGTGATGGATGATCAAGAATGAAACGTGTTGATGCATTTTGATGACTGATTAATATGGACATTTGATTGAGAGAAGATTAAATGCTGGGATCTGTCAGTTACTACGTCAATCACAACTTGAGTTGTGAATACGATGTCACCTTTCCAACGTATGTTAATAATGATTCAGGGTTATTTTCTTGAATATTTTGAAATATAATCCAACCGATCATTTTAATCGGATAAATATAATGAACTAGAAAAAAAGTAATTCAATCAAATTCATAGAATGATAAGCGAGATGTGATCATATCATAGGAAGTTTACGTTATTCTATATTTTTCGGGGTTCGATTCGTTTTGTATTTTCTATTCGTTTTCTTTATCTATCGTCTCTTTTGAAATAACGAATGAGTAGAACCAGTAATCATTCCAAATAGTGACTTACTAGTAAAATGATTGAATCTGTAGATACTATTTAGAATAAATGCATTGGATTCAAGGTGTTGACAAAACTCGTACAAGAGAAGGAATAATGTAAAACCTTTCCTCTAGAATCATCGAGAAAATTCTACGATTTTTTATCGAAATTTTCACTGCAATCCATACCGCTTCTTACATGATAAAGGCATCAGTCTAGTCAGATTTGAATATTAATCAATATATTATTAATAGTTTTTGTCACTATTTTTTTCCAAAACACTCGTATAAATTAACCAATATTAAAAAATATTTCGTTCGTATATTCTTCTGACGTTATTCGAGTCATCTATCTAATGCAATTATGACTACATCGATCATTGCCTAATTTGTATGTGTCTATTCCAGATTAATTAATATATGACAAATATCTTTCGATAATAAAAATCGTCGAGTATTTTTCCGATGAAATTTCCTGCAATGTACCAAGAAAACATTTTCAGTCAACCTTGATAGTACTACATGAAAATTATCATCTACGAGCCATGGTAATTCTTGGTTCTAAATCATGAAATGCTTTGTTTCAATTAAGAATGAAACACACGACACATCCTATTTAAGAATATTGAAGATCCAGGTAAACAACTCGAGTATCACATAAGAAAAATACTGCTATCATTATTTTTCATATTGGGTTGCCTAAATTTTTACCATCGGCTGCTGTTCAAATTAAAATGAATTCTGATAAGAAAAACAGATCGTATCAATTATTACCTAAATTTGGATTGCTCGACTATCGATTCTATTGATCGAATTAAAATGTCACAACATACACTTGGTCATAATACTAATATGTTTTTGTTTAGCATAGTCCTAGCTAAATATCTAACAAATCGTTACACGAGCTGATCTTTTGAGATGAACAGCGTCGTTTTTTTTAAAAAACAAGACAATCTATTATTTATTTGGACAAAATTTAAAAAAATAGCCTGTTATTGTTCCTGTTCGTTTTCTTAAACCGAACTATATTTACAATAAAAGAAAATTTAAAAAAAACGGAATTCGTCGTATTTCTTCATGAACTAGTCGGAGCTTCTTTATTATGTCTTGTCGAATGAGAAAATGCTGATGCTGATTGATTGTTCATAAGAAATTCTAATGTATCAGCCGTAAACAATTGTTTAAAATTTGGTTCTCGTGTTAGAATGCTAACTAAACCTTCGTCGATTTTTTCTCCTTCTTCTATATATTGTGTTTCTTGTTGTTTTAAATAATTTTTATACCCATAGTTTATTTCGAATGGCGCACTATCATAATCCTCAAGTGTACCACCTTCAATCGCGATGCGAACATTGGCTAGAAATTCTTTTTCATCTGTTGCAATATTTGATGTCAATGGATCATCGGGATTTGGCGAATAAAAAAGAAACATCAGACCTTGTAAAAGATCTTCAAATGTTGAATTAGCTCCACCGTCCCAATCATTTAAAGTGGATACACATACATTATTACAACAGTTTCCATATGTTGTATCAATGTTTGGATGATATATACGTGTTAAACAGGACACAATTGGCTGAGCATCAGGATAGTCACCGTCGGGACAAACTTCAATACGAAAGATAAATGAACCATTAGCATACGGACCATCACGGGGTGTTATTTCAATATAGAATGCTTGTGATGGAGTAGAATCATTGGAATCTGATGAAGAATCAGATGAAATAGAAGCACGCAATAATGACGGAGAATTATTGAAAATATTTTCGTAGCTCGCACGAGCTTGACCACTGGATAATGAATCTATTTGACGAGATAATTGACGGAAATCTTTTTCAAATCGAGCCATTGCTAGATCTGAAATAATATTTGAAAGAAAATTACCTACTTGTGATAAAATGAAATCGGTCGTTCTAAATTCTTTCTAGTGGCGATAAGGATCGTATATCGTGCAGATTAAGGATGCAACATTTATCGACTGAAAGGAAACATTTTAAAAAATAATTTCTTTTCTCTCTATATTGCTCATTTATCAGAACATTGATTACTTTCTCGCTCTACTCGATGTTTGACGCAATAGTGAATAGATTCTCACGACGTATACATATGATTTTAACTTTTAACATCAGTGATCGAACTCAACACAGTATGTCAAACTACGGTCTCATTGATAGATTAAATAGAAAAAATCAAAGGAAAAAGAGCTTTGAATTTATCAATTCTAGTTTACATTGCGTCACACGACTTTAACCGTGTTTGCATCAGGTGTTGAGTCACATACGAATATATGAGTGTTTTTTCTCCGGCTGATAGGGGATCATAAGTTGTTTCTGTCTCGTCGTATTTATTTGCATCGCCATTTTGACAATGTCTTGGACTTCATCTCATATAGTTCGCATGTAATTACTGTACGATTGAAAATGACTCGTATTTTTACCATCGTAAAAATATAAATGGAAAATGTTAAATGAGAAAAAAACCTCTTTTTCTCCACGTATGACTCAGGACACCTTCGTCATCAATAAAAAATTCGCGCCACCAAATGAATCATTGACAACAGACAAAGAAACAAGTACATGACAAATATTTTTATATATGAAGTTGAAAGTTAATTTTTTTATCTCAATTTTCAAGACTTTTAGCTTTCGTTCCCGTCTTAAATTTTCACGAGGATCTTATCAATGCGATTTTCATCAATTAAGAATCGTTAAAAGTCCATAGAAAAATCTGTTTCTTTTCAGTAAAAAGAAACAGCAGCACTCACCTGATTTTTTTGTATTAATGTTTGCCTCTTATTCCTTTTTCTGTGTCGTGATTGCTATAGACGACTGTTGTGGAAAAAAAAGTTCATGAAACCAGTGTCGAACTATTTGCAGCAAGAACAATATGCATTTTATTTATGCGTTTTCGTTAATATTGAGTCATGCATTTCTTCACTTGTTGCCAACCTAATATGGTGAAGAAAAAGAATTTCATAATCTTACACGAAGCATGATGCAATAACATTTTGCTTCTGTTAGTGTTTCTTTTCCTTTTGTATTTCTATTGTAAAAGAGAAAAAGAATAAAATGTGGCACTAGTTTAAACGAGTATTATTCTAAAAATAGCAAGCATCTATGGAAATATTAAAGTAAGAGTCTTAAGTAAAAGCTTTAAAATGTTTGATTCAATTATTATTTGAATCTTGTTCTTTATCAAATACTAAACATTGAATTCGACATATGAGAATAGTATCACAAGACAAAACACATCTTTCAATAGTAGTTTTTATGGACAGTTCTATTGAAATAAGCAAAAGGCTATTAGTAACTATTTGAAAAAGAATACTCAGATCAGTCACTGTTGGTACGATGAAGAACATAGACGAAGTCATATCGAAGCGTATGGTATCTGGAAAAAAGTTTGTACGTTTATCTTTGTTCAATATATTATCAACCTTTTAACATTTGAATTCATTTGTGTGAGAGAATTGCTATTGATAAATAAAAAGTTATGATATTTATCTGCATACGATTCATTGCTATCTCTTGGTAGGTTTATTAAAACAAGATGGAACTAACTAAAAACATGTCTGAATCATTATTCTTATTACTATAGTCAGTCATAGAAAACTATAAAACAGTTAGATTCATTAAAATGAAAATATTTATCTTCGTTTACAAGTCATTATGAAAGCTCGTTGGTGCAACACGTTTCAGACAAAATTGTAGAATTTACATCTTTAAATTTCGTTTTATCATACTAATGCAAAAGATCAGAAAAAACAATGTCTTGAACATGACTATTTTGAAATGAATTTATTTTGATTGTAGATTTTGATTTGTTATTTATCTAGTTATTTTCATTGTACTTTATTTCTATTTTCGTTAATCTCTAATCTTCTTATTTTTATTCAAACGATCGAATTCACCAAAAAATAGGTCTATTGTACATTTGTGATATTCGAACTAGATCTCAATATCTCATTATTGATTTTGACAGTCAAGTAAAAGGCAGATATTTAGTATTATTCAAAACAGAAAAGAACTTACGTATTTCAGCTGTTAGACTTGCTATGAATGCTTCGAAATCTGCTTTAAAAAATGAACTTTCTTACCAATATTGTTCAGCGTTTTTGTTTATACGTGCTGCCGAATAACTGAGAAAATAATGAGTTTAGTATATTGTTGCTTGTTAAATCTACTCGTTGGTAATTAGTTCAAATTTCTATGACCGCGAGTAACAATAAAGTCATCGATCTATACTTAAAGTGTCAAGATTTAACCAACGATTCTTAGCGAAGCGTTTAGTCTTGTAACTTCAATTCACTGTAGTTTTTACGGCATCTATCCACTCAGCAAATATCATATTAGCAAAAGAATAGGATTATTTTTTAAATACTATCTGTAGTTTTTAGCTAGTAAATAGTCAACATTTTTATAAAATACTCTTACTACTACATCAGGAGACAAAATAAATATACTTTCTTCCTGCAAGAAAAGAAAACATTCATGTAAAGCCATTATAGTTCTTGATTTGAATACGCATTAGTGGAGCTGACTGTTCTATAATAAATTTCCAAGGGAATATTATTGCAAATATTGTCGAAACACTTGATGATATCATCGATGTATGAAATCTTAAGAAGAAGGTAAATGATATGGGCACAAATATTAAAAAACTACGATGAAGATATGTGCAAGAAGTCACATAAACGTTGACATAAACTATATCTGTTTGAATTCTACGCGGATGAGTTTCTTGGTTTTTAAACTTATGAATATCTCAGTTTTATGTTTTGATATATGACGACAAAATGTTTTGCAGCTAAGATAGGACTTTACATCAATATAGGAATGATATAGATAATATTAAGCAAAATTTCATGGACAACTTAGATGTTAAAGATATCATTAAAGTTTATCTTACTTTTTCGATGTTCTTCTTTAATTATTTTTCACTCTCAGCGAGTACATGAACATATGTAACAATGCATGATATATGAAAATAATGATTAAGTATTTATTTTAAAATACAGTTTTATGTATAGTGTATAAAAATAAAATTAACAGCGTATGCAGTAAATGTTGGACAAATGAATTTGCCTTACAAATGCGCATTTATCAAAATACGATAGATAAATAACACTGCAAAACTAGCTTAGAGAATAATCAGCTTTTGATTCAAGTAAAAAGTCTACATGAAATTCTCCAATATACTAAGTAGGAAATTAATTCTTTTGCTATTCTCTAATGATGATAATCGTTCCTGACATTATGGTCTCGAAAGTTAATGAAGAAGTATCATCAAATTTCACTGTCTTACTGTTTTTATGTGTATTAGTTTTCATAGTTGTAGGCTTTGTTTGATATCCGGCGCTATTAGGCGTCGAGAGGGCAGGAGTAGGATTACGAATAATAGAAGTTAAAGTATGTGACGTTTTTTCTTCATACTTTGATTCGGCGGAATGAGGATTTTTCGTCTCTTTTCTAAGATCAATAGTTAATTCAGGAAAACTATTTTTTTCATTGATAGTAGCAAGAAACATAGGTATCTGCTTCAATTCTTGTAAGATAATAGACCATTTCTGTATATCATTTTTGCTAAATAGTTCTGAGTTATGACGTGCGTCACGTAATTGTGGTGTCAACTTATTCAATTTGTTTTCTGTTTCAATTACGTGCTTGTCTAAAGCATTAATAAGTGCTCGACGAACAAGGCATGCTGTATACCGAACACGTTCTATAGTTTTTTGCTCCCATGTATCAATGACAGACATTGATGGATGATATTTTGGTGTTGATTTCTGTGTTAAAATATCTTGCATTAAATCATCATGATCAACAGTTAACCAATCAAGTTGTTCGTCAAGAATTCTTTGTTGGTCGTCAGTATTTTGCTGATAATGTGTTTTATCATTACTATTGGATTCAACACTAATCGTTGATGAAGACAAATCCATAGGATACACAAATATGAGTGATCAAATGGTAGCTGAAATGAAAAATGAAACAACTCAAGAAATTCGGGGCATATACTACTTTAAAAAAGGCGATTATTTATTATTACAAACTGTGTAATAAAATGCTTAAAACAAAATCAATATGTATAGTTATTTAAAGAACAAAGATTGATATTCAATATTCCAGTGTTTTTTCCTTGTTCTATAGATTATTTCGAAAAAAACGAACAGAAAAGATCGTTTTACACATGGTACCTATCAGTTGACCTTCCCATGATGTCGATTTCTTCGAGTGAAAGAAATGAATTATCATATATAGTGCTACAAATATATACGAAAATTCTTAATCATACTATTTACCAATAATAAAGGGCATACAATAAATTTATGAGTAGAAGTTTACACAATATATTTTCCTCTTATAATTCTCTGTTTAATATGGGATATGAACTTAAGAACAAATAATATTATTTCACAGTTCTATTTCGTCTTATGAGAATCACAGACTATAAAGAAAAAATGTCAATATTTTTAGCAGAAAAATTATAAAAAAATATACTAACGATAAATTTTGAGATGTATTGTCGCAAATGATTTTTATTTTTAGAATGAAAAATATTATAGACTTCTCTTGGGCTCAAAAAACACGAACATTCAACGCATTTATAGTCTATAGCAAAAGGATGCAGAGATATTTACATGCTACTTCCTACAGTCGACACCTTTGCTTTGGCTCTTTCTTTTCTATCGTTCTTACCATACATTTAAGTTTAAGGCATGTGCTCGTGTCATTAAGAGAGAATGCTATTTATACAATAAATGCACGTGCTCTAAACAAAAAATGGTGAGGCGTCAAGTATGACTCATATTCTTTTTTATTGTTGTAAAAGATGCTCTATCCTCTTTCTTAAAATTCTTATGCAAATATTGTATATGAGATTTTTGCTTTTTGGATCCTTTCTGCTATTCTTCTAGGGATTAAAAAAAAACTAAGAGTATATTGACTATGTTATGTTTTTATTATTTTATCCATAGGTTTTATGCCCACGAGGAACCGAAACTGAACTTTTCAAACTTAAAAGAAAAAAAGAGCATCGGGGTAACTTTATCAATCTATCATGAGTCTCTTGACAGAGTATCCGTTAACATCTCTAATATTGAAAATGTTTTATTAACCCTTAAGAGCCGGAGGGGGGGGGGGGGGGGGGGGGGGGGGGGGGGGGGGGGGGGGGGGGGGGGGGGGGGGGGGGGGGGNTTGACAGAGTATCCGTTAACATCTCTAAAATTGAAAATGTTTTAATAACCCTTAAGAGCCGGCTGCCCCCCCCCCCTCCTTCCAAGGCACATAGGAAAACTTCAACAAACTCGACTATAAGAGTTTTTGTGCAAAACCTAACATTTTTCTGAACTAGCATGACGTTTGTGAGCATGAAGAGATAAAAATATAATTATCAAGTGACTCATAGGCCGAACAAGGAAGCTGTGAAGACTCATGACTTTTTAAAAATATCATGGAGCGTCTTTTATTCATAGAATCGATGTGTGACTTTGGCTTTTTAAGCAATATTGTTAAATATAGTGTTAATATATCTCATGAAGCCACTCTGTAAATTATAAATTATTCCACTAAGCCAGCATACCATAATAATCAAAGTAGTCCGCGTATGAGATATTTCTCTTCACGAAAAAATCAAACCATAGGAATTTCAACTTGAAGTTTCGCTCATATATAGCTGATATGCTATTTAAATGGCCCTGAAATTTTCAGCAGCAACTGTTATTTACTTCTGGAGATATAGCATGTTGAAGATAAGTCGAATTTTGTGAGTTTTTTTTGCAAAATTTTGTTGAGGCCTTTCTGCATCCAACATCTCAACAATAAAGCATCCGTTTTTACTGAAAATTACAGGGCTATTTAAGGATCATATAGACTGATTATGTGGAGAATTTCAGATCGAAATTACATTCTTACAGGTTTTTACAAGGTTCAATATTTCGACTAAAGGTCGCTGTGTAACTCGAGAAGAAGAAGAATGCAATCCGTTTTAGCTATAGTATGAAGATATTGAGGGTCCATCAACTCCATTTTTATGATTCCCTTCCTAATGTCGCAAGAAACAAGCCCTTTGGCTTTTAAGGGTTAATAAAAACAACCTAAGAATAAGGATAACTTCTGGAGACAACTGCTGCTTTTCTTTTGTAGATGGTGATCGTTCACTCTTGAATCTTTAATAAATTTAATGTTTAGGCTGAGCTTCTCAGTCAGCTCATTCGATTTGCATTTTTATTATCTTCGCCATACCGTACGATAAAAGCATAGTTACGAAAAAAAAAACCTTTTTTACCGTTCTGCTTATTGGATGCCATCACTGATCATACTTATTATTTGGTGGTTTTTGCAAAATCTATCGTTCCATTTGCGTATCCAATTACATGTGACAAGAAAATTTTACAGTTGACCATAGTATATTATGTCAGTTAGCATATCCTGCCTATGTTACTATTTCAATCTATTCATTGAGAGGATTAAACAGGCAGCGTGGCCGAGCGGTCTAAGGCGCCGGTTTAAGGCACCGGTCCGAAAGGGCGTGAGTTCGAATCTCACCGCTGTCACTATTTTTTGCATATTTGTAAACCGTCGAATGTAAATCATTCATATATCAAAAGCATTTTGACAGACTTTTCTTTATTTTCTTAATCATTATCAAAATTTCAGTATTATCTATGCACTAGTACTCTGTTGAGCTATAACAATCATATCAATCCATAAAATATTTATAAGTAATCTATCTAACTCAGTTAACTCCTATGACATAACAAAAGAATGGTAATTCCGCGGAGAAATCTTATAGGAGGAGAGCAAACGTTTTTCTTTATGTAATATACTTATGAATTAGTTTGAGTTCTATATCACTGTAATATTTTGTCGTTTCTCAAAGAATATTATAATAGCAAAGATTGGATACGTTGAAATCTCCTAGATCGATGATCACGAACTTTGTATACGGAGCAGTCATCCAATTCCGCAATGTTGAACATTCCGGAACCAGTTCCGCCCCCGGAGTTAGTTCCGTCGATTCCGGAATTAGGTCAGTACGGAATCGGTGGGAATTAGACGGAATTTCTGGGAATTCCGTGTAATTCCGTTCAATTCCGATCAATTCCTATTCGACCTGATTCCCGGCATTCCGGACCGGAATTGCACGGTGTGGGTGTTGCGGTAAGTGTGGGTGTTGCCATAAGTGTGGGTGCTGCGGTATGTGTGGGTGTTGGCATAAGTGTGGATGTGAATGTTAGTGTAAGTGCATTGAATTCCGGAACCGTTGGGAATTAGGCGGAATCCGTTTGAATTCCGTGTAATTCGGGAATTGAATCGGATGGGATAAATGGAACTCCGGGAATTAGATGGAATTGATCGGCAGTGATTCCGGGAATTCCGGAATTGAATCGGAAGGGGTAAACGGAATTCCGGGAATTAGATGGAATTGATCGGCTGTGATTCCGGGAATTCTGAAATTGTGTTGGAAGGGATAAACGGAATTTCGGGAATTGGATGGAATTGGTTCCGTGAGCGGAACTGATTCCGGAATGTTCAACATTGCGGAATAGGATGTATTCTCTGTATACGGCACAAATAATCGTAATGCGAAGCCAACGATTTTGCCGCATTTGTCTGTATACAATCGTAAACGCCAGTGCTTGCTCGGTCTCGGTTTTTACAAAACTTGCCTCTCAAAACCTACAATAGCTCAATAAACACACTGAGATGCCGAACTAAGCGCTTGTACTTACATAGATAAAAACAAACGATGGTCAAAAAACACATAAGAGAAAACAGCAGAGAAGATTCTGACAGAAATAATACTAGAGTAGAAGAACCGGTGTGGATCTAAAACAATACGGTGTAGTGCTTTTGACAGAGAACATAACGCAATTAAAGTTGTGGACTTCTGATTGAAAAAAGTGTAAAATAGTTGTATCTTTACTTCTGTGCCAAACTAGACGTATCAAGTTGAATATTAAAAGCAGTAATTAATTATATGTGCATTACGATAGTTTTTCAGGAATCAGACTCTACACTACAGATCAGAATGATTCAGTGATGGTCAACATGCTTTGGCGAAGGTTTAAAAAAGTTAGAAACCATTTACATAGTGCAACTTTGATAGTAACAGCATCTGAAAATAGTAGAGTTTTCTAAGCAAAAATTACAATACTCTTTATGAAACTGTGTCCAATCGTGCAAAATTGAAAAAAAATTGCGTACTGTATTTCTATAAAACTGAGCAACCCAAAACGGGCTGATCGAAGACTTCATAAAATTATCTTTCCAATTTATGATTGGTTTTTGGAGAGAAGCTGACTCATATAGTTTTATTTTTAATTTAAATTCGTGCTCGCTATTTATGTCATCTATAATGAAAGTTACGTTTTGTATTTTACTGTGGGGTTTTAAAAATAGTATATAGTTTACGGTAGTGGACCTTTTACGATTCTGATTTTGTGATTGAAAGATTCTTCTGAAAAACGATAAAGTATGAACGATTTATACATTCTAGTTTTCATATGATATATTTTAATTAAAATAAAATATTCGGCATCTTTTGTACTATGTTTTCTGAGCACTTTTAGAAATCGGAAGTTCCAAGAGATTTTCTTTTCTCAATTTATATAGAATTATTATTGTTTCATTTATTAGAGGAACATCTCACTAAGATCTAATCATCGACATTTAATTTATCACAAATGCAGGATGCTACTGCATGAAAATCGATTTATAATGATAAAGTCATCAATAGTAATAAGTGTAGATTCTAGAACAGCTGCTAATAATGATCAACGAGAACAACAATTTGAAATATAAAGTTTTATCATTAAGAAAAAATTAAACAGAAAAATTAATAAGAATATACGAAAACAATGATTTTCAGTTGTAGTGATTATTTTCCCTCATTTTTTGTAAGTTTCATTTTTTTGAACCTATACTATTTATTCATAAATACTACAATATATCTATATTATACGTTGTTAATTTGTTTCCTATTGTACTATTTTCACAAGAACTAAGTGTACGGTACTACCTGTGATTGCTTTCTAACGCTTTAAAATAGTTATCTCCAGTATGATAATAATTCTACAGTAAATACTTCAATAGTTTGCGATAAATTTCAACTGGTTTTATAGTTTTCATATAGTAGTATCATGTATTCTTTTGAATGCGTACCTCAAAGCTTTATTTAAGTAAAAAATGAATAAGCTTTCTCTATTTTTCTGATGTTTTTTGCTACCGTTATTAATGAGATATTCTACAAATATTCAACGGAAAAAATATTCAGTGGCTTCTAAACTGATTTTAGACTTTTTTTTATGAAGTTACTATGTTTTAAAACAACTACAATGATTTTCGTATCTATGCTTTTGCTTTGCTGTGTTATGGATGCTGCACCAGCCATCTTAAAGATTACCTGTGTCTATGGGAAGCTCGGCAAAATATAATGCACATGTTGATTTTTGTCTGCTGTGTTCATGTCATGAAAGCATTATAGAACAAACTTGAATCACTTATAAAAATACTTGACATCCAAATAAATAGGAGTCGAAAAACATGTAGTAGCGAGGTTTTTTTCGTCAACGCTAAGAAAACAAAAAGAATTCCCTACAAGTTTGCAACTAGCAAGAAAATTAAATAAGACTAAAGTACAAAATGATAAATGATAAGGGCTACAACTATTAGATTCATATATTATAGTTCTAGCCCTTATCATTTATTTTATCTAGAGAACAAACTCTATTTTCCTATTTCATACTTGCTGATCTTCTAAGATGAATAGATTAAAATATCATAAAATCACTCAGTAATTTTTCTCAAAAAGCATGCCAGCATCTGTATAGTCATAATATTAGTAACTCTCCGTCGAACAAAAATGATCGTGTTGTGTAGATGTGTCTAATAAAGTTACTTCAGTACAATGCGTCAAAGGTAAAAAAACAAAGAAAGCAAAAATTTAGAGAAAAAAGGACTCAGTAAGAAAGAAAATATCGGACTACTTATTTTAACATAATCAAAAGAATCGCCTCGAAACGTGCATGTCCGAAAATGAATGAAACTAAGCATATGTGTCACAAAAAATGCTTATATTTTTTTGAACTTGGAATACATCAAAGTTATCTTTGCTTCTAGTAGATCAGCGGGCAATACAAGTATTTTATTATCAAAGAGCTCGATATATCTTCAAGCAATCTAGATCCTCATGTTTTCTTTTAAGTATCACACAAAATATTTAATTCTCCGTGATTTGATAAGCCGCACGACTACTATGTAATCTTCATAAAATAAAATGTTATTACATGACAAGAAGCAAGTATTCTAATAATTTTCAAGTAATTTTTCAAATATCAATGATTCATGGTTCATATAAAAAAAATTCAGTGCACGCAACTATGAATTAAGTATTAACTTGAATCTTCAAAATACTTTGTTTAAGGGTTATACTTCGTTACAAATTTCAATAAACATTCTATATCTTGCGTCGGAGCCATTGGGGGTACCAGATATAGACTCTTATGAAACCATGTACATCATCCCGGAACACGCATATACGAATCGATGTGTGGTTCCACGAATCGATCAATGATGTGATACGAATGGTGTCAACTTACAAGAAATCGACTTAATCCGAATTTGGACGATTGTAATAAAAGCAAATATATTCTGTTTAGAACTTTTTTTCGAGGTTCATAGCAAAGTATACGTTCCATTTTTTCGTTCAACTGCTTTGGAATATTGCTAAGTAACATTATTTCCAATTGAGCTTACGCGTCATTTATTCAGTTTAAATTTAAAAATAAAACACACATAAATACGCACACACTAAAAGTTATTTTGTTAAGTTTTCTTCGCATCTAGTAACCACTACAAGTGAAAACTACTGACGCATTATCTAGTTATTAAACGGATTTGGGACACCTTGAGCATCGAGTTCTTTCTTCATTTGCAATAGTGAACATGGACCACAGCATGATGCGAGGCAATCACCAATAAGTGTACCCTACACAATAATACAAATGTGATGATTTATTGTAACTAAGAATATGATCAATCAATACTGACTTTAATACCATAGGCCATTCGAATCTTGGCTCGAAGTGCTTGTGTAGTACCCGGAACTAAACATCCGAAGTAATTTTCACCTGTACGCTGATGTAAACGACCAGCACAACATGGTCCGCATAGACAATATATGACTCCTAAAATGTTGAAAATAACATGTCATAATCGTTGTATGTATGGAAAAATCACCTTCTTGTATTGGACTACACGATGCAAATAGTTCGTTCTTCCAGTCAGCAGTAAACGGAAGGAGTTTGTGTCCAGGTTGGATTGTAACGGGACCGCTAGTAAGATACATGAGCCATGAAGTTCATTTATTTATTGCAAAAAAGTAAATGGCGATATAACATACCTCATTTTTAGTTTGTATTCGGTACCTAGTGATACTTATATTATTGATTGACTTGCTCGTTACTTCTGCAGTACGTTACAGTGAAAATCGACCGACTATATACGAAGTAGAAATAGTTTGATCGTAGCTAAGAAACGTATAGAGTTATGTTTTTCTCTTTCTGTTCGATCGTCACAGCATTACAAGTGATGCATTTAAGTGCTATATTTTAGATGGAGAAGGAAACGCTCATTATAGAAAAGAAAATTTTATTCTAAGTTGTGACATAAACACAAATGGACCGATAAAAAAAATGTTTACTTTGAAGGACAAAAAGAGAAAACAGCTTGATGTTAAGAAAAATTCATGATGTTTGATAATAATATTGGTTACATTGTTTTTGTTGCTATGCCTTCAATCCGAATGCCATTATTTTCTATTCATTAATGGAGTTCGATAGAATTAATTTAAAGGATAGATTCCTTTTTCTCAGCGAGTTAGTTTGGTTTCGATGTGCTTCTTCAACAAATCGTTCTCCATCAAACAGCCGAAATAATAGTCTATTTTAGGTAACAGTTCACTTAAAATTCTCTGTATCGTTTATAATTAGTATTTTTTTACACAAGATATGCAAGAGACTAGTCGTTTTAGCGCGTTATTTTTATATTGTGTCTCACTGCTACTGTAGTACTCGTTGAAAAAGACCGTAAATTGGTATTGTCATTATGAGCATTGCTTGGTGAAGTACTTATTTGACTTTATAGATTGTTTTATTTTTAGCTGCAATACGATGTCTTTAGCGTAAGATCGGTATGCATTAAAAATAACGAGAGAGAGAGACAGAGTTTTTAAAGCAATGATTGCAATCCTATAAAATGTCGAAAATTTTAAGATATGATGGTTGTGATTTTTCAGTATGAGCAGATTTGCATGAGAGCTGGTATGAGCCTTAATGTATCAATGTGATTAAAAATCAGAATGTGTAAGTATCACGATATGCACAGCTCGAACTTTCAATCATTTTGTTACTCGAACGGCTTCTATTAAATCTTCTTATATTGGAACTAGGATTTGGAGCCGACAAAAAAGAGAATACTCAGATTTTGAACTAAACACGGTAAAACTGAACTTTGATATTCTGAATCAATTGGGTCTGCGAGTCCTACCCAGTAAGCACCAAGTATGTCAAAGATAAAACTTAACGTTTCCATTTACTTTGATGCTTGAAAATCTAATGAAGTGAACTTTTTCTTTCGACTTACGAGGGAAGGCCACCAACTGTTCAATCCCTTTTACGTTGGAACTATTTGCATTATGTAGCTCCCAAGGAGTTATGGATACGCTGAAAATATTTTGGGTGGATAGCTTGTGGTTACGAAAATAGTCCACTTGTAAGCTATGGTTTTTAGTGAGTGCTTGAACTCCCCTCAGGAACCTTGAAAAGAATTGATTTTCGAATTTCAGCTTTTAAATTTACATAGAAATATACCTTAACGAGAATAGTATTTCGTGACCGTTTCAGACCATTCTACTATTCCTATCATTACACACAGCTATTATGAAATTTTGTGAAACGCGATCTGAAAGGTGTGTTGAAGTATATAGGGTAGAAATTTGGACCCATCCTCGCCTCCCCCCCCCTACAGACCGTTACAGAGAAATTAATTAATCAGTTAATTGATTAATTAATTAATTATTAAATTTCTCTGTAACTGTCTGTGATGATTTCTAGAGACTTCATACATCATAATACAGGCTGTAACAGAGAAGCTCCACAGGCCATCAGTGACCGTGATAGTCGAATTCCAGAAAAGAAGTTTCATCGTGTTTCACATTTTAATCTCACACGGATTGCGATAACAGCTTTTTATTTTACATCTTTGAAATAAGGTAGCAGATTTGATGAAACAAGCAAATTAAATGACCAAAAACATTCACAAAACACTATTTTTGTTGAGGTGTATTTCAATGTAAAGCTTCAAGTTGAAATTCGAAAATCAATTTTTTCAAGGTTCCTGAGGGGTAGTGCAGGTACTCACTAAAAACCATACCTTTAAGATGGACTATTGTCGTAACAATAAGCTATCCGCCAAAAATATTTTCAGCGTATCCATAACTCCTTGGGAGCTACATAATGTAAATAATTTCAACGCAAAATGGATTGAACAGTTGGTGACCCTCCCTCGTTAGTTACCTTCGATAATGTTTTTGTGTACTCAAAAAGTGAGTACACTAGATTCATTCAGTGTGTCGGGCCGTGAACACAATAACTCTTGAAAGCCTCATCCAATTGTCTTGAAATTTTGTACACAGAATGATTTCATCAATATCTCAGTCGAGTTCGAAGATGAGAAGGATCCGTCAAGAAATGGCTGAGTTATCGAAAAAATTGTCATTATTGATCAGACCATCCCTGAGGGGGGAGGGGTACAGGGATTTTTTCATAAAAAAAAATTTCCTAAGAATTATTCAAAACATATATAAATCGACTCAGTTTTTGTAGCACACGTAACAATCAGATGTGAATCCGATGTTTCTTCGTTTATTTCAATTTTCTTTTGCATCTGCACTTTTTCTATTGGTATTCTTTCATCCAAACGTAAAAATAAAATAGCCACTTCTCTCAATTTTTAGAGTGCTCGATCGTTTTTTAATCATCGCATCGTGGCCATATATGCTTTTGCGAAGAGGGCGTGGTTTAAGTGCGACATTTTCAAAACGAAGAGAAACAGCATGTGAAATGCGCAAAAAACACTCATTTCTAGAAGTTCTCAATTACAACTTGACACATGAATCATTGCGTTGTTATATCTACTGTTAACGATGATTTCGATTATGGTTTGCTCATAATTAGTTGTGTCAACAGATACAATCAACAGTTCTGTTTGAATTCAGTGTAATTTTCTATATACTTCGAATATCTGCTCTGTCAATTTTCAGGTCTTCTCTTTTTCGATAGCAACCGTCTCAGTTATTTCGCAGCTATATGAGAAAGTCATATTTAATAAATGGAGCGAAAATTTGGATAACATTCTGCAAGAAAGTGATTGTACGGATTCATCGTGTCGGAAATCTAGTATCATACAAACCATTATAACGATTCATGATCATAGAATCACTGGTATAACTTGATCTTCATTAGCGGAGTTGGCATCACGGTGTGAAAGCTTGCTTCAATACCACGCATGACTTTTCTTAGAGAAATTAATGAGACAGTTTCTGAAATATCATAAATAGAGTCAGAATCCATGGTTACTTCAATCTTAAGGAAGCTTGCATCTCAACTCGAAGAATACGCACTCTAAATGGTCGTTTACGGTTAAGGTAGGATTCGTTCTGGACATATTGTATTGCCCTGTAATAACATGAATAGTAATACGATTGATTCTATGGTAGAATATGGTAACATTACGAAATATTCATGGCCTAGGTCGAGCAATCATATTGTAAGATCTGATCTTATATGATCTTGCACGATCATACGAAAATCATACAAAAAATCATAGTTCCTGAGATCTTTGATCTGGTCGAACAATCAGATTCTTCAAAGATCGTATTAACGTGTAAGATCATTTAAGAATCTGACTGTGAGAATTGATCTAAGATCTCAGGAACTACGATTTTTTGTCAGATTCTTGTAAGATTTCGTCCGTATTTCAAGATCCTGTATGTGTTTCATAAGATCTTGTGTCAGATTTTTCGACCTGGGGGCGCTTTACAATGTGAATGCAATGCCACATACAGTCCGTAACATTAGCTGTGTTACAAAAAACACAATACGAAACACACACCATAATTTACAGTAACCATAAGACTGCTTACAATGATCCAATTTGAGCGACGTGACATATTCGTTGATTATCAATTCTCAAAAACTCGCGAGATCTTCCACTGGAAATTTATTTAATTACAACCAGCATATGCCTAATCTATCTGATCTGTCTGATGAATAATCGAGCCTTCTCCAGTAAGAGATAACCTGAGACAAAAACAAAATCTGCTATTCTGATTCCAAAATATTTCTGTTATCTGCGAAATTGATTAGTATTCATTTTCATTTCTTTAAAGGAACAATTAGCAACATTTGTATTATCCATTTCAGTATTCACTCTCGGCATTTTTTTTTATATTAATTGATATCATCCAAGATGTGAATCAAATAATTTGATATATTAACCTGTTTTCATTGATGAATAAGTCTTGATAGAGACCTTTAAAAAAATAAATAGTTCATCCTTTATATCTGATCAAGCTTCTTTAAGACATCAAATAAATGAAAGTGGCAAATGATCAAATGTGTATAAAATATCAATTGCAATCAAGTGCAAAAGTATCCTTAAAATATCGAAATTGAAATCATAATTGATAAATATTTGTTAATACTTCTCAGCAATCATAAAAATAAAACACTTACTTTTTTTATCATAAAATAGGGAAAATACAGACGACAAATGGTACAAACCTATACATAGTATGCTAACAAAATGGTCTATTTAATGTCATTCTCGTTTTATGTTTAATAATAATTCTTTGCAACAGAAAAAATATGTTAAATTGAGTCAACGAATATTCTTATTCAGAAGTCAATTATTGACAAGTCCTAATTAAATTAACATGAATTTAAAAATTCCTCCTTATTCATACCAAGCCATAAATGGAGTGAAAATTGAGTTAAGTGATATGTAAAATCTCTACCTTTTGTGACAAGCAATTCAGTAATCTCTTTAATGGAAACTATTGATTTATAGCGAAATGTAAAGCTCACACTGAATAGATGATCGAATTGTTTGAGAATCAACGTCACATCTTTGATGCTAGTTACAGGAATTTGTAAATGCTTTATATGATGAGATATAATTGAACAGATAGTGTGTAAAGATAAAGTATGCGAAATAATGACGAGAGATTTAATATGCGAAGCTTGTTGGAGTAGCGCAGTAATGCCTGCAGCTATATTAGAACTATCATTCTCCATAATGTTGACGTCTAGTGTAAGGCCAGTGATTGTTGAAAGGTCGATGAACGATGAAAGAAGATCAAGTGAACCATCTGGCCAGTTTTCATGGATTTGAAGTCTCAGTTTCGTAAGTCTGTTGTAGAAACAGTATGCTGATTTTTCTGTCTATTAATTAAAAAACAAAGATCTAATCATTTAAATATGTACTCAAATGTTTTATCTAACAGTTTAATCAATTTTATATCTACCTTTTCTGTTAAATCAACTTGCATTTCATTTATATCTAAACTCATTTCACGTACAGTTTGCATTATTTCTTGTTCAATTTTTGTACTACCGGTAGATCGCGTGATTTTGTTCGCATTCGGACGAAAATTAATCTTTGATGCGCAATCGTTGATTGTATAGAGATTGATAACATTCAAATGTTGAACAGATAAAGCAGTAACAAACCATTGTTTAGTTTCAATCCAAAATGGTGTTCGAAATGATTGAATGACGGACTCTAATCCAGCAAGATCATGATTAACATTAATATTGCTTTGAAAAGTAAATTGAAATTTATTCAAATGTAATAGTTTTGTTTGGATGAATTTTTCCCACCGATCGCCATCAAACAAATCATTGCTATTACCTAGTATAGTTAAATGTATCAATGAAGGTGTAAGTGATAAAAGTGACTCGACCATCGCCATTTTTAGATCACAATCGTCCAATGACAATGAGGTTACTTGGTGATACATAGTATTGGCGGAAATCAAACAATTAATCTCCTCAATATCATATATAATGCAATCTCTTAATATCAGGCTTTCAATGTACGGTGAACAACTTAAAATTCTACAAAACTTTTTAAATCTGATACAGCTAGACAGCCGAAGATATATAACCGAACAATTTAAAGGCCACTCTAATTCATGTATAGCTGTATATCCTAGATTCAAATCTAGTTTACGAATAGTATTCTTCCCAATGGTTAATGAAAGAAATAGGAGTGTTTCATCGCTAACAACAGAATGCAACTCGCAATCAATTACCAGATGTGTCAAGGAACAAGCAGCAGTCGATATATGCTTTAAAATTGTATTCAAGTGCAGTTCTTTGATTGCCATAAGAGTGACCGATTGAAGTCGAGTATACTGTTCTATACAATAGAGAGAAAGAAATAGTTCAATTTGTCCCGGTGTTTGATTTTCATCTGATAAAGTTAACGATATGATATTTTCCGGATCAGTCACAGAGCAAAGTTGATGAAAAGTCTTCTTGCATATTGCATTGAAATTTAATTCATATCGATTGTAATTGGTAGTAGCTGAATAGAGCCGTTTGCATACGCACTTGACATAAAAAAGGATAGTTCCTGCATCAAGACTATCGAAAATACGATGCAAAATTTCAACTGGTAGATTATTAAGTGGCAACACTATGCTAGTAGCCATGTCTACTACGTCATTAATTGTATGAGAATGTGACTGTTATGATTTTATGTAGCCGCTTTGTTGAAGCATGTTGCTTGACGTTCTGCTTGCAGGTAGGAAGAAAAAAAAACAATGCTACTACGCTTTGCTTTTCTTCAAACCAAGGAAATGTCGAAAGAGGAAAGTCAACAGTTCTACATTGACTTATTGAGGCTATTGGCGGATGAAATATCAATGATTCGATGTTTTTATTGTCCAGACATATTCTATTACAGTTGGAATGTAATTCTGTATATTTGTCTGAGTAATAATAAATAGATGAATATGATCTGTATCAAAATGAATTAACATCGAAAAAAAGAATCGCTATATTAGCACAATCAAATTAGTGTCCATTTCGAATAAAAAGAAGGGTGAGCATTTTTAGAATCATTTTTTCTAGAAATTAGATAGATACTTGCGGTTTTCACCGTTTAAAAATGGGAATAAATTTGCATGGGATTATTATCGCTGGATTTTTTCTAAGAGGCTTCTACGAAGTTTCTAAAAGCGAAAATTTAGTGTAATGTAAGACTGTTAGAGTTCTGAATTTTAGTAGTCCACTAGAATCTTTGATCAAAGTCAAATAATGTATACAAATTCAGTGTTAACCTTTTATTATGTATTTTCAGCAGATTTTTGAAGAAAACTTGGCTGGTGGTTCTGAGAAAACCTATGAGAAAATTTGGTATTGTTACTTCAACGCCGATTCATGTCCGCGTTTGAACACTGAAAACCGTAACTCTCTATCTAGTTCCTAGGAAAAATGATTCCACAAATACCCTCCCTTCTTTAAATTTGAAATAGATATTAGTAGGTTATCGATCGGTTGCTTCTAGAAATGATAAGAATGCATTCCTTCATTTGAAAATATATAATTACATCATAATCATTTTAAAACCAATGATTTCTGCAGTATATTGTTTTTAAATCTAGTATGTATTGATGGTTCTATATGCGCAACCTATGCCATAATTTCTTGCTAGAATTTCCTAATCTCTATGGCAACAGGCACAATGTTCAAGTTATCCATGCACTTACACATCTTTCAGATAGCATTCGTGATTTTAGAACACTTACAAGCTACACAACCTTCAACTTTGAATCACTTCTGGGTGGGTCTCACTATTGATTGAATAAATAATGAAAATTTCTTTAGGGTATTGATTGTGGATGAGATGTGTTTATAAACGTATTAGTTACCTAATTTTGAATTGTCTGAATCAAATGAGATTTAATTGATAGAATATTTTTAGCTTTTAAGTGCATGTGTATGATTAAAAATGCATCTGGTGAAGAATGATGCATTGTATGATGTTCTTATTCACTAGAGAAATAATAAATCTCCATTAAGATGCTGCCATTTCAGACATATTGAATGTTTAGTTCACCACATTAACTTTCATATAATGATTATGAAATTTATTTACTGTCGGAATATTATGAAAGATCATGGGTATGCATTTGAATAATCAGTAAAATTTGAGAAGAGATAAATAGAACCTGAAGACTAAGCATTTTTTGCGAATACTATGAACTTCCAAGCACTTTTTTTTATATATTATAGGTGTTCTCACTCGCTCAACAAAAAGTACACGCCGACATGTTCTTGGGATGATGAACAACCTTATCTATTCAAGAGAGGCTTGTTTTCATCTTAACAATTTCCAAATGTCTTCTTCTCTTCAAAAACTTTCTCTCAAGTTTAATTAATAATTACAATACTTCTGATCAATCGTCATATATTGCCCAGGCAAATCATTCATGGAATATTACTGATCCAAGAATTTCTCAATTATTTTCTGGTACAATCAACTATTACTGGACAGTGTTCAAAGGTCGAGTTAGATTAACCACCAGTAACTATTGTCGTAATAAACAAGCTGACGATTCCTCTATAGTGTATCGAACTGGGAATGACATTCATTTTAGTCGTATTCACCGAATGTTTACTATTAATGATGGAGATTCACTCTTCCAAGTCTTTACACTTGCATCTTCTACTCATTTTATATATGAAACTGCGAATGAGCAATATGATTACAATGAAATTGAAATGGGTATGATCTCTGGCGGCACAACTACATGTATTTTCAACGTAAAACAAATAATCGAGAAATGTGTCTTTTATTTACAACCCAATGCCTATGCAACTTTTGTTCGATTGCCAAATTTAGTGAAATCGTCATAGTCGTACTATATAATTAAATTCACTTAAAATCATATATTAATAAAAAACTTTAACAGGAAAAACTTATTATTACTATACGCCAACTGCTTGAGCAATACTGAATGTTATTAGAACTCACATTTCGTTCCTCAAATATATTTATCCAAAAAATTGTTCTAAATTTTCTGAAGTTCTATTTTGATTCCAAAATGGCTAAGAGAATAAGCACTTCACAGCGCTTGCATTTAAGACAGTCAGTGCTTTACAGTGCTTAAATATACGAAATTTTTCAGCAGTTTAAAGTAATTTTTGAAAAAAGCACTGAAAACCGCTTTGAAATATTTCCCTAAGCTGAATTAAGTACTTAGCTGAAGAAAAAGGACTTTAAAGCGCTTATAAGCAGCTTATATCATATTAAGCTATTTTAAGTCGCTTAAAATTAGCCTACAATGGAAAAAATGTTTACATGGGCTATGCAGCAATAATTTATGGAGTATACATTCTTAGGGCATCTACAATTTGATGTAACCACATTAAACGTATCCACTTTTGGGTATCCATATATATAAATGTTGATTCACTAAATGTGGTTACCCAAAAGTGGATACACCTAACGTGGATACTCTAACGTGTTTGTGCTAAAAAGTCGTTACCGGGTGTAAGGATATTATGACATCACTCTTTCGAACTTATTTAAACTAAGAAATTCATGTAAAATACGATAGTAAAAAGCAGACATCTTACATACAAATGATCTGGTGATATTCTAAGTCATTTATAAAACTCTATCTTTCTCGTTTTATTCTTATTGTACATTACCCATTTACATATGTCCATATACATATTGCACAAAAAGCACAATTTCTTCATGATTTTTATCTAAGAATACGCTCATGTAATCATATTTCAACAGTGTTTAGTAAAACAACTTTATTCATAGTTTCTTGCGGTGATGTTTAAGAATAGTTGGATATGGTCGTGCGACACTTTCTCCATGCTGGCTAGGATCGGGATAGGTGGTCAAATTCCATTTTTTTACGAGCAATCCAAGAATTGATTGATCATGTCGATGGCCGACGAAGTTAGGATAGTTGGGTTTGCCCAGCACGTTTCTATCGTCGCTTACTGCTCGACCATCTTGAACATAAGTAAGCCACTCGGAAACAAAAGCTAAACTTTGGACACTTTTGCGAACAAGAACATATGAAGCAACTGCCGCTGTTGATTCAACGAATCTTTTTGAATCAGCGTGCATCAGAATAAAAGTGTCTCGTTTTGTATATGCTGACTCCTACGATTATAAAAAATAGAGTTATGAATTATTCTGTTCATATTAGTTTAAACTAGAATATTTTAAGCATGAGTATGGTTGCACAATTTATGATTCTCAGTTAGACTTGTAAAAACTACTCTAGAATAGCTTTCACAATACGTTAGATCATACTTACACTATGATTTATCTGCCTGAACGTCATTATGTCTTGCTGTCCCATTAACCTTATTAAAATATTTATGTCGGAGACAAAATTCACAGCCGCATCTGAATAAACTATAACATCACCTTCTCGTGCTGCATATAATTCATGCCAGAGAATATACGGCTTCCAGAGCCAATATCCACCACCCCGATAATAGTTCAATAAATCACTATTTCGTTGACGAAATCCATCATCTGACTTGAATATATTCATATTTAATTTTAGACATTGAGCCATACCAAATGTAAGGCCAGTATCACAATTATTTTTCTGAGACATTCCGCAACATTGATGAGCAAAATTGACTAACAATGGATAACATCGCATTTGATTCGAATGTCCATAAATGTTGACATGATGACAATTTGTTTTGTTGGATGGACATAATTCAGATGTATTCGAACGATCAGACCACATCATGGTATGAATAAAAATACTTATAAATAAAGCAAACATGACACATAATTGAGCTGATCGAAAATACATTTTCATTGCGCCCATTCAGTTCGATCAGATCAAACGAAGTAAAATATCTAGATTGATGACAGATGAAGAAAGTGACTGTGATTATTTTTTCAATAATAGTACATTTCTACTTGAGATATCCATGTTTTATTTCAGCTTTAACGATGGACACTGCAGGAAGTATCCATTTATTTTGGAGTATATGTGGGCAGGTTTATTTACACTTAAATTATATATGTTAGTAGGATAGTGAGAATACAAAAGACAAAAAAAGGAAAACAAATGACTTTAATTCGTGATAGAGCGACAGGACAAGAAAATATGATCTGATTGTAGGAAAGGGAAATACCTTCTTTTTATGTGTTATTATCTGTAAAAATCAAACGATACGTTTACTTGTGCTCTGCATTTATTCAATCTTACCGATGTATTAAATTAAGATTCATTGGAGTATATATAGGTGCACGCATATGTCGAGATATGAAAAACGTTTCTAGAAAGGTTATCACTGATATCGAAACGTAAAAAAAACAGTAAATTTCTCAAATAAGATTGAAGCAATCTAAAACTAAATGAAGAAAAAAAAGAATATTGAAATTCTAGTGTCATGATATTTCTCATGAAATAGCTAGACTACCCGAGAAATGGTTAGAGTAAATATACACTTGATCAGTTCATGCGATTAGCTTCATAAAATGCGTAATAACTATCCGAATAAGTAACTTGTACAAAAAGAACAGTGAATAAAACGTAATTTCCAGTGTAATTTTCTAATAAAATGTACGTCAATACACGACATATTCTAATAAAAGGACAAAAAAGAATTCTCTGAGAGTGTTTTTCTCAAGGAATTTGAGATAGCAAAAGAGATGAACTAGTGCATCAATGTTTTTCTTAGTCTGGCATAAGTTTTATACGGTTTAATGACTTATTTTCTGGAATAATAGAGTAAGACTCTGCTTTTTTTCTCATTTCATATTTTTTTAACACTTTTTACGGCCGTGCATAGTACTTTGCTTTGATTTTATCAATTGGTGACTACACTTAATACTTGATACCAATTTTTTAAATAATTCTGTTTAATAAATCATTTGAAAGTCGGGAAGGAGTATGAAGTAAGTGTCATTTAATTTTTGAGGTTTTTTCCATAGAAACAGATATTTTTCTTATCTGGAGAAATGCGTTCTAACCATATTTCTTCAGCAAATGAGATTTCAATAATTATCTTCTCTTAACTAATTAATAACATTAAACATACTTCTCAATTAGTCGACTAATAGAAAACCATGCTAGCGATAGAACTATTGAGAGAAAACACTGAGTCAGCTTCGATTAGGTATGATCAAGTTTTACAGGGAATTCCATTCTCGAGAATGGAGTCCGAGACTAAATAATGCTTGTCTAACTTTAATCGTTTAACTATTGAATAAGAGATGATCTTGAAATGGTCAGCAAAAATTAGAAAGCCGCCAACAAATATTTTTTTATCTGAAAAGAAGTGTTCAGTCGGTGGCGTTGCATATTTTACACCTTGAGAAAATTTGAGTAAAATATCTAGACCCACATATATTAATTAAAAGTCGCTTCACTTCTCTTGCTATCTATGCAAATTTACCCATCCCAGGTCGAACAGTCCAGCCTGGAAACGGCCGGTTCCGGTTAGTTCCGTTGATTTTGTGGAAGCAGTATCCCGGCTTGAAAGTTTTCAGATTTTTTCCGGTGATTACCAATCAACTCCTACCGGAAAGCATCAGAACTTGGCAGAAATCCGCCGGAAAAGTTTGCCGTATATTCGACTGGAATACTGCTTCCATGTTCCAGCAATTTCCCGTGTTTTCTTGCAGGATATGGTGACTTTCCCGCATATTTCCTGGAGTATCCTACGGGATCTGGTGGCCGGAATGTTCGACCTGGGATCTACAACTAGTTTTCGAATACATCTTCTTTATACTGTAGACATAAAAAGAAATAATATGAATCACATGATAAACATCCTCAATATATAAAACGATCTGTATGATTTTAGCTTACCTATGACAGTATGATTTCCGCTGATGAAGAAAAAGAATTTCTTATTATGCAGTCAACGTTTTTCTTCTACTATTACTTGATCTTGATAGCCTGCGTTTAAAAAAAAGTCATGCCAGGCAACATTATTTGACATCTTAACAAAACAACTATTTATTTAAACGAATTATAATGGCTTATTTTAACCTTTTCTTTCTAGCTGAGTAAGGTATTCTTTCTTTCTCAACGAAAGTAATCGTTGACGTAGTTATATGCATAGTTAAAAAAAAAGGCATCACGTGCTCGTCTCGTTCACACTAATAGGATAAAAAAGATGGAGAACAAAATTCTCTACTATTCACTTTTATTTCATTTATATGAATTATCATTTTATCCTGCCATATATGCTCAAGATTTGATTAAATGTATGAATGAAAAATACTACACAACGAAAACATTCTCTTCTTACTTTTTGCGTTGCTAAACAAACAGCATGTGGTAGAAGAAAAAGAATTTCGATGCATAGAAGAATCACAAATTTAGAATATGTGTGTTGAAGTGCTATGCCAAGAATAACTTCGTGCAAACGTATACCATGAATATCAAACTTACATTCCAACACGTTTAATCCATAAAATATCTTTATTCCTCATTTTAAAAGGCTAGCTTGAAACTGTCAGGATGTTATTGTAATCCAGTAAAATCGCCTGATGAATATATTTTAATAGTAAAAATAAAATCTAACGAGCGACAATCAATCTAACAAAAATTACGATGAAAATATGTTATGTAGTTATGCGAAAGATATGCGGCAAAGTTAAAATGATGAATTCGAACACAGACAATAATGTTAAAGAACATTTCAAAACCCAATGATGATAGTGGTTGATTAATTATATGTATTTCCGTTTTAATCGGCGTTCGCCGGTAAAATATGATGTTTCCGATTAAAATGAATCCACCAGCAACAATATGACATTTTGACTGTTCGATGACGAATCGGGACTAACTTGAATAAAATCGGTAAAATCAAATTGAATGTGTTTTATATTATGTGAATAAACGACAGATGTTAGTAACTTTGACATAGACGAGAACAGACAAAAAAACGGAGCTAATACTAAACACCGTTAAAAAGATTTCATAAATACTTAAGTGTTAAAGACATGATTTAGATCATGCTGTTCGGAAATGTTTCTTAATCTTCTTACAGTTCATGAGAAATGAAAATCGTGACAAGAAAAACATGTTTTTGCTCTGCTTATCAGATTTTATAACGGATAAGGATTATGAATGTTTCTGGCAAAAATCTCTGATTTCGTTTAAAAATCAAAATTGAACAGAACACGAAAATTTTTGCATTGATTATATACATGTACATGAGATCTGTCATGAATAATTAATCATGACTCTGTTATTTTATCATCCAACTCGATTCTAATAGGGGATTAGACAGGCAGCGTGGCCGAGCGGTCTAAGGCGCCGGTTTAAGGCACCGGTCCGAAAGGGCGTGAGTTCGAATCTCACCGCTGTCACTGTTTTTTTCCATATCTGTGGATCTGCGAATTAAGAAAATCGGTATTTGACTATATTTGGAAAGGTTTTTGTTTATTTTCTCAATTGTCATTACATTTAATGCTACTATGAATTTATTCAAAGGTAAAAAGAGTAAGACAAAAATTCAAAGCTGTTAGTATTTCAAGCTAAGCCACAGTTGTTGTTCCGTATAGCCAGATAAATAATTGTTCTTGGATTAAGATAGAGTTTGTAGTGCTTTACTAATTTTTACAACTCTATCGAATAATGTATAAATCGACAATTAAATTGGCATGTCAAGTTCGGGTTGACAGTTCTTGCATTTCTATTCGATAGAAACAAAGTTCTATTGGTAGGGTAGAATATTTTGAAATCAATGAAAGCACCGTTCAAATACATGTGCTTGCTAGAGTTACTTTATAGAAACATCAGCATTGGCCCGATAATATCTCAGACAAAACTGAGATCGGCCATTAGTTCCCCCATTGGGTAAAAGTCAATGTGAATTATTTTCAAAAACTGAATCATTCAGGAAATTGTTGGGGAATTGAGGAAGAATTCCCAATTCTAAGTCTCTGAACACTTCTTGCTTTCTATTTTGAGCACCAGAAAATCAGAGTAGAGAATGTGTTAGATAAAAAATAATATGTATCAGAACTCCGCGTGGGACGTCGCATGAGACGGGATGGGACGAGCACTTTTAGAAAATTTTAAGCAGACAAGAAAGAATCAAAATCTCTTTCGAGATGATTCTATGATATGTATACTATCTCTATCCATTAAAATTAAGATCGTTGTCTTAGGTGACTTTAAAACTTGTATTCGTTTTCATAAAATATTTTTGCTAAATTGAACAACATATACTGAAAATGTTTTAAAATATGAGAATAAAACTTGAAAGCGGTCACTGACGTCAATAAATATAATTTTAATGGATAAAGATAGTAAGCATATAATAGAATCACCTCGAAAGAGACTTCAATTCTTTCTTGTCTGCTTAAAACTTTCTAAAAATGCTCGTCCCATCCCGTCCCACGCGTAGCTCTGATATATATGCGACTTTCTACATCAATGCGCTTTCATTTTCTTTTCTTTCCACATGCTTTCTATCAGATTATAGATTATGTTAAGTAAAAATAACCTTTTAGATCATTGATAAATTATGTGCATCTAAACTAAGTAGTCAATTAGGGCAGAAATATACTTAAATGCAAGAGTGAATAGCCATTCTTACAAAATGCGTAGTAATTATTGCAATAAAAATATATACTAAGTACTACTGTGATATTAACCTAAGTTTGGGACCATTTTTTGTACAAACAAAACTCTAAAATTGATCAGTTCACACAAGCTGAAATATAATATGTCAGTTTAGAGGGAAAGCGAAAATTGGTCGAACGAAAATTGATCGCGGTTAATTAACATGTTTAAAGTTAGGGAGTCGAGCAATAGCATTATCGGATAGATTGACCAAACAATTATCAAATAGCAGTTTGTGTTGCTTCGTTGCAGTTCATTGCGCGATCCCGAACTTTTTCTTCGAATAATCTGATTTCAGTTGAAACGGCACTACCATTATGATTATGACTATCATTTTCATGTAGTAATATTGTGTTAATATTATTAGTATGAACGCGACCTTTGCATTTGAGCTTTCGAGCATCTTCACATTTCCAATACGTTTTATCATTTGTTGTTTTGTCAATAGTATAACTGAATCCTTTAGAAAGTAAGAGAGGTTTGTTCTTTTGCGTTGTACTTAAGGTGAATGTTGACATTGCGATATGATTGTTTAGATTTGATTTGTATTACTGCTTTTTATAGAACTTATTCACGAATTTCGAACATAATCCAATTAGGATTATATGAAATATAGATTACTGTGTTAAAGCATAATTAAAACTAAAAAGTACAGTCATGTGAGTTAATCTTTAGCCTATTACGATTCCCATATATGTGTAAAATATATGCCTTTTTGTTTCAAAATTGCTATCATTTTCCGAACATCTTTTATCATTTTTTATTTTATTAATATCAGTTCATGATTTAATAAAGAAATTGTTTTCTTTTAACTAAACTCGACTAATATTGTTGTCGATCAATTTTCGTATCTATCAATATTCACATCGACCAATTTTCGTATCGACCAATTAACCGCGATCAATTTTCGTAGACCCGTAAGAATGTCTATAACTTTTAATGAATATACATATATTGTTTTAATGCTTAGAAGAACAGTTGTATCATTGAAAATCATAAGATTTACCCCTGAAAAAAAATCAATATAGAAGTAAAATTTCTTAACCGTTTTATCATAGTGATTTTCTTTTTTTATTTATTTTTCTCTGTCAATAGAGCTATCATCTAACGCCATCTATTTCTTTCTGTGCTCGCTCCAACACAGTTGACAAACCAATTACTTTCTATTTTCGTCAAATTAAGTTGTTTATAAACTCACCGGTAGTCAAAAATCATCAAACTGAGTAATACCAAGATCAAATGTACGGAATAGCAATTGCATATATATATAACAATTGCTGTTTTTAAGGTACATTCTTGCAACAACCTGTTAAGAAACCAACAAATTATGCTATATATTTATAAACATTTACCTTTGAATGATGCCATTGACATATGACTAGGAAGCCTTAAATGCGTTGTGCGCAATACTGCATATACGGTTATATTCACATGATAGGCGAAATGCAGTTGCTCATATTGTGTTCAATTTCAGCTAAGTAGAACCTTATCTTTCTTCTCAATTATTCTTTTAGTCCATTATTTTATTGTTAAATTGTAAAAAAAAATTGATATTCGGATAGTTTTTTCTTTTAGGCGTAGGTCAATAGAACGCTAAATTTCGAACTTTCTATTTAAAGGGCTATTAATAGTTTCTAGTGTAATTTTTTCGAATGGAATTTAGTTTCTACCTTGAAAAGGATTTATTTTTGTTTGTTTTCGTACACGAATGCAGGTTAGTAATATTGAAAAAGTTTGTACAAAAAATTCTCAACATCATTGTTTCATTACCGAGATGTATTTCTATTTGAATGGTGTCTTACCGTTTAAGATTATTTTTATTTTCTAAAATGAATTTTGATAATCAATCGTCAAAGAAACCTGAACCTCTCCATAAAATGAATAATCTCGCATCAGTATCATTATGTCATGTCTGTGGTATAGAAAATGCGCAAGTGCACTATGGTGCGATGTGTTGTGTTTCATGTAAAATGTTTTTCCGCAGAAATGCTCAACTAAATTTAGTGAGTGAATACTATGAATTAGACTGTGTTGCACTGAAAAATGGTGTTCTTTGTTTTTGAATATTTAGAGTAATAGAAAGTGTGTAACAAATGGTAAATGTAATATAACAATTAAAAGTCGAAAAACATGTCGATATTGTCGTTTGAAAAAATGTTTCACAATTGGAATGCAACGAGAATTACTACGTGCCTCACATAATAGACAAGGTACACGTTGTAAGTTAACTCGGAAAGAAAATGCTGTTCGTTTGACTAGTACTGTGCATCCTCTTGATTTACTTCAAAATGATCGATCATTATTGAAAAATGAACAATGGACTTGTTTATCTAATGTGATTCATTTATTCGACGAAAAGTTCCCCGTGCCTCAAATGCGTAATTTATTAGGTGCTCAATCCATATTTCCAATGAAAATACGTATGAAAATGGCGCCAACAAATATGTTAACGCTTCTCAATGCGATGTATCAAGGTGTCTATCCTTTTGCCACAAGCATAACACATTTTACAACTCTGCCATTAAACGATCGATCTATGCTGATCGAAAGAAATATGAGAAATATCGGTGGCTATAGTGGTATAGTTTTAAGTAGAGATGCAGATGTTCATTCAAGTCCAATATTTAAGATTGGTTTTCCAGAAATTTATGGTTCACAAGTAATGGATGATGCAATTAAAATTTATAAAAATACAGACCAAGATAGTACATTGGTTAAACTGTTAATTCCTGCTCTCATATTCTCGACGGGCTCTGATCTTCTTCTTCCAATAAATGAAAGTAGTAAGTAATCTCTCCGTCGTTTATTGATTTCATAGATTTCTTTCATATCGTTAAATATTTGTCAGCTAGAGCGTTTTGGATTCGAAAATTTCAGATTCAGTCAATTGATTTTGAATGCGAGATTATCATTTTCTCTTCACTGAGTCGAGATTTCGATGAATGCATGAGACCGAACAAAATATTCCCATCAACTCTTTGTGTACCTTCATAACATGGAAGAAATACAATTGTTTTGTAAAATCAAAAGAATATTAGTAGTGCAAGAAACAACTAAAATTGTAAATTTTTCGGTAAAGATAGTCAAGAGTAATTTTAAATTGCGGATCAATGAGTTCCTAGTTTGTATTAATATTTAGGCTCTTCAAACGCTGTAAAGAGTTCTTTCCAATGTCAGATTATGGATTACGTGCTTTCAAAAACTAGACTAGCATAATTAAAATTAAGACATAATATATTACACAGATGAAATCGATTTTTATTAAATTTAATTATTATACAATAAGATTCGAGTTTATAACAATATATATATATATATATTTAGAATGTGATCATTTCGAAAATTCGTGCCATTTACTTTCGAATGCAAAACAAATATTAGAAATGCAAAATTTCTATGTTGAAATCTTGTTCAAATATATGGTTTTCCGATACGGTTTTAAAGAAGCAGCGATAAGATATGCGGCACTTATTAAAACGTCGCTTGATCAAAGTATGTGCTCACTAAACGGTAGAGAAGTTCGAAAACATAAGCAGTTAATGGACACAATTGTCGAACAAACTGAACATTCGATGGCGTCACAGAACGAAACAGTTCTTTACTGAAAAAAGTTATATAATTTTGACAGATATTTTTAGGTTAGCGGTGATATATTTTTATGTTGCTTTATTTTGTCAGCGATTTTGGTTGAATAATATCGGTATTATCTAAATAATTTTATTGCATATAAAAAAAACGGCTTTTTATTGAATCTCAATTATAATAAATAATCACATAACGCTAATAAATTTTATTTGTCTATAAAGTTCTCTTATATATTGACTTTGTTTTTGTCAAAGTTACAAAGCAGATCTTGGTTATTAGCTCAACATTGTTGTTTTATAATCATACAGGATATTCGTCCGAACGTAAATTCACTAGGACAGTTTGGCTATTAAGCATAACAGATAAGCTGTTTATTTGTGTATTAATCCTGATATTATATTTGAATAGCATCAAATAGTTCATGAGATTTTAACATTTGAAAATATTTCAAAAAGTGTAAGTGAAAATTCATTTACAAATGATGATGAACCATAGGGCAAAGTAAGTGAATGCATAGATTATGGCAATTGAAAACAAGAACAACATGTTTTTTCCTGCCGTCATCAGCAACAAGTAAATAAACTCCTGGAGATATTATTAATTTAAATTAGACGTAGAAAGTTTGAACAAATTACTATAAAATTGAAGCAATCTGCCAAATGTCGACTAATTTTTAATTGATTATTGAGTTTGACGGCTAATGGTGTACTCATTTAAGACGCTACTCGTGATTTCGCCAATTAATAAAATTGAAATAAGGATTATCGCATACTTATTTTCTTCTCTAGTCTCTTACATACACGCTACATTTTTTTAAATTCGACCTACTTATTTATTCAATCATCTTTCATTTCGCTGTACATGAATAAATTAACGTATTTGATTTTCTTTTTTTTTGGCAAACAGTATCATAAGAAGAAAAATCTGTGCTGACGTGCAAGTGGGAAATTAAAGAGATGAAATGGTCAGCATATTAAACATAAGTAGTAGAAAGAACCTCTATCTCTAGAAAAATTAACTTTATCAATAGAAAGTACACTTACAGAACGAAAGAAGCTCAAAAAAAGAAAAATAAATTGTATGACTGATTTGATAAAATATACTCAACCTTCGTTTGCCTACATGTTGTTTTTTTCTTACTATTGCATCGATCAATATTGCGTTACTGCTGATGATTGTTTAAATTTACCCATAATTTTCTTTTAATATCTCTTCATTAAAATGTCTTGGTTTCATGTTGAAAAGCTTGTACGATTTACATAGTTTTCAATACGTCAAATTTTTATACATGAAGAAAGATGAATAAACAGTGGCATATAGCATTCTTGTTGAGAAAAGTGTGATTAGGATTGAGGAATATTTTTCAAGAGAAAAATCTTTCTAAGTAGGATAGTCAGTTGTAGAATCCACCGTTTAGAAGATACCGAGATTCTTCTTTTTATTTTTGTAAACATACAGAGAATAAAAAACAATATTTCTTCTGTTGACAGAACATGCAGCTTGAGAAATGCATGACATAAGAAGTGGAGCATATGCAGAACATCACTTGAATTGACAGAACAGAAAGAGATTCATGCTGTGCGCATTTCTATTCATTCACAGAGGTTTCTAGTGTCTCACATTCTAAATTAATTGTGTTCACTATTATATTGTAAAATCTTTTTAGGAGATTGTTATATTAATAATTGACTGTTTGATTTATCCACTCCACAATTACTTAATAGGCTCATTTATTAGCATTTAATTTACTCGCCGAAAAATATTTCGTACTAAGAAAAAAAACATCATTTTATTCTTCACCTTGATAATATCATGTTTCAAATTTCATTACTTCTTACGTAGATTTCAAACCAGTTATCATTTTCAACGTTTAAATTAATCCCGATATTATAGAAAATATTTCGTTATATAATTAAAAAATAAATACTGATCGAATAAGTATCTTATTCATGAATATGTAAGAAAAACACTTTTTAATGCTTAGATTTCATCAAATAATGTCTTAGTGGTTTTAATAATGTTTATGATTATTTTAATTTTAAATTATCGTATTGAATGCTCATGATTAACTTTTTTCCATGTTTTCACTGTGCAAAAGACGTGTATTGGCTAACATAGAACGAACACGTACAGGATACAATATTAGTATCGGATATGTATGAGGACTCAAACTAATATTTGTAGTACCTTTGTTTTTCTTAGTTTACAGACATGATACTCTTCAATGAAAAATAGTCACGATTCTAATGAGAATAGACAGGATTGCTGCAAAAGAAAGCATACTCTAAAGTTCATCGAAATATTATGCTGATAGCTATTATCATGAAATAGTATTCTTGTTTTTGGTTTTATTTCGTCTGTAATAAATTTATTGGCCAAAAGGATGAACAAGAAACTTGATTGCATGAATTAATGATAATGCCTTTTAAAATTTGAAAAAAGAAGCATTTTAAATAATTGGTCTCGTTTCAAGCGTTTCTTTGTGTCGATTTTTTGGCTAAACAAAACAACAATTTGAGAATTTCAATTAAATAATACACATTTCTGCTGCTTCTACAATTGAATAAATCTGCTCAAGTGCTGAGTGTAACTGAAAAATATTGTATTTCATAACAACGTTGTTGGTTGGGTAATTCGAGGTTGTCTTACAGCGACGCAATTTGTGAGAGTGATTCATTGGACAGGTATTATTGGGAATTACATAGACGAATGAATGTTTTCTATAAATGCAGACGATAAGGTTTTTTTAATCTAATCTTAATTTACTGCTAAATAGAAGAAATTCTAAAGAATTTATCGATGGCATCATATCTTGAACGGTGAAAGAACACCAACTTCATTGGAGAAAATCAGGGGTTATCAGAAACTACTGGCTCGATTTAAATCAAATTATAGCCTAGCATTCTTTATGAATTCGATGAAATGAATTTTTCATCTGAACTTTTTATGGCATATTAAAAACTAAATCAATAAAATTTGAGCTTATTAACAATGAAAAGATGATTATGCTGATTAGTTAGTACTACTTTATGTTTCAAGTCTACGAGAAAATAACCCCTAGATTTTGTGATTCGTCAAAATTAGTATTCTATTTGTGTGATGTAATAGTTTTAATGCAACTTGATAATGTCTATCGAATCATGATAGCAAAAGAAACATGAATCATTCTGAAATTCCCCAATTTGCACGCATGAACTATTCTGCCGTTATTAGGCATGGACCAAAACCAAACCTTTTGGTTTTGATGGTTTTGGTTTTGACAATGGTTTTGGTTTTGAAGTTTCGGTTTTGACAATGGCTTTGGTTTTGAAGTTTCGGTTTTGACAATGGCTTTGGTTTTGAAGTTTCGGTTTTGACAATGGCTTTGGTTTTGACTCAAAACCAAAACTATATCAAAAATAAAACCGTCAAAAACTTTTGACAGTTTTGGTTTCAATTTTTCTCAGACATGAAAGAATAAATATCTAAACGAAAATTGTTCGTCTTTTCGCAGCGCTCCGAATGACCGGAAATTGAATGTCCGTTTTTCGGGCATGAAACGATTTTTCATGGTTCTTCTCAAAACTACCATAGATTTTCGAGACCGCGAAGCTGAGCACCATTAGGCTTGATATTCTATTGGTTGGTCAAGAATCAGCGAAAATCCAATCCTATGCAAAATTCTCTTTTCCAGGAAACTCGATTTGGTGAACTCGACTCTGAAATTCATTTTGGAAACATCAATATTGCAATTGTTTACTGATTGAATAATAACGGTTTGGGGAAAACGCCGGTCCAATTCGAACTCTCCACATGACATTACATACAGGGAGATATTTTCTGAAAAACTCGATTTCTACTGGTTCCGGGCGGACCAATAGGGTTTCGATGAAAATGGTGCTCAGATTCGGGTTCCTCGGTCTCGAAAATCTGTGGTAGTTTTGAGAAGAACCATGAAAAATAGCTCATGCCCGAAAAACGGACATTCAATTTTCAGCCATTTTGAGCGCTGCAAAAAGACAAACAATTTTCGTTTAGACACTCATCCTTTCATGACTGAGAAAAACCAAAACCAAAACTGTCAAAAGTTTTTGACGGCTTTAGTTTTGATATAGTTTTGGTTTTGAGTCAAAACCAAAACCTCAAAACCAAAACTATGGTCAAAACCAAAACCATGTCAAAACAAAGACTCAAAACCAAAACTTCGAAACCAGTTTTGGTTTTGGTGCATGCCTAGCCGTTATCTTAAACTTCAAAATATGTCAATCAGTTTATATCAAAATAAACTCACTTTTCAATTTTTGCAATTTGATGGCATTGCCCTAAATTTAATTATCTCAAGTTTTCATACCGGTGTTCACTACAAAACTAAACAATACATCTTATTCAAAGGTAAAACTCATTGAAATGATATTAATCAGTAAGAATTTTCCTTTAAAATAGCAATATGTTTATGAACTCAAGTTAATAATAAAGACTGCATTCTGTTTTCCCATTTTCAAATTTTGATATTTGAACTTTCTTTTCTTTTGTGCAAAATCCGGCGTCGATACCTACTTCAGCTTGAAGTCCAGCTCCTTGAAAGTAATATTTTCATGATTCTCAAAGTATGCAGGCAGAATCTTCAACTATTTTTAATTACACAATCAATTATTTCTATAATTTCCGTTTTTTATTCCTCATTAATTTTATATTTCAAATGTGCTAAAATTTGCCTGCTGGCATATTTTCCGTGCATAATCATCAACTTCAAACTATGAAATGTTTCAGTGGCTTCAATTTATTAATCAATCATATGAAATAGATCTTTCGCGAAAACAAAACATCACAATCCGAGCAATACTATTCACATATTATTTTTTCAGCAGCGCTTTTCATCGTATCTAGAAAAGTTGTTCGAAAAATCTTGCCACCAGCTAATGTATAGATATAAAAAGGAATACCATTTGCAATGAACGCAATAAGCAATTCAATGTTGTATAAAAATGTGTTTAAAGCATCATCATACTCTGAACCAGACCCGGGTGGTTTCAGCGTAATAAAAAGCTCTTGAATTGGTTGTGGAATGCATAATACAATTAGAAGAAGTATTTGTATGATAAGCATGCGAAGTAATTTATGATCGATTGTTTTTAATTTTGCTATTCTCACGGTCGATGGAATTCGTGCTACTGCAGCAACCGTATAGTGTACACGAACGCGACTGCACATATTGCGTACATTTGAAACAGTTAATACGCCGAATATAATCATTAGAATGAGTGGTATCACTGTAGTTACAAATGTATACATCAAATCGGTAACTAAACGACATGTTCCAGTTTTTCCATAACAGCTCATTGGCGCATCTATTATATTAGCTGCAAAACAATAAAGTATATAACAATAAGAAATACTTGATAGGGTCACAATGATAAATATTGCTCGTTTTACATTTTCCATATTGCTCATTCGTCGACGATAAGCTTGAGTGGACGATATCAACCATCGATCTATGGTAGCTAATGTGATCAACCATATCGCCATTGTTCGAGTACTGAATACAATAAAAGCATAAAGTTTACATACGATGTGAATTGTATTTGTTGGATCAACATTCCAACCAGTCAACATACGAGGTGGCACACCAATTAGAATGCAGATAAGACTAAGAAAAGATGAAGCCAAAAATATAGCTGCACACGGATGTGAACGCAGCTTTCTTTGTGATAGAACAAGACAATTGAGAATATTTCCCACCGAGCCGAAAATAAAAATAGCAAGTGCCAGGTATCGATTGAGTTGTTCCATGGTATATTTTAATGAAGCGATTGAGGATGTCATAATGAATGAGAATTGTGTGCTTAATTACTTAAGATTTGTAAAAGTCTATTATTTCTCTTGATAAAATCTGAAATTCATATTAATACGAGAATATATAATACTTATATTTAAACTTCACAACAAAGTATTAAATATTTTTAGATAAAACAGCAAAAATTTGTCATCTAATCTTTGAGATTATATATAAACTTTGCTTTTAAGAATGAAACAAACGCTCTATTAAAAATGTAGTCTTGTAATAAATGAAAAATTATTAGAATAAGATACCAACTATAGCTGGCAGTCACTTAAGGAAATAGTGTGAAACATCATGCTTTTTGCATTATTGGATTAAAAATTTATAATATCCTTTTAATTCTAAACAAATAAAAAAAACCCACTAATAGTATTATCACTACCGATAGCTCCATTTGTATGAAGTAATAATGTTCTTAAAATGCCTGTAGCTACTAGATGCTTTTTTCCGCAAGCTCCTACAATTTTTCCATTTGTTCGTAAGTATTTTGTGATGGATAAAAAACGATTGCTCAAGAATAGCATAGGTGTATCGGACAAGGGTGCTGTTTCTTTTTGTACATCAGATTCCTACAAAAATCTTGGTGATTTTTGGAGGTTCTGCTTGCAGCATGAGACAATGTGTCATATAAACCATTTGAAACTGTCTTGAATATCGCCTGAAATCGTGGTAGAACTGAAGGCTTCCGATAAAAACAAACAGTTACGCTGTTACTTATTTAAAGTTGTCAGATATGTTGTAATTCCCGAAAAAGTTAATATCTGAAACTATCATAATTCATTCAAAAGTATTGGCGGAGAACGGAAACAGAAAGCTTGAATAAAAGACCAATGTAGGTTATAAATCACGAAAGTTCTGAACAGCTGAAAAGCTCATCGTTAGGAATATGCGATAGCTAATCGTAGATTGTAAGACAACAAAGCTAATTTATATGAATATTCGAATATGTTGAAGCTTATGTTCGTCTGATGAAATTAAACTATTAATTTTTCACATGAATAGTTAGTTTAATTATGACGTTTATTTGAGACTAGGTAAGATTTTCCTTTTTCATTCTTTTTTTGTCCTCGAGCTCATAAAAATAAAAACTAATAAAATGTTAGTTGTAAGAAACAAAATCTAATTGCTTAAATCCCTCTCTTCCCAACAGATTGCCATGCATAGCATACGAATTTATGAATGGTACATGCAAGACACTTTCTACCTGAGCACTTGCGCTCTGAATATTTGCTCGTCAACAATACGAAATGAAAGTTTCATGAATTAGAATAACATGGAATACATTTATTAAATTGGCCTGTGACAAACAAAAGCAGAATAATAATGAAGTTGGTTGAGTGAGAATAGATGGAGGAAGTACATACACACCCTTATATTCGAGAGCAAACGACCGTGGAGCAGCTGTCTGCGATATTCTATTGGTGCGGCCATGACTTGCATATTCGTTTTTGAGTCTTAAGTAGCTCTAATAGTCATTTCGGATCATGTTTTATGAAAAAGAAATGAATTTTTTTGACAAATTCATTTTGTGAACAAATTACGAGAGAAGAGACAAAGACCAACGGTTTCTAGATTCTAATTGAAAACAAAAATCTTAGCTTAGTATCGAATTTTTTACAACTGTTTTAAAAAGAACTGAAATTTCAAAATAAAAGTAAACTGAAACCGTCTAGTACGTTCAATACTAAAGGTCCCGTAAACCAAATTCATATCAAACGTTTTGATGATGTGGCCCACTATTAGAAAAAGCAATTATCTTAATTCAAATATCACAGAAAGAACATATTTGATAAAGGGCTGATTTTTTTGATAGAGAATTACGTAAATATGTTGAAATATTCTTCTTTGAATATTAAGAACGTGATGATACTTTATTATCTAATCCTTGTTTCAAAACGCAAGTGACTGTCACTGCCAGCTGATGTTAAGCATCGCTAGAAAAATTATTTAATTAAGGTTAAGCGCAATCCCAGATATGAATAAATCAGCCAAGGGTCTTGAATAAAATAATGTTGGTGAAAATCGCTTCTGGGAAAATTTTACGTAGCCTAGAACGAATTTCAATAGTTCAATTTGCTATTTTGTTAGAGTTGTATCTTCTAAAGCACGCAAAATTATTCCTTTCACACGAATCTTCTTTTCTTGCGTACTTGAAACCTTTTTGAAGATACCAGAAAAAAAGACATACAAGACTATAGCATTTCCGTCAGTCCTGAATATATATAAGCTTGAGATTTGCAGTGGTTGTCGATGCTTTAAAAGAAACTGGTTAGGGACATTGGTACACTAAATAATATATTATCTTAAATTTCTGAAAGTATTGCTTATTTTTATCTTTGTGTATATTGGCAACGGCTTTTTTTGAGCTTTGTGACATTATTAATCAAAGTTAATTAAATTTATCAATGAGAGTTGTGCTTGAATTTTATCACTTCAGTGTTTTTCGTTTCTATTGCATGAGGGAAAATTTTCCTTCAAGCACCATAATTTCGTTTTGAAAATCTCGCCGGCTTTTGCTTTTATTGAAACATAACACAGTTATTAGAAATAAATAATTTATTCTCTACATTAAAAATAGATTCATCTAATTATCATGCAGTTTCGTTATATCTGTCATCTCAAACATTCATGATAATCGATCTTACGCAACACCACTGAGAAACGCTGCCCAGCAATGGGGGACCATTTTATAAGATTTTCATATGATTTTAGTAAAACTTCATTGAGTGACGGTTTTTATAAATACTTCATATAATTTCCATTGATATTACTAATTGTAATAGCATGATCATAATATACAAGTGTCTCAATCAACTTCAAGATAGAAGAGCTCGAATCAAGTTTTACATGATGAATTGCAGTCAAAAAAACTTTTATTTCTCAAATGGTAGACAATAAAAAAAACAGGGTTCCAAGCGACTATACCTTTAGGTGCATTCCAGCAATTTTAACAAAAGCTACATAAACGGCTGTTACTTAACGTGCCGTATACTTACTGAACATTAACCTTGGGCAAGTTACAAAAGGATTATTGTTATAAGTTACGGGTTGGTATTATGCAATAAAGGTCGTTCACTATTTGTCCGTTATAACACACGCGTTACTAGTAGTTCGGCTACTCATTGCAATGAATAACAATATAAACTTTCAGAAGAAAGTATAACTTGCTTCTTAATAGTAATTATGCAAGTGAAGATATTCTTTAGTCACAATTGTGACTATTTATAGCAAATAGAAATAACAAAATCTGTCAATTACTTTTCATGTGTTACTGCTCTTCACGCATTTCGAAATGCACTTGATAATTCATATGAGATTTTAATTATCAACGAGTTTCATGGACACTCGTCGTCATACTCAGTTACCTTTAAACAACGATAACTATTATGTATCTCTGTTCATTCACACAAGCTCATCGAATGCATCAAACATGATGTGTTCCATGTAGCCGATTTTGTTAAATGGTGGACATTTCAATGGATTATTTTACAATAGAAATACAAAGTACTATACTGGAAAAAATAGTTTGATAGGAGGGTGCTGCCATATTTCCAAATAGAATTAATAATGAATTTTATATCAAATAAAAGTCTGTAAAAAATAGGGTTCATTGGTACCGAACAATAAGGGTTATTGAAACTTGAGGGTGTGGGTGTGGGTAGATGTGAAAGGATCCTTTGTGTAGTTACACCCACACCCACACCCTCAATCAAGAAATCTTTTTGTCACCAAAATGTTTTAGAAGCGAAAAGGTTAGTAACGCACGAGCCAATGATAAATTCCAGAAATCAATATGATCACGATTTCTCATTAATGAACATGCTAGAATTTCAACATAAATCATGGAATTGTTGTCAAAGACTCCACAGAATTTCACTCGATTTTGCTACATTTAGCTGTTGAAATTTGTTTAAACGGGTTACCAATACCTACATCCATTGATAGTCTACTAAGGATTCATTAGATTTGTTCGCCTTGAATGAACTTTCAAAAGTCAATGTAACTGAATTTGACAAAACCCTAATTACTAATAATATTAATTTGAATTTCAGAAATTCATTTAAATGATTTCTTTTGTAATGAAGATGATCCGTTGAAATACATTATTTTCATTTTTCAGCTTGTACCTTTCAAATACTTGCACGCTGTGGTATGATTAGAATAATAATTCATAAGTCTATCAACAAAAATCATCAATCATTGTACCGAAAATTGCTTTGAATATATTTATAAAAAATTTATTATTCTCCATTATGAATTTATATTTAAAAAAAAACATTTTTTTATACACCTAACAAAAAATAACTGACACACTGTGATTCACTTTTCGTATCAAGTTCATCAATACTGTTCGAAAAATACTTCCACCGGCTAATGTATAAATATAGAATGGTACAGCATTTTGTATAAATGCTAAAAGTACTGTAAAATTGTAAAGAAAAGTTTTAATAACATCTCTCAATTCGGATCCAGAACTGAGAGGATTGAATGTAATGTAAAGTTTTCCAATCGCTTGTGGAGCACAACATAGAACTAAAACAAGCACTTGTACGAGGAGCATGCGAAGTAGACGACGATCGATGCTTCTCGTTATCATGTGTTTACGTCTTGTGTGACGAAGTCTATTCAAAAGATTGATCATATGTGGCGCACGATCGCGAACACGGTGTACGTTAGAAATAGTCATTAGACCGAATGTAATCATTAAAGATAATGGAATAATAATGCTTAAAAATATATAAATTAAAACGGTGACCAATCGGCATGTAACTGTTTTTGCATAACATGGCAATGGTCCATTGAGAATATTCGCTGTATAACAATAAAATATGTGAATGTAAGAAAGAACCGCTAGAGTCAAGCAGAAAATCATGCCTTTCTTGACGTTTTTCAATGTACTCATTCGTCGATCATGGACATTCGTAGATGATAATAGCCATCGATCAATTGTAGCTAATGTGATCAACCATATAGATGCTGTTCTTGTACTAAATACCATGAAAACACGAAGCTTACAAATCAAATCGATTGTAGATGTTGGATCGAAATGCCAAGTAGCCAATATACGCGTTGGTATGCCACTTAGAATGGAAATAAGATCAATAAATGAGGAAAGAAGAAAATATGCTGCACACGTATTATAACGAAGTGTCTTTTGATAGAGAACAAGACAATTAAGAATATTTCCTACGACGCCAAATATTAAAATAGTAAGTGACAGATATCGATTGAACTGGTCGGAAATAAAAGTCAATGATTCAATCAGTTTTGTATCTACAGATGATGTCATTGTTGTTGGGCAAAGTTGATTTTAATTCTATGCGCACTGTTTATAACACATGTAATTATACGATATGAAATTTACAGAAAATCGACATTTTGTATCTAGCTTCAATTAAAACTTTTGACACCGAAGAAATTTCACAATCTAAATACATTCGAAATCAATCATGAGAAACAACAGGAGAGAAAGAAAAAAAAAACATTATGTATTCTATTATAATAAATTACTAACTTTCTGGTATATATTTCATTTTTATATGAATAAAAAACGCCGTGCAAGTTCGCGTTACTTTACAAATCTTATGAATTATCATTTGCCTACTTGTGAACTGCAAGTAACTCAAATGAAGTATCTCAGGTCATCGAAAGATTTCTAGTAAGTGCAATTATCTACAATAAAAATTAGCCTAAGATGTAAAAACAATAGTAAAATATATGCAATCTGTATTTCTTCATAGATGTGGCTCTAGGAAAAAAATTCTCTCATATTTCGCATCAATGTTACTTCCTTCTTTTTCAAACATTTATAATCAGAGCGTCAAGATAAAAGAAAAGGGAGACAATCTGAATATAATCCGTACTTTTTAAATGCATATATGCCTATGAACAGCACGCCTTGAAATTTCGATCCTTAGTTATGTTCGTTAAACGCGTTTCCTTTTGATAATTTTGACGTTAACTAAAAGGATAAGTTTCCATATTTTATAACCGGTATACAATTTTTTCTCTAAGAACATCGAAAAGAAAAATGAATCATGACAATACGTATAGATTTATTTATCTTGTAATTTCTATATCGATTGATTAAATAAATCTTTTAAAATAACAGTTGATTATCTTATAAAACAACATTCTTCAGAACGAGTGGTTTGTTAAATATTTAAAATATTTAAACATAACATCTTACCTAATAGCAATCCTGCATGGAAATTTTTAAATCCAAAACGAAAACCATGAGCCATTTTCGTGAACATTCTTTGCAATATCAGTCACAGGAAATCAACGTAACTTTTTAGTATTAATCAAATAAATGTTAACCACACCCGCACTCCACGCTCATGAGAGAGACTGCAAATATGGATAGTTCAGTCAAAGAAAAATTTTCAATCCGATCCACAACGATATTAAGTATTTTTTTGTATTAACTAATTCTTATGTTAGTTTTTATCATTGTTAATCTACTATCATATTAGCATGACATCAGAATTATCAAATGAGTCAATACAGAAAAAAGTGCATTCTTTGAACGAATGTTTCTTTTTATGGAAACAAATTAAATAAAGTTACAAAGAGGAAAACCTATTTTATCAGTCGGCATAAGACTAATCATTCCGAAACGTGTTTAAAAAGCAATTGTGAAGATCAAGCTGTTTGCTGATATTTATAAACTCATGGAGTGTGCGGAATTATGTTCAGGCTGCTTTTTTTCCATCCCTTATGGTGTACTCATGCATTTCTGATCAATAAAGTGCTCTTCGCAGAGTTATGCATGTCGAAAAATGTCAGGATCAAACATTTGCTGTGTTACTTTGGCATTTTACTTAATCTACTAACAGATACTCAATTATCTATTGATTATCAAACTGTTTCTATAAAGCTTGCATTGTACGCATTCAGGAAGACTGTAGAAAGTGAAATAAAAACAGCATCAGTACTAATAAAATGTTTACAGGATAGTAGCAATAGACAAGTTTTAACATGCACACTTTTTGTCTCAGAGTTTGATCTGTAAGAAATAAAGAGCTCAGAAACCATAATTATTTTTCTTATAGTGAAAAGATGTTCTCATATTTTTAAGAAATTTATTGTACTGAATATGTCATCGCCATTAACTTGTGTAATGTAATTTCAGAAATGAAATAAAGCGTGGTAAAACAAAACGAAATATTTTATTATGATATTTGTTGTCACTAAATTAGAAATAATAGTTGCACGACCTTACATTCATACTTGTTTTGCTCCAATTCCTAGAGGTTTAACAACTATTTATTATGATCGAAAAGAAATGACCCATTTATATCACATCAGAACTATGTGACTCTATGCCTCTGTACTTGTGACAATAACATAATATGCTACTAAACTAGATTTTATTAGATACTCATTATGTGTTACACATTTTTCTCAAAATTAGAAACAACTATCTTAACAAAACCTCATATGAAATATTTGCAAACACTAGATTCCGTTTTTTTTATAGAAAATACGTTGTGTTGCTTTTGACTAGGATGTGTAGCGTGTCATCATACCTATTGTGAACTTCGAATTTATTAAATCATAATGTCATAGGAAATATCGTGATACTTCTGTCTATTATAAAGATGAGGGAGCAATGAAGCATATACATATCCATATACTGTCGACGGCGGCAGAACGATTTCAATCTAGGGAGTCTCAAACTTCTTGCCAGAGGATGAGAATGATGAGAGGTGAAATTAAGAACAAAAAAATCTAGTACTAATAGGTGGTCTGTTGATAATTTATTTCTGATTCTACTTCTCTCAAAACTTGTAAAATAATGAAAAATATTACTGTAATATTTGTTTTTCAGAAAATGATCAATAATAACACAGAAATCCTATAACGGCCTGGTCAGGCATCAGTCACCCAGGTCTAACAGTACGGTCCGTATGCTGTCGTTTACGGTTACTTTACGACTATTTTACGGGCGAAAGTTTGCCGTAATATCTGGCGCAGTAATACGGACCGTATGATCATGAGAGTACGGAACATAAACAGCCGTAAACTATGAAAATTCAGTCCCGTTTGGGGTGCCGTATTACTGTGTCAGGTATTACGGGCAAATACGGCCTATTTACTGCCGTAAATACACCGTCTTGGCATCGTTTACCGTCGATAAACAGACAGTAAACGAGTTCGTTTTGATCAACCTGGGGACCCTTGCGTGGCGAAGGTTCGAATTTTTTCTCGAATCAATCAAATGTGGAAAATACTTGTTTCACGCAGCCTTTTGCGCTGATTACGAATCTCTGCTCAAAAATAATTTACAGCCACATTATCATGATGAGAATCCAAAATTTAAAATATTTCTCCTTTAAATTTGATTTCTAACTTATGAATTTTTCTTAGAAATCCTGAAAACTACCTTATCGGATAGAGAATCGAATTCTCTATAAATCCCAACCTTTGCTCCTTTCTTTGGGTGAAAATGGCTTTTTTTTATATTTTGAAAAAATATTTAGGCTGCTTTGTTGCCAGAAGCTTTATACTCGGTTAATCTAATTTTGAAATATTATTTTTGGCTGTAATAGAATTGGCCGAAAGAAAAAATGTCGAAAGTGCTGTGAATCGAGTTTGAGCATACGTTGTCCATTTAAAAGTACAATGATGAATGCTTCTACAGATTGTTCATATAGGATTGTTGAAAAACTGGGTTTATACTCTATCTATAGCATTTTCGATATTTTTTCTTTCGGCCAATTTTATTACAACCGAAAAAATAAACACGAAACTGTTCCCAGAAAAATTTGGAAATTCTGTAACGGTCACTAATTGTTTTCTTTCGCTGCCCGGCAACTAGTCCAAGAGCAAGTCTAGCACAGTTTCTGTAGCTTCAACAGTGGGGTCTAATTTGGTAATTGCACGATCATTTCGAAAGTAATCTGAGACAGAATAATTCGCAATTTCGACATACACCCGAAAAACATTTCCATATTTTGAAGTTCCGCAATGCTCAGTATTTTCTGAATGACTATGCTGTGGTTGAAAGAAACTCAATGTAATTTTTACTGATAATAGTTCTAAAGGATCTCTATCTATGTTGAAATTTTCAGACAATTTGCTTTCAATAGCGAGAAATTACAAACATCGCAATGTAAAAAAATGAAATTCCGTAGTGCATGGCCACGCCGAAAACGAATTTCAGGAGAGTAGAACAAACAAAAATAAAGATAAAAGCACTAAATACAACCAAAAAAAACATTTTCTACTGATCACCCTAACATGCATTTTAAAAATTCATGCGATACTTGTCACCAATCAAGATTCTGCGTTGTTTGTAATTTCTCGCTATTGAAAGCAAATTGTCTGAAAATTTCAACATNCCTGGGGGGGTTAGTTTTTTTTTATCATTTTGTTAATCTTCATGAGCAATAGACTAACTATTAAAAAACAATCGATCGAAATTTTGTCAATTGTATCTACATTAAAGATGCGATGTACAACTGTTTTTCAAATTAAATGAGCCTCCCCAAGCCTACTGGGTTCGCCGCCTATGGTATGATCCTTGTCAGAATCCGACAGGATCCTACTGTCTGAATGATTCTCCTGGGTTTTAAAATAATCACTTCAAACTCTCTGTGCCATGAAGTTACGCACTATTTATTTTAACCATGTTCAATTATTCAAGAATATATCACGTTTTATATTTTTCACATTTATTTTCTTTACGACATAGTCAAAAGTTGATAGAAGCTGGCGCTTTATCGTTTTTCTTTCTCTTTTTTTCTGTGATTATTTTGTTGTCATTAGAGAACGTCACGTTTTCTTTTGTCACCACGGTTGTTCTTCTTCGTCTCTATAGTAGATGAGGATTTTTGTTCTCTTATCAACAAGAATTTTTCTTGCTATTTGCTTACTTGTATCGATAACGATAACTGTTTCGTTGCTATTCATATAAAATCACATCTGAAATTTAAATCGGAAAGATGGACAAGTTTATTAGAGAATTGACACATGATGATGAACTATTTGAAAAGCAATGGCCTGCTACATTTGATCAATTACGAAAACTATACAACGAATACGACGAGAAAAATATCGATATGTCTAATGTCAAAGTGAAAATTTTGGATGCTCTCATTGATTATGCGTTTGCAGAATCGAGTAATCACCGTGAACCGATTTCTGTCAAATTTACGTTCATCGACAACGTTGCTAAAACCTTAACTGATGATCCACTACCACCACTCGATGAAATGGTTCGTATTTTGCGACGTATTCTCGATACAAACAATCTATTCAATAAGTGGTATCTAGCCTGCATTGCAGTACTTCACTATAAACTTAAAATATTTGAACGTTTATCATCGACAAAATCAAGCGATTTAATCGAATCGATTTTTCAAAGTTTAGAAAAGCAGTCATTTTCAAATGAACAAACAGATAGTGCAACACAAGAGAAGTGGCGAAATTTTCTATCACGAGAAATGTTTTCAGCATTGTTGACGGATACCAATGAATTAAATATTGAAGAAACCATGCTTGTAATGCGACCTGCTTATCAACAACTTTTTCGGCAAGTCAAATAGATTTCGCCACAGTCTGTATGAAGATTTAAAGTCAACAAGAAAAATTATAAGTAGACTGTGGGCGTAAACTAACATAATAATTTACCTATACATTCACACCCTACTTTGAAATATATATTGATCCTCAAGTTTTATTTTGTATGAGAACTTAAAACATATTGACACATTCTATCTAATGCAGTACATTTAATTTTAATTGTTCTATTCTAAAGGTATGCTGCTCGAATGAGTCACCAATCACGGATCTGGTCGGACGTGGTATCAAAATTAGCACGACAATTACCAACAGTATTCGATAAATATCAAAATCCAAGCGATACTCGAATCGATCTAGTCGAATGTGTAAAAGAACCGATTTCAAATGACTATGTTGCTCTACTTGTAAAATCTTACCAAAAAAATGTTCAACTGTTCAAAATGAATTCATCAGAAATTCCGATTGTGATCGAAAAACTTCTATTGATCAGTGAAATAGATAGAGCACACGATTTTCTCTATAAAATCATTATCGAGCATTTCGATTCTGCCACGGATATAATTGAGCCTTTAATACGTATGTTAATGCGCACATGTCCTATGGTTAACATGGATCGTCGGAATGAATTATGTAAACAAGTTATATCATCGCTTGTCCGTAAATTGGGCGATAGTAAATGTAACAAAAAATTGGCACCACTTTTTTTCGATTTTATTCTTGTAACACTCGATTTGCATGTCATGGAGGCACCTAAGTGTGCTGAGCGTTTACTTAAAAAACCTGAATTCTATCCATGGAAAGAACTAGCACCGAAATTCAAAGATCTCGTTCGGTCATGCGTTGCCTACGATACATTCGAAATTAAAACCTATTTTAGTGATCTTGACTCACTTAGCGAGATTCTTGAACTGGTCGCCAATAGAGCTAAAGCAAACGCTCCCATTTTTCGAGCAACCCATCATGAAGCACTAGAAGCAATATATCGTTGGTCGACAGCATCAACCGATAATACTAGTACGAAGATACGGTGCGCACATGTTTGCAAGATGGGAGGACAACTATTACAACTCATAGATCAAAAACAAGTTACTGCCGACATTTGCTCTCGATTAATTAAAGCACTTGAACAGAGAGTTATCGATAATGAAGATGAAGAATGGTCAGAAGAAACCAATCAAACGATGAACTCATTCTTCATAGTAAGAAAACCTTAGGAAATTATTTGACGAATGTTTGTTGCATTTTAGAAACTGGCAGGACAAGTAGGAACTTATATTGAAGTTCTTAAAAATTTACCATATGAAGTTCATGGTCAATTGGCTTCATTTATTTTAACTGCACTTAAACGTCCACATCAGAATGAAAATGGACAAATGTCATTCGAATATAGTGCAGCGATGGCTGTTTGGTTTAAAATTGCACAGTTTTTAAATAATACAGCCGATGCTCGCCTGTATGAACCCTGCCTAAAACAATTACGATCGCTTGCATGTGACGACGAGGAAACGAAAGCTTTTGATTGGTCGACTACATTTTGGAGTATTGCAGGTATGAAAATACCGGATATGGCTGCTGATCATGTTGAAGAATTTCTAAGTGATTTGATTGATCGAAAACAAACACATATGATGGCTCTACTTCCAGTAAGTGTTTATTTTTGTTTAGATAGTCTGCATGAAAATGTACTTGAACAATAACAGATGAGCATAACTGACAAAAATAATGCAGACAGCTTAAAGAGAAAAGATTCCATACGTACAAAAATATTGACGCCTGCATCATCTCGATACAGCTTAGAAATTTCTTGAATGATGTTTCCTTTTTCGTTTCAATAGTTAAATTTGATCACTAACTAAAAGTTGAATGCTATTGGGCAATACTATTTCGTTGTAATTCATATTTGTTTAAGCAAAATATACGTTTGAACACCTACGTATCGAGAAGCGTGTATAAAATTTAGTACAATAAATATCTTGAATTAGACATTTTTAACCATTTTATCAAAGAATTGAATTTACAATAAAACATTCGTAGCACATATCTCCTGAAAACTATTGACGACATAATCTTTCCAAAAACAAAATTCATATGATCAGGCAATTGATGAGAAATTGATTGAATGTAAAGTATACTTTTCAAATTGTACAAACCTCAATTGAGCATCTTCTTTCAATTGAAAATAACTCAGACACATTGAAAAACACTTCTCGCAAGTCATGCAGTCATTACTTACCGAGAATATCTGATTCTCCGAATAATCATGTAAATGGTATTGAACAGCTAATAATATTTTTCATATCCAGATATCAACTTTTATCTCACTTTTCAGACGCTCTACTCTAAACGTCCTGATCCTTATCACGCTCGATTAGACGAATTAATCGATGGCATGTTTTCTGGAGATATTTCATATGTATCATCATTGGGACACCTCTTTTGGGCCATTACCAAAGAACATCCTGAATTAATTACAGAAAAACAAGTCAATCATATATTTGCTTCACTCAAGGATTATAATGGTACTTCCCACGAACTGCATCTTATTTTTCAAGGGCTCGGTTTCGTGGCAAATGCCCAACCGCATTTATTTCACAACCATCAAGATGTACTCTTGCGTTTTATTCTTGAACAACAAAATCTATCAGCGTACACATGTCTTCAACACTACTTAGTTGCGTCAACTATTGTCGATGGTGAAAAACGAGCCAATGAAGCACTTACATTGTTCATTGATCTTCTGAAACGTGATTCCGGTATTGCAAATGATATTCGAAAACAAATTTTCTATGCATGTCAATCGATTGGTATCATTAATAAGCAAGCACTTGAAGCTAAGAAAGCAGATTTCGAAGCATTTAACTCGCAACCAGAATGCCGCACATTACTCGATTTTATTAATGGAAATAAAATGAGTGAAGAAAATCAAGCAGCAATAAGTCGAAATCGTGAAGAAATCGCACAAGTGGAGAAACGTGTCGTTAAAACTGAGAAAAATGTCAACATGGTAACAAAAGTGGTTCAACGACAAGAACTGAAGGTAAAGTTTCTGTTCATCATAGAATATATATTAAAAAAGCAAAATGACAAAGCTCTAATACCCAAACGTATAGGATCCATGCAATAAATATTTTCCATTCTTATAGATGCTGAAATATCAACTTGAGCAACAAGGATCCGATGCAGAATTCGCGGATCTATCGACGAGCAGTGAAACTAATCCTAGCACTAAGGATGTTGCTATTGCATGGATTGATCGTATTGACTCGTCCCTTGATACTATCGTTCTTGAATTGCAAACAGTCAGAGAGGAATTACGCTTGCTTCGTCAACATTTTCTTAATAAATAAATAAATAAATAAATAAATAAATAGTAATAACATATCAATATATATTTATCTCTATACAGGTCACTAATCTTAGTGCACGTGTTGATTCAGTTGATACACGTTTGAACGATGTTACTGAACAAGTGCAGGTACAGGCAAAAGAAATTGAACGAATCGATTTAAAAACATTGAGCTATGTACCAGCTGAATGGGGTCGTCAAGTAAGCAAGTTACTTAATCAACGTGCAGATAACGATTGGCGTTTACTCGGAAAACGCTTCGGTTATTCGACTAGTGAATTACGACACTGGGCTCTTCAATCCGATCCATCTATGAGTTTAATAAATGAATGGTTTGTGACACACAAAACTGATGAAGCAACCTATGGATTAGTCAAGATGTTAGATGAAATTGGTCGACAAGATGTAGCGAAAATTATTCGAGAAGCAGTTGCAGAAGCCGGCGAACTCATTCCTGATGACATGCCTTTTGAAATCAAACGTCTTCCACCGATCTTTCTTTCGTATCAATGGGGATGTCAAAAAGCTGTAACAACATTGAAGACTCATCTTGAAGAAGCTGGTTATTCATGTTGGATGGATATTGGACAAATGGGTGGTGGTGATAAGCTGTTTTCTAAGATTGATGCTGGTATTCGTGGCGCAAAAGTTGTTATCTGTTGCATAAATTCGGCATATAGTCAATCAGACAATTGCTTACGTGAAGTTCATCTATCTGTTAGTACCGGTAAACAAATCATTCCTTTACAAATGGAAAAACAAACATGGCCACCTGAAGGTGCTCTCGGTCCAATTATGAGTGAATATTTATTTATTCGTTTTTATGATCGTAAATCGAATTCGGACAACTATTGGCCTGCAGATCGATTTACTGAACTTCTTGGTCAGATTCGCTATCATGTAGCGCCAGATCCCGATATGATTAGTGAACGATATAAGGATTGGTTTGTACCACATGTCGATAATTTGATCTTTCTTCAGCCAACGTCGCACGATAAAAATGGTAAACAAGTCGAATTAAAAGATGATACTCCACTCGTCGTTATTCATCCGCAAGTTATGATTTCATATCAATGGGATCGTCAAACTGATATTGTTGCTCTATATAAACGATTGACACAATTGGGTTATCGTTGTTGGCTTGATATATTTCAAATGGGCGGTGGTGATTCCTTATTTGAAAAGATCGATGATGGAATTCGTAATGCTAAATGTGTACTTGCTTGTGTAACTCCGAAATATACGAAATCGATCAATTGTCGACGAGAAATGTCATTAGCCGATGCACTTAGTAAAACGATTGTACCATTACTACTTGAAGATACAAATACATGGCCACCACCAGGTCCTATGGCACTCGTATTTACCGAAAAGCCGCACATTGATTTTCGTCATCCGAATGAAAATATTCCAGATGGACAGGATATTTGGTCATTGAAACAATTCGATCAAGTACTTGCTCGTTTGAAAATAGCCGTCCCCGAAGTGCAAACCGAGAAGCCTCGAAAACATTTGCTCGATATGAAACGACCGACAACAGCATTAGGACAATCCGAACATAAAAAACGACCAACACGCGTTCAAAGTGCACCAAGTGTTCCACAGAGCCGAGCCTGTTCTATCATGTAAAAACTCACGTTTTGGATTAGTATAATGATTTCATCTGATTTAATATTTCCGACAATCCAAATATTTACCATGAATATAATACTAATTGATTTTATTTCAGATGTATGCCTTTGAATTGTACAACAATTCAGCTTTATATGTATGCTAACTCTAATGTTATGATGTTTAGAATGATGAAAATGAGCTGTAATGAATCTCTATCGCAATTTAGTTTCTTGTTCGTCAATGTTTGCTTATCATATTGGATCTGACATTAATTTCTAATTGTGCTTTTAATTCGGTTCTATTGTCTGTAACGTGCCTATCCGTTACAATTTTGAATTGGAGATTTTTCTCAAAATATATTATTCTCTTTAAAAATATGATAATGTTGCATTACACAGTCGTCGAATTTGATGTCAATATATGCGATTGTTCATAGATTTATTCGTTCACCTTTTTTTTCTGACACTTATTAGATTGTGAACATGAAGCATTCAGAAGATGGATTTCACAATTCTGTAAGACAAGCTTCTTAATTAATTAATAGCAATGGCGCTTCCAATAGCTTACACATATTCTTTTGATTTCTCGAAATTGTATTTCCTATATTTCGGTTAGATTAAATATTGCTAATGAGTCGAAACCAGAAATACTATTGTTTACACGAAGCATAATAAAATATTGGCAATGCTTAACTGCAAGCAAAACTATCTTTTTATTTCTTAGAAGTTTAAATACAATTACAAAATGCCTTTATTTTTGTAGAATATAATTTGGCGGAATGATTTACGAAATAAAATATATTAAAATAGCTTTATAGTTCTATTAAATATCTCATTAATATCGTTTAATCTCTACGAAGAATACCTTTCAAGAAACTGTTTTATTCGAAAACAAGAGAGTAATAATAAATCTAGTGATAAATATTATCTTAGAATTTTTGTCTCCCTTAAAATGAGCGGGCACATTTTAAATTCAAAATTCACATTTATACTGATTCTTAACTCGTGGTAATCGTTAGTTTTCTCTTTTCTCAAACTTGAAGAAACACTTCCATACTATCAGGCCACCGAAAGCACAGTTAGATTTTCTTTTTCTACGAAGATTTATCGACTACTTAAAATAATTTCAACTACGATTGTACAGTTCAATTATAAAAAACATTCATCCTCTAGTCTAGATGAAACACGAGCAACATTTTTTTCCATATTTCTTAAATCTGAATGATTAGCTGGTAAAGTACGACGAAAGATGTTGACTGTTTCTGTATAATAATATTGTGCTTTTTCATAATTACATTGATCCTCGTAAATACTAGCCATATTTTCCATTGTCATGATAACATGAGGATGACAAGAATGAAGTGATTTGTTATAGGTTTTTAATGCTAATTCATAATGTTTTAATGCTGAATCATTCTCATCAAGGCAAACATACATATTGGCAACATTGTTGTATGATACGTCAATATCAGAATGGCCAACAGGAAGATGTTTCTCACGAATATGCAATGCTATTTTTTATGATACTCCAATGCTTCCGAATATTCTTTTCTCATCTTGATAGACATTACCCATGTTATCAAGACACATTGCTACGTCTGTATGTTCTTCACCATGGTTTTTCTTCAAAATTGTCAATGCCTTTTCATATGACTCAATTGCTTTAGTGTGATCGCCTAATCCATGATAAGCAATTGCTATACTATTATAAACATTGATCGTATTCACATTGTCTTATTTCATGTTTCGACGAGAGCTGACATCGTGCAATTTTGCATACCACTTCAAACTCAGCTGATAGTTTTTTTGCTCACTTACTACAATGCCTAGGGCATGATAGCATTCGGAAATATGTGGATGATTACTAGTTAATTGTTTTAAATAAGATTTATAATAGATTTCAGCTTGATTTAGTTTACCCGTATCTTGCAAGATACCTGAAAAACAGTCCAAATTTGTGTCACCGTTACCTAATTGTCGTTGCATGCGTTCAAAGAGTGATTGTAATTGTTGATCATTATTCGAACAAAGACTCAAACGAATATTCCAAATTCCATCCTCGTCAAGGTTTGTATCTTTTATTCGAAAAATTGATCCAATCATGAAAAGTATTTATTCTTCTTTAGTGAACTCACTGAAGTACGTTATGTCACTGAAAGCTTTAACATTTCTCAATCGAGAATCTGCATCAATCAAAGCTGGAGCTGGTAAGAAATCTATAAACCGGTCCTGTCCAGCCGGTTAAAAAAAAATTATCAGTCGGGTTCGACCGGACATAAATTACTCTTGAACCGGTGAAATTCCGGCAAATCGGACAACAACTGATGGAGTTAATTCTTTGAAAATTGTTTCAGATAGCCAAAATACGGTAAAAACTGATAGAGCGAGTTCCAGCAATGATATCAATTAGTTAATGGTTAAATAGGCCTATTCAAATATTATGACTCAGCTCCTCACATTATAAATGCTGATAGCTGAATACTTCAAATTTTCTGATCAGGCCTCTAAGGAAAAATATTTTGAAAATATACTTTAGAGAATTTACATTCTTGATTAAATATAATGAAAGCTATCAACAAATCTGTAGAAAAGAAAAGATAGACGTTTCAAATTTTATTATGAAATCATCTTTTTACAACAATGCATGATAAAAAGATAACACTGTCGATAAAATAGAGTGCATCGACCAACCAAATTGATCAGCTATCGCACTTTCGTTGATTTCTCTTTACTGTGAAGGAAAATGAGATATATTGCTTGTGTTTATGATGACAATCAAATATTCCTTCTGAACTACACAAAATTTTCCATCATCAACAGTTTCGTGAGACTTCCTATATATATATGTATTGATAGCACAATTTCATTATATCTACTTCATGGAAAAATTCATAAAACATTTTTTTAACAAAAATAGAGCTAAATGAAGACAGTTATTTTAAAGTTTCAATCGGTGATTTTCCGGTATTTACCGGTCCGGTCCGGTTCCAGCGCTGGTCCGGACACCAGAAGATGATGAAAACGACGATAGTGGCCTAAAAGATTAAAAATAAATATTTATCTAAAGATTTTTTAAAACTTTCAATCAACATAGACTCTATGTTTCAAATAGAAGACCCCCTTTGAAATTTCATCTGCTTTGTCATTATAGAAGACCCCGGGTCTTTTATTCCAGGAGGAGGCTTAGTTCAAATGAATAATGCTTATTGTGGAAAATCAAATGAACATATGTTATGCAGTCTTCTTCGTTTGAAATAAATCATTGCTCATTTTCTCTGCGTAAACTAAAACGATGAATGACTGTTAGATTTTATACAAATTTTGACAGTAGAAACTTACCGAACTTTTTCTGGTATCAATAAAACATCTAAATATTATGCGTACAGTTTATTTCAAAAATCAAGCAGAGTTTGAAACAAATAGATTAATACTGAGTTTAGATATTTTATGGTAATATCTAATTACGAATTCATATTCAGTTCGTTAATCATGTCGTTTGCATATAAAAATTGTTTCGCATTATGATCATATCAATCACAGTTTTGTACTTTAAAGATTTCAACAATGATTGTTTTGTTCGAATATTTGATAATTCTGTGCCAAAACAAAGTAAGTATTCGGAAAATCATTGAAGCATTAATAATATTTATCAAGATAAAATAAACTTTCCAAGAAAGCTAGAGAAAATTTTTAGTAAACTATTAATATTTTTTGATCACTGACGTGAATAGTCTATTTGTGCGTTTTTCAGTGTAGTTTTTTTTTATTCATTCTCATAACTTTGCAATAACGAATTTAATGCTAGTAGAAATTTATGCAGTTTGTCATAGATGTCATAATACCGTTACGCTGGGTATCGTGATTTCCAAGTCATAATACCCATCAAATTCTTTTTGGGGTATTACCCCTAAGGTATCCACTTTTACTTAACTATATGTTTTAAAGTTGAAGAATTTGGAGGAGCTGCCTAACCCCACATAAAATAAGAACGAGATTTTCGAAGAATCCATTCATGACTTTGAGTCTGCTACAAGGATACCTGTGTTTGTTAAAACAATTCCTGAGGTTGCTAGAAGTATACCTAGGGTTTCTAGATGCATTCCTGTGTTTGCTATAAGAAATTGAGTGCTCCGAGATGTATAGGGTCATTTGTGTGAAAGTTGGTTTGGATACCTGTAACAAGATGAGGCACAGTTGCAGTAACCTGTATGAAGTATCTAACAGCTCAGGTATGTGTTCCGGTACCTGTGGTGTGTCACGAAGGACTCCACTCGTACTGGTAGCAACGTGAGGCAAGGGTGTCGGAAGCCGAGGAATAATCTTAGCAACCTGATGCATGGTTTCAGCAATTTCACGCATTCTTTTAGAAGCCTAAGATATTCATGCATTAGCGCCCGACTTGCTTCCAGCAGCGACAGCCTTCCATCTATCAATGTTACGCATTGTCAGGAATCCAGGGAATGCTCCTAGAAATCATAACTTATGCCACACATTTCAGCCTCAGTAATATGCGTGTCTAAATTCAAATTATTTAAAAGACAATTCAGATAAAATGATATTATTTGCATTTTCCTGTAGCAATATCTGTGCCTTAAGCTTTTCCGAAATGTTACTGTGCAGTACATGAATCAATTATATTCAAATTCGAATTGAGCATCTTATGGAAATTCCAGTTGTTTTTGTGTATTTCTTCGAGGATATCCAAGTTGTTACGCTTTCGGGTAATACCCCAAAACAACTCAAATTCCTCAACTTTAAAACATACACTTAAATCAAAGTGGATACCCTATAGAGGTGTCAATTTACAGTTTATTTAATTTAAATTTAACTTCGTGAAAAGTTAATTTAATTTAAAATTAAATTCTATCAAGTTAAATTTAAAATAAATTTAAATTTTTTTGATACAAAAATTTAAACTTTCAGAATTTGAATTTAATTTAAATTAAATTTTTGAAAATTTATTTCTCGATTTAAAAATTTTTTTTAAATTTAAATTTTAAATTTAATAAATTGTTTGGATGGATACACATCACTGCTACGAGAGAAATACGTGACTTTAACAGTAGTAAATACTAAATGAGAGGAAAACCTAGTATTTTAGGTTAATATTTATTCATAATAGTCAAAATTTCTCTACAGATTACGCAGGATCCGTCATCTTTCTTCTTCAGAATACTGGGATACTCATAAAAAGATATTTAATAGCACAATTCATAGAAGAATGATTAGTTTTAACTTTAGAAAACAGGAAACATACTCAAATTTGACTTTAAATAGCAGCAATCAAGTCAAAAACTATGTTTATCTGCTAGTTTTCCAAATTTAACTAATTTGAATTTCAAACAATTTAATTTAAATTTAAATTTCTTGAATTAAAATTTATTTTAAATTAAAATTTTTGAAAATTTATTTCCCGACTTAATAAGTTTTTTTAAATTTAAATGTGACACCCCTAATACCCTAGGGGTAATACCCGAAAACAACTCAAATTCCTCAACTTTAAAACATATAATTAAATGAAAGTGGATATCCTAGGGGTAATACACCGAATGTTTATAAAGTAGGTTTAGCCGGAGAAAAAGTCGTTACCCGGTGTAACGGGATTATGACATCACTCTCCTGAGTATAGCATGTGACTTGGAAAAATAACTTCGAAACACCACATCGAGAGAATAAAAATGAAACTATCGGTGCATTTAATAGATATTGATCGAGTCTACTTGAACTAATTTTCACAAAACGAAAAAGTATTACCCTTTTTTTCAGGCAGATATTTTACGTCTCTGATTTATATCAGTATTTATTCGACCAATCATGTTATGTGTGTCAAAGAAAAGTTTTTCTTCGGAAAATATATGATACGAAAAAGTAGATCAATTAAAATCTTTATAGATATTATTTTTCATATGAAATAAAAATGCTTGACTTTTCAAAAAACAAGAAAAACCCTCAATTTTATCTCGAATAAATCATAATATTGATGGTTCAAAGAAATAAACTAAAGTTTTGTTTTGTATTAGCAATTTGCTGAAGTTTCGTTTTACTTGTCATCGATAATTGACAATTATTTAAATAGACAATTCGTAATGATTGATTTTTTCAACATACTCATTAGATAATACACAGATGAATCGTTTATTAAACGATTATTTTCCAAATTCAAATGTCTAAGAATTGTACTATCATGAATCAATGCTGAAGCTAATTTTTTCACACCATAATAACTTATTCGATTACTTGCTAACCACAAGCTAACGACCGATTTATTTTTTAAGAGCATTTTAGTCAAATGCTTCGCACTATTATCATTTTAATTAGTCTATTCAAGATCAAACCAACTGAGATGTGAATTATCTAATGAAAGGCTTTCGGCGAGATATCGAATATCCGTTTCAGATAAAACATTTCGATTTAGAGAGAGCATTTCTAATGTTGTATTACTTTGTAAACATTCGGAAAATTTAACTAAACCTTGAGAAGTAATTCGATTATATCCTAAATCAAAGCTTTGACATTTTTTATTCATAATTGCTAGTTTAACACAAGTTGAGTATTATCATTAGTTACATATTGATTACATAAGGAAATTTTAGAATCGATTGAACATCGATTAATGAAATCTTCAATCTTGACAATATGACACCCGGTAGTTGCTGAATAAAATTCAATTAATAAAAAAAAGAAAAAGTCTTTTGAATTTTAACTTACATAGTCGTATTTTCTTTTCTTTCAATAGATGATGATTGATCATGTTTGGATTTGAATCATGAGAATCGGCGATTTGTTAGGATTTTAAATCTATTATCTGTCCTTTCCATGAACATTTATTATTGCCAGTTAAACAGGATACAATTGCTTTTGGAACATGCATTATCGATGTGATCACTAAAATATTTTTGTTTTATTCTAGTTTGCTGCCAAAATATACATTTAACTTGCAGTTGATTGAAAATATTTTGATTAGTCAACATTTTAAAATATTTGTCTGTTCACATTTGACGATGTATTGGACATGTTAAACTTGCACTTAACCATAGTTTAATGCAGCAAAAGCAAAACATATGTTCACATATTGCTAATATTGGTTTCTTGGATGGATTTGAATAAATAGTACAAATAAGTTTTGCATCAATGAATAATTCGTTTTCGTATTCGTACTCATTATTGCTTGACATTTGTAATCTATGAACCAAACTATAATTTTTTACCGAATTATCTTATTAAAATATGAATCAATATTTTTGTCTTATTGAAAAATAGACCGAGCTTTGTATGAATACACTGATGAATAAAATATGATTGTTTACCTTCATATTTTTAGATGCACATCAGGCTTCTTATTTTATACACGTAAGTAGACATGAAATTTTCTTTTCATGATAGCCAATCGTCTATACCTTTCACTGATCATTGTTCTTTTCAGATCAATAAAGAAAATAATTCGTGAGCTATTTTCGAACTAAAAGTTCATCGAAGTCGATCATCATTTAGTCTGAATATCATGTCTATAAAAGTAACATCGATGATTCTGCATTTCCAGGAGAAAAAAAATCGATAGTATTAATAATACGTAGACTATATATTTTAATTGCTTTCTAATACGCTTATTCGACTTTTTTAAAACTTTCATTTACTAAAAAACATATTTGAGAGAAAATATTCATTCGTTTTAGGAATGAATTGTCTGAATCTAGTCGATTCTTTCTATGCGATGCACATAGTTTTACGCACATTTTTTTGCGATTCATACTTTTATATTACTGAGATTAATTTAAATGTACCTTTCATTGGATACAATGCACAGCCATATTATTTATGAGATATAAGAAAACTTCAACATTTTTGCCATATTATTAAGTTTCGTCGCTATCTGATGCACTGCTTCAAATAGCATATTTTCGATGCGTTTATAGAACAAACTGCCATCAGTGTTTGTATATCAAGATATTTCTGTGTATCGACATCCATCACTGATATTCTAAAGAGATATTTATAATCAATAGTATTCATTTGTGGGTGCGTCTTGGACTTTAGTGTGTATGTGGAAAATATTTGTCAGGTATTACGACGATTATTCTGTGGAGGAAATTTCATTTCTTGATTGTGTACACTCGAATATTCGCCATGAATTCATTCGTTATTAAATAAGATATGCCTTTAGTAGATGAACTCATAGATAATATTTGGCATTGTATTTTTTCTCAATTATGATATAAAGAAAAACAACATTAGATATTTGATTTTGAATTTATATGATTTATTGCACTACGCGGGGATGTTTTTTCGATCTAGAGTCAGATGACGATGAAAAATAGTTCGACGATCACGTATAGTACTCCAAGAGTTGTATACGATTGAAGTGAAAAGGACATCTTATCTCAATAGTAGATTCACAACAGATCTATGTAAATATTTCTATATCGTAATAAGTTTTAAAGGTTTGAAATATTTTTGCATTTCACATAAATATTGATCACCTTGTTATTGGTCTAAATTTTTATTGAGAATATGCGTACAGGAATCTATATTCGAGATCTTTTTTATGCGAACATGTTAAGCGGGTCTGACACTATAAGAAACAACAAATATACGAATTAAGTTACAGATACATTTTTTCTTCGTTAAGTGTTTTTCATTTGTTCAATGAACTGAAAGAAATATTTTACATTCGTTTGACATGCGTTTTGCAGGTAGATTTTGCGAGTGGAAAAGAATCAATGTCAAATTAGCCAATTAATGTTTACTCATCTTGACCTCGTTGTTTTTACAAATTATTATATTAATGCAAAATGCATACTCCTTGTCGACTGAAAAGACAAAACAATTTGTTTATCTGTTAGAGGACATTTTCGATAATACTACCATAGATTTTTTTATTTAAAAAATGTTTCTTCTACAGAAAAAAACAGATCATTATTTAATAAGTTAGATTGAAATATTTATTATTTTAGCTAAATCTTGCTACGTCAGTTTTCGCAATTAGCTTGTAACGACAATCGATCACATGCATTCCGAATAAGTAAAAAGGAATGCCACCATTAAAATCGTGCGAAAACAGAAGAGACTAAATTTAAAGAAACATTCTTAACAAACTCCCATTTTTTATATAACTCCATAAAGATATTCTTCGTACTAACAAGCAAAAGACATGATGAAAACAGAATCATATACGAACAAAGTTTACGATGATTTTTGAAAACAATCATATAGATTCTTTCTGTATTGTTATCGATCAACCTATAAAACTATTTGATACAACCAATATGTATTATCTTTCGTATTAGTTTTGCATACATTCAAGTAGTATTGCCGATTATAAATCTTCAACTTACACATGAAAACATCCACCAACGCGTTGAAGTACCTTATAACAATCCTAATTCTTCTAGAAAATAGACCAGACTATATAAAGAAAAGTGAAGTTATCCTTTTCGTGGCAGTCGTTCGAAATTAAATTAATTTTTTCTATCGGTTTAGTCTTCATTGTCTATCTAAATAACTTTTATGATGCACTAATTTTACCTACAGTATGAATCTTATTTAAATTTCACAATTGCTTTTGAAATTTCTATTTAACCCAGAATTATAATGCTGCACTAAAAGAAGAAGCAGCATCGGGTATGTATTATAAATATTTATTATGTTTACTCTATGTTAATTTTTGAACGATAATTCTCTACCATTAGCTGAACTCAGCCCAGAACAGATGGGTAAATGTTAACTGCTCGCTACTTTTATTTTTAAATGGAATTTCTATTTCATTTCAGGAGGTCATTATCAAGGTGATATGATTTTTCCGGAAGATGTATCAGTAAGAAAGAACTGCTGCTTTAGTTTCGTAGTACGTATATACATATATTCATTTGTTTTTATACAAAGCGTGGAGCGGCACATCGGCCATCATCACAGCGATGGCCTAATGGTATAATACCCTATGATATGACATCATCTATTTGTTAGTATTTCTTAAGTTCTCTTTTCTTTCGATAATCTGTGTTAATCTTAAGTTGTCAATCATTCATTATTGATTGTTGATGCTATGCGACGTATGGAGAATCTAACACGAGTAGGAAATCGTTCGTGTATTCAATTTCGACCGAAAACTAGCAATGATGCAATTTTTATTACAATTCAGAATGGAACTGGTTGTTCCGCTTATGTATGTATACATTTTTATTTTAGACAAAAAACGATTCAACCAACAATAGTTTCTTTTTTAATACAAGGTTGGATATCTTCAAAATATTACTCTAAATCGTACTGTTACTTTAATGCATACGCCAACTTCCACTTGCATGATAACTGGAATTATTCAACATGAACTTCTTCATGTACTAGGTATTTAATACTAACTTAATTTTTGTTGAAAAATTCTCAGTTTTAATAAAAGGATTTTTTCATGAGCAATCTCGTCCTGATCGTGATGACTATGTTTCCATTCAATGGAATAATATTTTAACTGGTAACTCATACTATTTCTATAATAAGCAATCCTTAAAACAGTGAACTATTTTTAATTAGGTACTGAGTTCAATTTTGAGAAATATACCACAGAGGATATTGACACTCTCAGGACATCATATGAATATGGATCCGTTATGCATTACCAAGCAAATGCCTTCAGTGCGAATGGTTTAAACACGATTATACCTACGAAGGATCCTAACGCAGTGCTTGGACAACGTATTGGTATGAGTCCTATTGATATTCTTGAGGTTCAACGTTATTATGGATGTGTTCCAATTCCGTCAGCAGCAGTACATCAACAAAATACAATATCCATGAGTTCAACTATTAGTATGGGAATAGTTCTAATACTTTTACTTCACTAGTTAATATTTGTTAGTATTCTCAAGTTCATATTAAGAAATATATTTATTGAAGAACATTGAAAATCCCTTTTTAATTTCATCACAAAAGTAGATATTTCTTTTTTGAAAATTGTTTTTTCCTTAGTTTAAAATAAATTGTCCATTATTTAATAAAAAATAGTAGATATTGGATGATTAATTGTATAGTTCTAGTTCTTCTATTCGAGCATAATGACGTCCTTCTATGACAGACGGCTTTATTAATTTATCTAAGACAAACTAAAAACTGCGATTACAATTTTCAATGTACAATTATTTATAAAATTGCGATTATTAATGAATCGGGCAACAAGAATATAACGGAAAACTGAGGGTGTGGGTGTGGATGCAACTATACAAAGGGTCCTTTCACATCTACTCACACCTACAGCCTCAAGATTAAATCTAAACAGTCCATTGTATAATATGCATCTATATACTGTATCGAGCTTAGTTATAGACTACTGCTGAATATATGATTAAAAAAACATTTTTGACTGGTATATATATATAATAATAATAATAAACAGTATTGAAAAATTATCAGAAAGAAAACATTGAAGGTATGCACAATGAGTCGTGCTTATTTTTTATTATTGATTATCACATGCAGTAAAATTGTGGTACCTAGAGTTACATAAGGCATTTTCATTTATTTGTTCGGCTAATTTGTTTACAGTCACATTTTAATAATTCGAAGTATTCTCTAAAACAACTTGGACTAATAATGATGGTAACTCTGATGCAGTTGTCATTTGATGACAATTATACTACATTTCTCTGTTCCTCCTTTTATAATTTATCGTGTTTAAGTTCCATTATCACACCTACTGTAATATGAGCACCGTTTGGATCACCATCAAAATGCAGTACCGGTATTAAAGAAATAGCTAATTAAATCCTCTTGAAAAACTTCATCTTCAAATGCATCGTGATCATTTTGTTCTTCTTTTTTTATAATGCTATCAAATATTCATTCAGGTAATAATGTTGATGTGAAACCTACTTCAGGTTCAGTACTACCCAGGTGAATGCACCCGATACCGAATCAGATCGGATCTTATAAAATCCAACGAGTCGACAAAGTCCCATGGGGTTTCGGATTGAGGAACTACTAACGGATCCCTAGTGTTTGAATCCGGCGAACGTCCGACCAAATCCAACAACCAAATTCGATAGGAATTGCCGGAGTCGGATTCCAACGAGGTTCGTAAAGAAACCTATCGGGTTTTGACTGATTCCTGCTAGAATCGATTGGATTCCAACACTAGGGATCCGTGAGTGGGTCCGCAACCCGGATCTGCTTAGAATCCTGCAGGAACCGATCGAAATCTGATTGGATCCAGCTATCGGATTGTTCGTCCTGGGTAAGTAAAACCGATCCTGGACTGTTTTAGCATTTCACGATGACATACATTTTTCTGACATTGCACAAATCATGAATATTTTGACCAGTTTTTACAGTTATGGTTTTCTCGTCTAAGATCCTGGATAAATAAACTAATCGATGATGAAAAAATAATTTTCATTATTATATTATTACTGTTCACTCTTTTGTAGCTTCATTGACGCATTCAATAGATCCTTGTAATTGCGAAGAACTGGGTGTTCTAAGGATAATGTTCGAGCTTTGATAAAGTTGAACCAATTCTTTAACTATTTTAACAACGCCCTTGCGAACATTATCTAGTTGTATCATAAGAGGAGCTGCAAATATTGTGAATATATCTAGTAGAGAGAATGCAACGTTCGTTTTAGCCGATTGTACTTCACAGCATTTAGGAAAATGCCCTTGATAATTTAATATACGATGATTAAATTGGATTTTAATCATAATCTCATTAGTCTGATTGTGTTCAATTATATGGTTGAATATTCAACTAACTTTATTGGGTTAATCATGATATTATTAGTACGCGTGACATAAATAAAAATATTAGAGATGAGTACTTTTATTCATCAAATATTTTCAAGTGACTTGCATTTATTTATAAAGCGAGAATCACTCTGTTATTTTCATAAAGAAATTTCTTTCACGTTTACCTTACTCTGATTTTTTTAGATTCAACTCAAATCCATAATTTTGAAACATTTGATTCATTTTAGAACTTTAGTGTAAACAATTGAAATAGAAATGATGGAAATTTAAAAAGACGAACATTTATTTTTCATTGTATATTCAAAAGTTGTCTATTTAATTTGATAAATAACTTCGAGAAGGAACTTTGTCGAAGTTTTAATTGAGCTAAATATTAGTGTTGTAGTTAAACCGTCGTCGATTGTTGTAACTTCGATACAAAATACAAATATTTGTTTTTCTCAGAAATTGATCCATTTTTCAGTTCTTTATAATTTACTATTGTATTAATTAATTGAAAAAAAGTAGTTATCATTCCTTTTGTTGTGTTGATATTCTGTATTTTCCACATTATTGTTATCTATTAATATTTTTTCATATGGTTCTTCATTGTCGGATGGACATTGTCCACTAAGTCATTTATGGAACAATTTAACATACGATTATCGTGCCATAAAAATATTTATGTACTGTCGATGACGAAGAAATAGTGAAATAGACAAAAAGACGCTATACGTAGTTTCTCGTTTTAATAAACTTTTCACGTTCTCGGAAAGAACTTTCAACAGAAAAAATACTAAAGTATTTTTACTTCTGAAAAATATTGCGGTGTATCACTCTATCTTAATCCTAACTGAATCTGACATTGTTAGACATTGAGGAGGATTATAACGATTAGGCATATTATCATGAGATTTCAAATATTAAAAAACATCAGATCTCTCAACTTGTAGAACTGTAAAAATTATCCTAACACACTTATATCTGTGGTTTGCGACATGGGTACATATTAAACAGTTCAAATCGAAAAAAATGTGTAACACTTTGCTTTCGGTTCAAGATATTTTTATGTTTGAGTCTACATTCTTTGAGTTTTATTCTATCTTTACATTATTAACCTACTTATCATAATGATACGCATGGACACAGAAAAAAAGTTTAACATAGAAAAATATTTTTTTACAGTAACCAAGAACGTCATTCACATCAATGATTTTGAAATGTCTCTCTAACTAAAAATGATGGCTAGAACATTTAATCCTATCTGCCAAATTGTCTTGTATCACATTGAAAAACAACGATAAAATAGATGCAGTTATGAATTTATATAGAATATCAAAAATAAAGAATTGAATCAGATTTATCTTGTTTCTCGACTGTCACCGCCATCATAAACGTTGAAATCAAGATTCAAGGGATGTCATTGCGCTAGACTCAAGGGGGAAACAGCTGACTCCAATGCGTTGGAGCCATGGAGTCAGCTGTTTTCCCTTTGTTTAGGCTTCTTAAAACTTATAAATACCTCAATTGACACCAATAAACCAATAATATCTGCTCGATTGAAGAATTATTGTTCACTATCTTTAATTCTATTCTTGAAATTGCCTACGTGTTCCAAAAATAGGAACTATGAAATGCATCAACTCGTGTGTTGCGGTGGAGATCTACACACAACAGTTAGCGTGCAATTAAATTTGAAGTAGAATATAATTGTGAAGTATTTGCTCAGATTCCCATATATCATTCCTTCTCATCATTATCGTTAACATTAAAAATATGTCTAACTCAACCAACTTAACAGAAACTACTACATTGCTACCAACAACTCCATTAGACATAGCAATTCCTTATATCGGTCGATTTTGGATTTAATTAATATCAGACGTCGCATCTGTCATATGCTGTTCAATCGCGTATCTCGCATCGCCCTGCATAATCATATTATTATTGCTATAACCGTTTTGAATTTTATTTGTTTGAGTACGAACGTACCTTCACTGCTCTACATCTATCGGAATGGTGTTGTATGGCTGGAAGTACCATTTTTTTGTCGTATTTGGAAATTTATTGATGCTGTAACCTATGTCGGAGTAGCTAGGCTCGTTGCTTGGGCATCTATTGAACGACATATTCTGATTTTTCATGATCAATGGGTTTTAACGCGTGCAAAGCGTACACTGATTCATTACATACCTATTATATTGATTTTGGTCTATACAACCATGTGTTATCTCATTATAAATGTTACTATCTCATGCAACATTCAATACTATTAGTCATTTCCATTTTGCACCTATAGTAGCTGTGCATATAATTTTACTTTAGCTTTAGTCGAGTTTGCAACTAGTGGAATACCAAATGCGCTTATTATAGCATTTTTCAGCGTCGGTTTGATGATTCGCGTGATCAGACAAAAAAAAATTGCCTCAATAAAAATCTTAATTGTAGTAAACATCGTAAAATGACAATTCAAATGGTCTCAATAACATCTTTATTTTATATACTATATTTACCACTAGTGATTCGAGCAATCCCAGTTCTTTTCATTGAGCAAACATATGCTGCAAAAATTGATCACGCGTATGGAGGATTTTTCTCGTTTTATATCAATTTTATTCTTCCATTCATTTGTGCGGCTTCACTACCTAATCGTAAAATCAAACTTAGAAATGCGTTCCTGTTCTGGAAGAAATCAAATAATAGAATTGCTCCTCGGAGGTCGACAATATGGTTCACCAGAATACACTTTTCTGTTCGCTAATACTTTCAAAAACTGATGATACGAACGTTTCAATCTAAGTTTCTAACTTAAATATATCAATCGATTTTTTTCACAACTGTAGTTTAAAAATTTATTAATTAATTAAAAAATACAGGAGTGCAAATGTGTGAATAATAATAATAGTGGAAGGTAAAAATAGCACAGATACAATCGTATTGTGTAGTAACAAATTTACAGGCATCTGCACTTCCAATTAGACTATTAACTACGACATTGCTTATCAACGTAGCATTCTCATCTTTAGGGAACAGTTTATCGGGAAGAAGTATCAACATATTATCAATCTGAAATGCAATATTTTCATATAAAACATATTTTGATAATAGATCGTTTGAAATCATGACAGAATGAATCAATTCAGAGATTTCACAATGCAGTTCCGGAAAGCTATTTTATTTAGAATTTATAAGACCGCACTTGTTTGTCTTAATGATTATCCAGCATGATAGGTTGAGAATGATTTGGGAAATATAGGAAAAAATTTGATTAATTTTAAAAATTCGTTCTTACCAATGATATTTAATAAATTGCTATGTAGAAAATGCTCTCGTATTTTATTTAAAAATCAATAAAATCTTTCTTCAGAAAAGTGAATCGAACAGGCAAACTCGAAATTTCAAGCTTCATTTAATCAATTAAGTAGTGTATCATACATAATTATACAATACCGATCTAGTTGAATCCTCATTGAAGGGATTAACTTCTTACAAATCATAAAATATCAACAATACATGATTGGTGACGTGCGAAGTGGAGAACACGGAGTTTTAAAATTTTTAGTTTACACAATTTTCTTTGATTAAAACTGTTTTTATTTTGTTTCAGATAATAGTTATTCAAGTTCTTTGCGGATTCTTTCAAGTGCTTTTTGTCTATCATGTAATTCTGCATCATTGAAATGCGTACTATCAACTGATTTTTGCACATAATCCATCGCTTCAGTAAACCGATTTAAATTCTCCAGGCAAATTCCAATGTTAAAATGTGTTGAAGCTATATCAGCTTGATTCGATTGTGATGCTTTTTCCTGTATTTTAAGTTTTTTTTGATGATATTCAAGTGCTCTTTCGTACTTATCGTCTTGTTGATAGTACATTCCAAGAAGATCATATGTATTTACTAATGATGGATGTGTTGATGATAAATGTTCCAGCTGAATACTTAATGCGTTTTGAAATTTTTCTAATGCTTCATCAAATTTCTCTTGTTCATAAAGTATTTTTCCAATCTTATTATGTATATTTGATATTGTGACATAATCATTTAGACTTTCGCTTGACTTTGTTTGAAGTGCAAGATTATAATATAAGAGTGCGGATTTATAATTTTTTAAACTAAGACAGATCGATCCTAATTGATTATAAACATATATATATTTTGAATCGGAATTAAGTGGTATATTCATTTCATATAGATCTCGTGCTCTATCTAATTCGTTCATTTGAATTAATAATTCACCCAATTTTTCGTAACCAACGAAATCATTAAATTTATTGGATTCAATTTCAATATAACGTGATAAATCGCTTTCGTTTTGATTGATTAAGGCTATATCGACTTTCCAAAAATTTTTTTCTATTTCTTCAATCGCTTCGATATGAAATATTGCTTTGAATGAAAAAAGAATTTCATATTCCGATGGATCAAAACTATGATTTTCTAATGAAGCAAATGGATATGAACTATTTGTTGAATCGATCTTCATTCGAAACAATACAGCTATTGGAAATCCATTTGATAAAGATCTCTGAGCAAATTCATAAGCAACATCGTATTTAGTACTAGTTGAGAGAAAACCATTAAATGAGATAAGACCACCTTGACTTTGTTTTAATTCTTCGAAATATTCCAATTTCATACTAGAAACATAAAAATAGAACATGATGATAGAAAAATCTTAGGAACATGTTGAACCATAAATGTAGGACGAAAAGTGACTTGACTAATATTTAAACATTGATAGAAAATCTCAATTGTACATGACGAACGACAGCAATCGTTTAAGTACTGAATTTAATGTGATTATTTACTCCCGGAATGCTAGTAATACAAGATTCGTGATTTGAAATATTTCTATACCGCTCACCTAACTGAGAGCATCTTACATTTGATTCTAACACGACGGAAACACCTTACTAGGGGTATAACAACTATCAGATCCAAGTTCAGATCAGATCTAAGGAACAACCTGAACAGCTCTTTTGATTGGAACTAAAACTGAACTATCATACTCCTACATCTTCCTACACAATTATTATTATTATTATTAAATCCTGCACGATCCCATCGCTTCTAAATGGCAACAGTTATAAATAGGATATTTGCATAAGAATCAATATATCAAAGTCAATCAAGTAGAAAAAAACTGAATACAAGAAATTCTAAGTCTTAAATTCGCTTTATGAAACATTGATAATACACCAGAATTATTATATAAATGAAATTCTCATTAAAAAAAAAGAAACATAAACGAAATGCTTTACCCTTGACCACGAAATACGTCTACGCTCGATCTGGCTTTTGTTATTGCATAAATTTTCTCTAGTTGTTGATTGATATCATGAATAAAGAATCCCATTTGGCAAAGAATTGTAATATCTTTCGTTCGAATTGCTTTATTAAGCATATGATAAAGAAAACAATCTTTTGTATACCAATATAGAGCATTATCGGCTCTATACTCTTCTTTCAATTCTTTTAGTAATTCTAATTCTTTTGGATTTTCCGAATATAAACTTTCGCAATAGTCAACTAAATCACTAACAGCATCTTTATCATAGGCAACTTCCAGTAAATATTCTTTGAACAATTGATTTTTTATAAATAGTAATTGTTCTGGGCTTAGTTCTTGCATAAAATTTAATGGAGCTGTTTGAAATGTATTTAAATCATTTTCCCATTGTTTAGCATCAGCTTTTAAATGTTCACATATTGTCGATAAATCAGTATAAATACCTTTAACTTTTTTATATTTATCACCTAAATATTCATAATTGGACTTCTGTTGACAATATATATAAATAAGAGCAATTTGAGAGTATGATTCAATTTCTTTCATAATAGCTTCACCAAGTTTACCAGAAGAGATAAGGAAAATGTTTCCATCTTTTATTTCTTCAATCCATTTAACGCATTTTTCCGAATCAGTAAATGTTCGTATAGTACGCGCTACTTGTCGTAACTGAACTTTTGAATTGAGAGTATCATTATCAATATTATCTGTGGTTGCATCAACCCAGACGACAACTATGTTTTCCATGGGAAGATATGGTCGTACAGAAGTTTTAGCCGTTTCAATTTCGAGTGGATCTAAATATAAATTAGAATATTTCATTGAATTGGATACAGTTGCATACGAATCTTCTATGGCCTCTTAGTAGTAAACTGCGTATGAATTATCGAAACTCTTTCTATTTACGAAAACTATGCGAGCCTTGTCGTATATGTTACAGAATTGAAAAGAGATTTACTTATAAAAATAATCAACAGAAGGATCGTAAACAACAAGTTTTCTTCCTTTCAAAACGGAATGCAATTTTTAAGAACATACAAAAATTAGACTTGCATCTGCATAAAACTATCAATTCTAGATCTCGTTTTCTCTTGTTAAACGCGTAGAAGAAAAATTGAAAAATGAATATAGACAGGAAATTCCCTGAAAACGATGAGATAGATAAATTTATTGCCGTATTATTTGAAAAGACGGATATAGTTAATAAAAAAAAACAATTTAACCAATTCATACATAAATGCAGTTTCAAGAAATTTGTTGAGATTCACTTCACAAATACTTTTATCGAGTACTAATTAGATGTAACGGTTCTATCTACTAATCTATATATTATCAAAAGAACAAAAACTACTTACATTTGTCTGCGTTTCGCCCCCTAGGATCAGGTATTGATTCTGAATCGTCATCACTTGAACTACTTTTATTCTCCAAGTGTTGAGCAGTATTGCCGTATGGTTTTGGACTTACTCCAGCAGATGTTGATGAATGGCGAAAGTGGAATTCATCTTCCTGAGTTTGATGATCCTTCTCATTTATTGTAGATGATAATGAAGACGAGTCAAGTTCTTCTCCAGTATGATTATCCGTTAATACCGGAAGATTAATACTTTTCGTTGCCGACGAAATTCTCGATGAAACCATTTCAATATTTTCTTCTGCAGGCTGTTGTGTAGGACTACTTTTACGAGTGGAACTCGATGTTACTGACCTACTGGATGAACGAGCAATATTTTTTGCAGTGGGTTCTTCTTTTGCATTTGCGGTTGCAAAAAAATCTTTCATTGATGAATCATTGGACGAAATAGTACTATCATTTTTTTCAATATAATTTTTTTCATCAGTCGGTTCTTCGAAAAATTCTGATTCCGACGAACTGTTCGATGAAAGATCATTAGTTTTACCGATTGGTTTTTCTTCCGCAGTATTGTTTTGAAACGAATCGATTCTTGGTGAATTAATGGGTGAAGTAGTATTATCACTTTCGTCGATGTGTTCTTGTTTAACATGGACTTCTTCAGAATGCTCCGATTCCGACGAACTGTTCAATGAAAGATCATTAGTTTTACCGATTGGTTTTTTTTCCGCAGTATTGTTTTGAAACGAATCGATTCTTGGTGAATTAATGGGTGAAATGGTATCGTCATTTTCTTCGATGCGTTCTTGTTTAACATGGACTTCTTCAGAATGCTCCGATTCCGACGAAGTGTTCAGCAAGAGATCTTTATTTTTGTTGATGCGTTTTTCATCTGGTGTTGATGAACGCATAGATGATCTCGATATTGGCTTCTTAATTAGTTTTTGTTCGCTCGTTGTGTTATAAAAAGAATTATTATCATTTTCATCTTCAGAAGATGAGCTCTGTGAAGAATAAGGCTTTTTTGCAGGTAACGTTGGCTCAACATTCGTAGTCTTAATTCTTGGTGATGGTTTCAACGAAAGATTAGATTTTTCACCTGATAATGGAGAACGAGTATATTCCGTTTTAGTCAAGTTAACTGGCGAGTCGACAACGGATTTTCTAGAAGTACTCGATGAAACTCTGGATGACTTCCTACTGTCATCTTTTTTGCCTGCAAGAAGAAACAAATTCAGTTTTTAAATATGCATATCTACTATTGTCTTACCTTTGATTGGTTGTTGATCTGGTGTACTTGGTTTGTATTCCTTTAGATTTTCAAATAAACATTTCTAAGACTTTAAAAACAAAAAATGACTCACCATTGTGGCTGTCGAGTGGCTGCTTACTGATTCCTTTCGGTGAAACTCATCATTTTTATTTTTGTTTGGCAATGATGCTGAACTAAGTCTTTTTGGGACTACGTTAGGCTAAAAGCAATTTTTAAAGAAACAATTATCATTCAAAATTATATTTACTTCAGTTTTGAGACAGCAGCGCTCTGTTTTTCCTTTCGGTGAATTTTTTTCGCCTAAAATTCATTCATATAAGATTGAAAAAATAATGAATTAAATTTTTTTTCGAATACTGTCGGTAGATGGACTCGGCGCTCGAGGTAAATCATCAGAATGAAGTTCATTTGCGGATTGAGTAAGTGGAACAACTGATTTTCGATAAGCTGATGCATTGACAGCTGTTGGTGATACTGTCAATGCTCCTTTTAATCGCCGTTCTAATCGACAACTAAAAATAAATATGTAAGAAAATAGATCGGTGCATTTTTAAGTTCACTCACGTTCGGCACGGTTCTGATTTTTTAATATCATATATAGCAAATAAGCCATGTTTACTACCTAATCGAACATGATGTTTATGTTTGTATTCACAACAGACTGATATTCGGCTATCAATAAGCCCATTAATGTATATAGCCACCGCAAATGGATAGTCGCGATGACGACGTGATTCGAATGTGAATATTTCTAAATATTTCTATGTTAGATAAAAATGATAAGATGAAAAATAAGATTTGTGTACGATTTGGTTTAACGAAGCCTTTGAAAACAACAAGATTTTCACCACCACAATGTTGTTGCATTACCATAATTTCATCACCGTGCGGCTGACACCAGTTAGTTCTAGAGTCAATCACTGTTTGTGGTCCATAGTAGATCATTGTCACTTCACAAGGCATATCTTTGGTTGCATGCTAAAAAATAAGTCCAATTGGCATATTTTCTTTTTACAAAATAATACTAATAATTATTCCGATTGAGCTTACGATAATAATTCTCAATAGTCAATTTTCAATCGATGATTTATTCTATAGTTCTTATTAATGAATAGATTAAATCAAAAAGGCGATTAAATTTAACATTTTCAACTCGACAGAATCTTATTATCATTCAGGCTATTCATACAATGAATAATCAGTTATTTAAAAAACTGTACGAATATCCAATTTATAATTTTATAATTTCGCGTTTATTATCAACATTAAATTATTTTTTGATCAATTTAAAAATGCTTATTACCTTTGTCTTAGGTGAACGATGAGGTGATTGAGGTTTTAGATTTATTGCTGGTTGTCCAGCTGATTTTGCTCGAGCTAGTGAACGTTTGTGGCCAATCTATCCAATGAAATAGTTCAAACAATGTATGCAATCATTTTTATTACTAACTGGCGATGGTGTACGAGCTCTTCGATTTGCCACAGGTCTACTAATCTGAACTAAACTGTTGAACATGACTCGTGGTTGATGATGTAGCGATTCCTATGAAATATCCGATCAAATGTAAGTAATATTAATCGAAATCGAATAACAAACTCGAATTTTCTGTACGCGAGCACGTTTTATAGCTAAATCGAAATGATTACGAAGAAATGCTTGACGTCTATGCTCTTCTTCCAAGACACTTTAAGAGAACAAAGCAATAGTGTTAGAAGACAAACTGAAAAATTCTTAATTTACTAATTTGCGACAGCATTGGATAATTTTTCTCGTGATTGTTTACGTTTTGCTCGTTTAACAAGTGCAACTTCATAAGTTACAGGAGGTAAAATATCACCATGACGATTGATCTATTCCAGAATGATAAAAAAAAAAGAAATAGCATTTATTAAAATTCTGCATCGATGAAAATCTATACCAATCCAGCTTTTATTAAATGGCGACGAATACGTTTATTATTAAAGTATGAATTCAAATGTGGATCAGTTAAACTCTGATAATTCCTATCAAACGTGAAAAAACGTGTCTTTTTTGGTAAACGAATCAATAGTTTTTCGTATTTAAACTTACTGTGAATCCATCGTTTAATGTGTTTTTGAACAACTGTTGTGTAAGACGAATGTATTTATACTGCCTCACTTAATGTAGTGAGAAAAAAAAAGAGAATTCTTTTTCTTTCTTTCCAACGTCCATAATGATTTGTTGCTAATAAAAACAGTTCTCTTGCAACGCACAATTCAGCGAGTTTTAAGCAAACAAAGTATAGAACATAAAACAATTGTAAATATTTGATAAAATGTACAGCGATTGAATAGTAAAAATCATACTCTTTTTCATTTCTGGAGAAACATGTGGAAAACAACAAGAAGTCCAAAGAATAATATACCCGAAAATGGCTGATATTTTATGTCATGTTTTTAATTAATAATATTTGACACCGACCGATGGAAAACAGTTGCTTTTGAAAGGTTTTGCAAGAAATTTCAGTATTAAAAAAACAAAGGCACTTTGAAAATAGATGAATCTCTGTATTAGAAACAATAGATTTCTTTCAATAAAATGATATGAGTCGAATTCGAAATATCTATTAGAATGTCATAATGGTAGCGAAGTACAAACATTTCATTTCTACCACCGTTGCATTCTTTCAGCAGCGATTTCCATCACACAAGATATACAAAATAAAATGTATTATAATGAGCGAAGCAGTTGAAATTCATTCGAAGATGAATAACATATTAGATTGAAAACAAAATTATGTCGATGCTTTTTTGAGTGTGAAGATGTTGAACGGCACAAACATACTGCCAATCAGCCTGAATAAAAGAAAAAATTTCTAATTCTATGTAGTTATGACCTATTCTGCCTATAGTAAAAATTGATTTTTTTAGCGCATGTAAAGATCAACATGGCAGAGAAAAAGAGTTCAAACAAAGCTAGTCATGAGCATCAGTTTCAATTAATGTCTAGTTCCATTTAATTAAGATCGTTTTTCTCCAGATGAAATCGGCCAACAAGTTATTTTTTAAAATTCCTGTTAGAAAAAAGTATTTTTTGGATTAGAGAAGTCCAATTTCGTATTAAAATCTCATTCATTTGTTGTTGTCAACCGTTGTTATGTTAAGATGCCGCAGAGAGAAAAAAGCAGAAAAAGGCCGAACGTTTTTTATTCATTCCTGTCAAATAGCAAAAAATTATCATGTTTTATTAAAAAGCGTTTTGTTAACAAGAATAAGCATAATGGATAAAGTTATTCAACCATTATCACATGACAATGATCTTCTCGATACGCAATGGTCTGATATATTCATGCGCATTGAACAAGCAGCAATACCCGATGAATCAAAATTAGTCTTAAAGGCATTTGTTGATTATTTACTAGCAGAACCGATAGATGCATCATTGTCCGATGTAAAAAAAAATGTTAATTAGTAAAGTAATTGAAGATCTACTTAATAGACAAGTATCTATTGAAACGAATGATTTTATTCGCATTTTTGATTCGGCACGGATCGATGAATGGTATTTAAATTTTTTAATAACAGGCTATGAAGACTTTGAAATTGGTGAACGACTATGTTCTATACCTATTAAGATTAATTTAATTGAGAGAATTCTTCAAAGTTTACAAATAAAACATTCATGTTCAATTCAGAAGAAATTGCTGAAAAATAGGAAAGATTTTTAACACAGACTATTTTTTCAAATGAAACAGATGATAAAAATATTTCAAATAAACAAAATATTATGGAACACATGAAAATGAATTTTCAAAAATTTTACAGGTAAAATAAAGAATTCATATTCTTTTATTTGTTGGGTAAACTTTGTTGGGATTGAATTGTATCAGTGTGATCTGAAAAAACTTAGGATCGAAACTTCAAGATATCTCCAAATCCATGATCAATGTCGTGTTAGAGATGTTCATCGTATAAAGAAGTCTATCAATCAACTGATCATTATAAAAATGTGTCAAATTTTAAATTTAAAAAAAGAAATAAAAAAATCTGTATGACTTGAAGTTTACAGTGACACTAGAAACTCTTATGAATACTCAAAGTTACATGTCAGTCTCTGTACTTTTTTTTAGAGTAACCGAACATATTATCTGTTCTACATTGTTTATAAATTCTATGTGTATTACGGGAATTAAGTGAAAAGTCCGACGTTACAAAGATAACGTTAGAAATACTTTTGTTTTACGGTTGCTAACAATCATATCTAAAAATCAATATTTAAGTAACAGAAGAAAATCATAGAAAGAACTGGACAAAAAGCAGGTAAAAATCATTGATTATAAAACATGATAGAGTTTTGTTTTAGATTAAAGCATGTTTCAGAATTGAGCGAGATTATTCATAAGTTTCTTTTCGAAATAAATTTAACTGTATAATGTATTGTTTAGACATGCTGTTCAACAGTCTCAACAATCATCAATATGGTTTAATATTGCAATAACATTAAGAGAATCTTCATCTGAAATCTTGGTTGGTCGTAGAAAGGCCGAAAGGAAAAATATCGAAAGGAAAAATACCGAAAGAAAAACACCGAGAGAAAAATATCGAAAAGGAAAAATGTCGAATGGATAAATGTCGAAAAGGAAAAATGTCGAAAACAGAAAAGATAGAAAAAAGCGACGTCTACTAAATGAAGGTTATAATAGTTTATTGTTCATTGTTGTTGATCTGATTATTCCATTGGTTTGACAATGATAATCCTTGATACTATTGATAAGTAATATCTTATGAAAACTAGCTAAAATAGGCGTAAAATAGTAGACAACGATTAAAATTCTATCATGATGGCTGCAGCTTGCTCATTTTTATCTGGTGAGAATCACCCGCCAACTCCAGTTATTTCATTTATTCAGTCTCAAAAAGGAAAACCTTTCCTTGTATCAGATAAATATATTTTCAAACTGAATAAAATAACAACAACAAGTAAATATTGGATATGTGTATTTTTCTTTATAACTCTTATTTATCTATGATTTATGCTATGAAGCTATTATGATTTCAAGAATAAAAACATCTTAATGCAAATTTTCGACATTTTTCCCTTTCGACATTTTTCCTTTCGATATTTTTCCCTTTCAACATTTTTCCTTTCGGTCTTTCTACGGCACACCGAAATCTTCACCAATGATACAACGTGCGACACGATTCTATCTGATACAAATCTGTTAGCAGAGAATATATCTTCTGATTATATAAAACAATTAATTAAATCATACAATAATGATAATGAAGTAATAAAAATCAACTACATAAAAGTCTTAGCAATGATCGAACGTTTAGCTTTAGGAAATGATCATCATGCTATTTCTTTGCTGTTTTTCAAAATAATTATTCCGAATTTAACTTCAATCGATATGGAGGCTGTACTGTCTTCGGTAATTCGCCTTTGTTCAATAGTTACAGATCGCGGCATTTATTCTGTTCAGAGACCCTCGAATCTTTTGTTTTGACATTAGAGAAGTTATTTGATTTGCGTTTGCCTATTTTGAAATTAAATGTATCTGACGCACCGGATTTATCGTATCGTCTTCCGAGATGAAAAGATTTTTATCCATGGAAAGAATTAAAAAAGGGTATAGTTGAACTAATAAAAATTTGTATTTCATCTAATACAATCATTGAAACAGAGCGTTTTAGTCGTTTAGATAGATTAGAAAGTATTACGAATTTAATATATGATAAATCGCAAGTTTATCCAATTATTTAAAAAAATATTCATGTGATCATTATTGAAGCGATTCTTCAATGGTCAACAATCGAATTTCCTGACAGTAATCATGTTTATCGAATGGGAAGTTCCATATTGAATTTAATTGATTAACGACAAATCAATGAAGATACATGCATGAAATTAATCGATGCTCTACAAGCAAGAATTTATTTTGATAATGAGAAAATTAGTACTAAGGATCGTTTTCTATTTAACCGAAGCTCAATGAAGAAAACAAAACATAGTCTGAAAAGTAATTCGTATGCTTATCTTGTTCAGACAGATAGTATCATAAGAGACCATTCAAAAGACGTGCTACTTATTGATTATATTTCTGAAAGTCTAAATTAATGAAAGATCAATAGATAAAAATACTCGTTCTATGATTGGAAACTGCATGGATTGTTTGAGTCTTTTTTTCTTGGCAATTTTATTGCTCAACTTAAGCAAATTTCACATGAAATGCATTCGAAATTAGCGACTCGGTATGCATCTCTAATCGATCATGCGTGCTCCGATGACGATCATAATATGACGTGTCGTTATGTTGCTTTAACAATTCTAGTATACAAAACAATTTTCACTATTTTAAATGAAAATGATGCTCGTCTTTATGAACCGTTCGTCAGTAGAATATATATGAATTTGAACGATGATGACAAAGTGCTTGTTCATCGAATGTGGGTTAATGCTTGCCATATTATTGGTATTCAAGTACCGACTGTAGCTGCTGATCATATTGAGCAATTTCTTGATTATACATTCAAGAAGAAAGATACGAGTCGTGTAGGTGTATTATTGGTAAGGAGTTTTATGTTCTGAATGAGATAATTTTATATTTTTTGTCATATTGATGGATTGAGGTATTATATTAGGATTATATTCGTGCTATTAATGTCCGTCTATTGATTCATTATACCAACAGAATGAAATTTAGACACATGCTTTTGATGTTCATCTATTATAAAAGAAGAAACTATATATGAGTTCGACTACCTTCAGAATACTCCACCGATTGTTATGGAATATGAATAATATATAATAGTATGTAACTATTCATAGACATTATTTTTGCAGAACGAGTCAGAGTTGGAACCGGACCGGTTGAAATGGTTAGGCCGGCCGTTTTTCGCCGTTTTTTACCGGTCTCAAGAAATTTTTAAGTCGCAACAGTTACCCATGGTTCTATTCTGCAAGATTGTCTTTATATCGACTTCTATATTGACGAAAAGACTAATAATTGACCCGAGAATGCATTCATTGAACTGCTTGGTCAAATTCGTTATCATTTTGCACCTGATCCGGATATGATTTATGAATAATATCGTCATTGGTTCGTGCCACGAGTTGATAACCTCATCTTTTTAAAATTATTATCAACGGGACAGAAAGAAAACAATTCGATATCCTTTAAAGGCATCCCACTAGTAGTTTCTCATCCACAAATAATTATTTCCTATGAATGAACCTGTCAAAAAGATGTTCTTTTCCTTGATAAACAATTAACACAGTTAGGTCATCGCATATGGCGTAATGTATATCAAATGAGTGGTGTTGATTCATTATTTGACAAGTCTACAGCTGCGATTCATCAATCATTATGTTTACTTGTTTTGGTTACACCGAAATATATGAGATCTATTGATTGCCAACGTGAATTATCATTAGCTAATACACTTCATAAACCTATACTGCCATTACTACTAGATGAAATACATATACGGCCGCCTGCCGATCTCGTTTTATCATTATTTCTTGAAAAATCATATATTGACTTTCGACATTCAAATGTACATGGCCGATGGACAGAAAAACAGTTTCATTTGTTACTATCTCAGCTTCAACAACTGACACCAAATGTACAAACGAATAAGCCTCGACATTTACTTGAAATGCGAAAGCCAACGTCTGCTTCTCGGCATAATGGTCATATTGATCAACGACCGAGACGAATTTTTAGTGCACCAATTATCCCTAGAAGTCAAGCATGCTCTCTGATGTAGTGATCTGTTGAATAAATACTTGAACTTGATATTTAGAAAAAGTTCCAACATTCGAATGTACTTTCCAGTCAACTTAATCATCTACCTAAGCAGCAAATAAGAAAAAAAATCTCTACATTCATTCAATGAGAATGACATAAAAATCTTATCTTACACCAGTGTTTAATATGGAACACATAGCAAAAAAATCTAAAGAACTTGATATTTAAAAGCTTCCGGTTACATTCTGCAGTTTATTTTCAAAGCTCATAAAGTTAGAAAATTCTCAATGACATCAGCAGAATAAAAGATTGCAGATCTTGTATTATGTCTCATCTTAAACGATTTATAGAGAAGTCTTATTAAATTGAAATCCCTGAACACCAATTATCGAATATCATTATTAGATTTAAGTTTGTTCACTATGATTTTATTTCGATGGCAAGACAGCAATACAGTAGGAGTTCATCCACTCGTCTACGCCGATCTGCTTTGTTTCGTTATTGTTAATGAATCTAAATAAATGCTAGTTTTTACCAATTGTTTTCTTTATGATCTTATTTACCATTTTCTTCAAATTTCCAATCTTTAAATATTAAGAAACGCCGTAATTCATTTTCACCAATCATTGAAATGATGTGAGAAAATTCGTAAGTCAAAGGTCTAAATTGTTTTTGTGAGTCGACTGATAAGAATAAGGGCGAACTCATTTTCTATTCATAAAAACTCATAACTAACTCTGGAACGCGTTTTGTCAAGCACATTAAACAAAACAAAAATGGATTTATAAAAATTACAACTATTCAATTTTTGTCTCGATTATTATTTCAATCGACTGGGAAACCTGTATTTAGATTGATATTCATATAGAAAGCTAATTGAGATGAACGAAAAATAAGACCTAACAATCCTCAAATTCTAATTACTAAATTATCAACCGTTATGATTTATGCTTAATAAAGTCAAATCTTTACATTCAAGACTTCAATCTTTTTCATTTTAGTATTTCGATTAATTTGAAAGATTCATTTTTTCTATTCAACAGACAACGAAAAATTAGATTAGTCAATTTTTCTCGTTTAAAAAGAGTACTTACTTATTTACATAAAAAAAAGTCAAATACAAAATTTTAATGACGAGTGCGATGTGCCATCAATACAGTTTCTATTAAATAAAAGAACGATACTGTAATCTATATTTTATAAAATATCCTGTTACCATCTTCAATAGCAGTATAAGTGAATGCAATACCGTAGAAGTTTTCGGTATTTGTAGGAAAAAATTGAGTTGTACTATCCGTAATATCTTTTCCATGGATTGATACCGCTGATCTTACACCATATATCTGATTTGTACGGCTAGATGTCTGCATACCTATTGCTAGAAGATTGTACTTAAATACAGGAAATGATCGAAACGAAATTTCAATTGTTTGCCATTCTGTATTGTTTGTTTCTGGCATAACAGGATAACGATGTATTATTTTATGTTGAAGAAAATAAGCTGATATAGCAAAAAGATACAGTGGATCATTACCTTCCCAACTGGAAAAAAGTCATACTGTAATATTAAGTAAAGAACCATTGATGTGGTTCATTTGATCATGATTATAATAGAGAGAATGACTAAGCGGTAGGCCTGAAGAATTTTCGTACCCGAAAAAGTCAGATACACGATCTGGTGTAACTAAATTAGATAGGTTTTTAAGATTTAAAAGATAAAAAAGATAACTAAGAAAGAACTTACAAATGACAGGATCCTTTCGACTAGTCGTAGTTGGACTAATGAATTCTAAGCTAAATGAATCTTCAGTTGGAGTTGTACTTATTTCATCTTCTGATGAAGTTTTATCTTCTGGTGAAGTTTTATCTTCATCAATTAAAGCTGTTGATGTTACTATTAGATCTAGAGTGTAACATAAAAAAATAAGAATCCATTGTATTTTCAATGAAGGTTCACGATTACTGATGTTTCTAACGGTTGTATACGATGTTGAAGTATTGTTTGATTTTGAAACTAGAAATAAATAACACTATCATTTCAATAAATAAACACTCTGTAAACACGTTTACATCGAAATCCTCTAGAAGCCATTATAATAATAGCGATAACAACAAGAGAAAGGCCAGCGGACATGCATCCCACGATTTTCCATATACGTCTATTACCATTTCTAAATTAGACAAGCAGTTTGCTTAATTAATTTTCTAATGAATTCAAATACCTCACTGCAATGAGTTCTGTTACGTTTTGGCGAATCTAAAATTATGAATAAATTGATAATGACGAATACAAAGCAAATTTACCGCCATGATTGATATCTGAGCCATTGTATAAGTGAGCTTTTTCTCTCTTATGATATTTTGTTCAACAAATTGAATGGAATAAATATTTTAGGACAAATAGTTTTTTTTTATTATATAACGGAAGTAAGAAAAACATTGAATTTCATAATCATTTTACTCGCGTAGATTAGATGAATATTCAGCCAGGGCTTTCCAGTTATTAATAACTGTTGTAAAAATATAGAACAAATTATCAACAGGACGACGCAAATAAACACACACATCTGCGAAGAAATTTAAATTCGATTAGAATCTCAAGCAGACTTATTTCTTTTGCAAGTTTTATGACATTGTTTTTTTCTGTATAAGTCACTCACTAGTTGTATTTTGTCATGACAGTTCATAAAACAAAACTAATACAGCATGTGTTTCATCAGTAAATTAAAGACTTTTAACATCATCATGGAAGCTGTAATTGCACACATGATCTAGTCTTTTCCATTTGCCTATAGTACTTTGTACAATAAAATTTTATAGTCAAAAAAAAGTTGACTTAATAAATATCTAGGCAAACAATTATAGTTTGAGCAAATTATTATAGCTTTAAACATTCGCAATTCGTCTTTTTGATATTTTGATAAGATAAGAAAATTAAAATACAACAGAGTATTTGCCATCGAAAATACTTCTGGATGAAAGTCAAAACAACGGTAGAGATATGTTGTATAAGAGAAAGGTGAAGCAGTAAAAGTCAACAGAACCGAATTCATCAAGTACTCGCTGTTAACGTTTTATGAGAAAATTTGCGTTATTATATCGTCACATAGTATTGTTACTTGTCTTCATAACAGAGACCGATATTTTGCAGTATCACAACATTGCTGGTGTGATGAAGAAAAAGAAACTTTTACTTTAATATAACTACGATTTACTAAAGCTTCTGAGTAATTGATTCTAACAATTAAAACATCTATTAAGTTCGTTGATACCATTGTAGAATACACATACTTGTCGGTGATTAAAAGATAGATTCTGCTCATGAATATTTATGTTTTCATTTTGGCTTGAAAATTCTACAAGTATGTGCTTATACAATTACAAATAAATTTCATTCAATTAATCAATTATATGCGACTAGCAATCAAATTATGCAGGAACCACATCTATCTATTGTCACCACTACTAGTTTATTTTTCAGTATTCTCAGTAATTTTAGATTTTTGACGCATTGATCACATTGATTCTCTCGACCGAGAGGAAGCTAGTATAGATTTCGTTTCACAAACATCTTAGAATGCTCTCAAAGACTTCGATTTCTATTTATTCAATTTTAATTTCACGGTGATGCACTTAATAGTTGGATATATTCATTTTTTGTTTTTAATAGCGAACTGCCATACTATGATTTTATATGGTAAGAAGTACGTCTTTTTTCCAATATGTAAAACAAACAGAAGTAGGTGACAAATATAAGCATGCAATAAATAGGTTACATCTTATTGATTATTGTACGTAAGGGAAGTGAGCCCCAGATTCGAATCTTTCCAGCCGCGATTCGCACTAACATCTGTGTTAACTCTAAAACAACTTGTGTTCGATCCAGAATATCAAGCTCTATCGAATACCACATTTCCGAACACCTTACTGTCGAAGAAACACACCTGTTAACCCAAATACCAATTTTTCCCCAGCAACCGCTTCACCAAAAAATACAATTCTAGCCCCGATTCGCTCAACGACTTGTGTTGACTCTGAAAGAGGTTGTGTTAGATGTAGAATTTCGAGCTCTATCCAATGATGCCACTATCAAGGTTCACCCACGAGTAAAACTCATGGTTTTCGGGGTAAAACTGGTCCCAACTAGGTTTTCCACCAGTAACTGCAGGCCCGATTCGCTCAACGACTTGTGTTGACTCTGAAAGAGGTTGTGTTAGATGCAGAATTTCGAGCTCTATCCAATGGTGCGACGTGAAGCGTGTTAAGCGGATAAATGTGAAGGGTTATGACCCTAATACTGATCCGGTTGATGACATCTAGCAGTAACTCCATCCTGTGTGCGCCCAACGAGTTATGTTGAGTGTAGTAGAGATTTTGATGGAGGCAGAGTTTCGAGCTGTATGAAATGATGCCAGTGTGAAGTGTCGTCATTTCATAAATGGGGGAAAGGGTTATAAGACCAATACTGGTCCCGTTGTGGCTTTCTAGCGGTAAGTCCAGCCCGGAGACGCGTAACGGCCTTTGTTGAATATGGTACAGTTTGTGTTCGATGTAGAAGTTCGAGTTGTATGGAACATCAGTAGTCAGAAGGATTTTGATCACGGTAGGAATCATGGTTATTTGCTAAGACGGCTCATTGTTTAGGGTTTTGACGTGTAATTATCGTCTGGATGACTGGGATGAAGTATGGTTTGTGATTTTATAGGATAGAGAGAAGAAAAGCGAGCGTTGCGTTGAGGAAAATTTTTGACTTTGTAGATGGGTAATTTGTGCATTTGGAAGGATGATTTTTGAAGTTTGTGGCAGGGTATTATAGTTTGATGTCATATTTTGTTACGTTAGGGAAGTTAGCTCAAGATTCGAGTTTTTCCAGCTCCGATTCGGGTATATGTTTGTGTTGATTTTTATTTTCGTAGTGTTGGATGCAGAATTTTGCGTTGAATCGAGCAGTGTAATTTTGGAAGGGGGTATCAATTAAAACCTGGGACTTTAGTCGAAAATACTACTTTTTTTTGAAAATATTTTGAAAGTAATTTTAGCCCGGATTCGCTGCTTTAGCTGTGTTGGATCTGAAAATGGTTGTGTTGAATTCGGAATGCGATTCTACATCAAATGATGCTAAATTTTTATGGGGTCATCGACCAAAATTCTTCGACTTGGGTGTTGGTAGGATAGAGGCACGGAGCGATGACTTGGGTGAGACCAGAAATGTTTTGGCCGATGACCCCATAAAAATTTAGCATAATTCGNGCGATGACTTGGGTGAGAGCAGAAATGTTCTGGCCGATGACCCCATAAAAATTTAGCATCATTCGATGTAGAATTGCATTCCGAATTCAACACAACCATTTTCAGATCCAACACAGCTAAAGCAGCGAATCCGGGCTAAAATTACTTTCAAAATATTTTCAAAAAGAAGTAGTATTTTCGGCTAAAGTTCCTGGTTTTAATTGATACCCCCTTCCAAAATAACACTGCTCGATTCAACGCAAAACTATGCATCCAACACTACGAAAATAAAAATCAACACAAACATATACCCGAATCGGAGCTGGAAAAACTCGAATCTTGAGCTAACTTCCCCAACGTGGAAAAAGAAATTCGAATATTGTAGTAGTTTATAGACTTTGCCAGCATACAGCAGCAAGTTAATATGACGATTAAGCTGAAAATAAACTACCTATTTATGACCGTAAATGAATCAAAATTCGGTCCGTAAACGACTACCATAACTTTCGTAAACGGCGGTATACCTCTCACCGTATACGGTACGGACAAATACGGTCGTATTACTGCCCCTGTTAAAACGGGGAAATACGGTGCCGTAAAGGGCTGTATCTTCATGTCAATCAAAAAATGGAGAAAATCTGTTCTCATCATCGATGGCATTGAACTCAACAATGAAGAAACTTTTTGATTCTAGCAATGCAAAGAAGCTCTACATCTTTTCGATCAAAATTTTGAAATATCTACCGATTCGACTATTGATATGGCAATAAAATCTTGTACTATATCAAAAGATTACAAACATGGTATTCGTATTCAACAACGACTTTCATCCAAGTCACGAAATAATTCTTATATTCAAGCTGCATTACTTTGCTTTTATCGTAAGTCATTCACTAATGCATTCAAAATATAAAAGCTGTTAGCGCAATCCCCTTGGGATTAAAAATGTGAAACACGATGTATCTGCTGTTACCAAGGACAGGAAAGCTGCTTTATTCCATATATCTTCGGAACCATTTAATCTCTAACTTTTAGTAGTCAAAATCTCGGTAAGCAAGCTATTGATATATTTTCATGAGATTTTAATGGCCTACAATCAGTAGCCCTTCATTAAATCGTCTGTCATACTGTGCAATGCTTCTGGAATTCGTCTGTCATGGCCTGTGCTGCTTCGGGTATCCGTCTGTCACTGTCTGTGGGAGGGGGGGGTGGGGGCGAATTTCTGTCTATGTACACTCCAACACCCCTTTCAGTTCGTGTTTCATAATAATCTAAATCTATGAGTCCGAGGATGCAGAGAAATTCTCTGGAAAAGCATTTTTCCCTCTAACAAAAGCTTTTCGATGATCGAACGAATTCGGATTTATTTTAATTTGCTTCGATGAGATTTCACGCCCCTCTTCTTTTTGTTTGCGTTCGTTAAGTCTTGAAATAGTCATCTGTTTCTTCCTCTCAGTGTCTGTATTGCCTACGTGTTCTAGATTTCATATGTAATCAAAGATTTGCTTGCTGTTTTTTTACATTTTATGTTTATAAACATTTTCATGAAGATTTATTCCATGACAACTATTATTTTTCGAATAGCAACATGAGTAAATTAAATATTGATTATTATTAAAATGTCAATTAGCGATCTAATATGATGTTACTTATTCATTTTGAGCAAAGGAGGAAATAGGTATTAGATGTGACGAATTTAGATAGAAGAGATGCCAGTGCTGATGGTATTACACTTTATTTAGCTTCTTCATATCATAAATCGCATCATATTCATACAAAGCACACGTTTATATAGTCGATTACAAGAGAGATGAGGAAGAGAGAGAAGAGTAACGTTAAGAAGGAAAAGCAAGAGAATAGAGAGGAAGATAATGATATGGATAGTTAGGACAGAAGAAAGATGTAGCGACTCGTCCATCAAGCGATAGACTAATTAACGGTATGCAAGCATGCTACACAGAAGGATTAAACTCTCTATAACGACGCATCATTCACGATGGTTACAACATCATACGTCTGTCCGATAACATCAATCATAAATTGAGCGTTGATAGGTATACACAACTAACTCTTCTATGATTGTCACATTAGAACTTTAAATATCTATGTAAAATTAGAGTAGCAATGAAGAATTATTTAATTAATTACATGTTTAGGGATGTCCTGATCGGTGGCGGATAATTTCTAATCTTTGGAGATTTCGTTTTTTCGTTGAGACATTTTCAAAAAATTTCTTAAAAATTTCGATAATATTTACGAAATTCTTCAAACTTTTCGAAAGAATCAACGAGTCTCCAAATTCTTTTCTTGCCGATATACCCCTGTGTGTACTCACCTAGAGAGTATCTCACTTGAGAAACTGTGGCATTTGTCATGTGTGAAATAGGCATACTATTTTTCTTTCACAAATGTTTTAAACGAGAATAAGGTTTATTCATTCAATTCTATAATAGAGAAGATTCTTCCATAGTGGAAAATTTTCTATTAAAGCAACATGTTTATTTTCAATAAAAAACAATTGAAAGTGATATATCTGTTTGGAGTAAGATTTCTAGAATTATAGATTTCATTTATATAAATAAATGTATTTCAATCATTCGAATCAATAGAATGAGCTTATCGTTGTGTTTTAAATAAAAATTTCTGAGCAACCGCTTAAAAAATATGTCGAAAGTTAGTAAATATCCGCACTTAGACATTTAACATAATCTCTATTTTGTAACACAAATACAGAGAGCACAATGGGAATACAATGGATACGTTGAAATATAGAAGATTTGATTGAAATATGAAAAGTATGAAACGAATACCGAGGAAACCATAGCCCTTTGATTCTTCTCGATGGAAAATAATGGTACCCAGGAGAGTAATTCCGAGACTAGAATCCTATCGGATTCCGACAAGGGTCAGACCGTGAATATACCAAATATCCATGGATTCCAATAAAACCAACGAAATCCTATAGGATTCCGGGATCAGGACCTACAGTCGGATCCTTGGTGTAGGAATTCCATAGGATCCAGTTTTGGAAATTAACGGAATCCGACATGATCGTATGACCCTAGTGTTCTTATGAGAAAAGATGCATATTCATCCGTAATTAAGAAAATGTTTTTTTCCGTCGGAACCGACAGTCAATCCGTAACCCGGAATCCCATCGGATTCTGTTGGGTGATAGGATCCGTCATAGGATTCATTCACCTGAGATATAGTTCTTTTGGATTAAACATAAATTTATTTTTCTACTTGTAATTTTGATTGAAATGAAATTGAAAACAAAATTCAATTATCTCTAGTTGTTAAAATAATTCTACTTACATTTTTTGAATAAACATTAAAATTAAAATTATAAGATAAGCCTAAATCAGCATATTTAACGAATTCTAAATTGAAAATAAATTCTATAGAAACAATATATATTACCTCTTCAGATCATTCTATTGTAGATTGTTAATTGTTGTTTAATAAATGAATGGAAACCATAGAATAAAACAGAATAATGTTCAAACTGAAAACAATTGAAAATTGCCATTGTGATGGATTCCGATAGATAGACTTATTATGATTCTTTCATCTGCACAGGTGCAGATGAAACACAAACGATCAATTAGTCGAGTATACGTCAATATATTTCTGTATGACATAATTGATTTATCTCGATAATGATGACTACTAATTGTAACACTGTCACATTGTTGATCATATCCCAGATCGAACATGCACGGTCGTATACGACGGTAAATCGCCGTATTTGGTCGTATTACAAGGCTCCGTATTACGATCGTAAATCTCCGTGCCGTATACGGCGAAATACGGCGCTTTACGGTCGTTTTTGATCGCATTTCACCGTATTACGACACGGAGACTTACGATCGTAATACGGAGCCATGTAATACGGCCAAATACGGCGATTTACCGTCGTATACGGCAGAAAACGGCCGTATACGGCCCGTGTTTCACCGTATACGGACGTCGTAAAGCTCGTCCTGGGCGCAATCACCCAAAGTACAATTGATAGCTAATATCAAGTGTCTATTTCAATTCACCAAAAAATGACTATAAATAGTTACAATTTTCAACGTAAAGTATCATTCCCCTTTTTCTTCTTCTTCTTCTTCTTTTATTATAATACTATGTATATATATTTTTTATTTTTTAACTATTTTAGCTTCTATTCATATTCACAATTATCAATATCACGGGTAAGTATAGGTTTAGTTCTTTTAATTTGTTTTTTCGTTGTCTCAGCTTTTTACCCCATTTGTTTATTTTAATTTTATATGATAATAATTTTTTTATTTTCTATTTCAGTAACAAAAGTAAGTATTCTTTTAATTAAATTTTTAATATGTCCTACGGAGGCCTTCCATACATCGGCGTGAAACTGGCCAAGTCAATCTTCGTGCCCATAGCACGTACAGACCGCATATAGATCTCCCTGTTGTATGTTCTATACACGTCAGATCTATGCCTGTACGTGAAGAGCCTTGGCTCTCTATGGCACCGCCAAGGTAGTTCTTGGTCGCGCGAGCGAGTAACTTATTAGCTAGTAAGCAAAAGAAAATTTTTTTCATTCCAACCAATTCATTTCTTCTCGATTTCTTCAACAGCAACGTAAATATAATTACTTTCACTTCTCTTATTGCAAACAAATAAAATGAATTGTTATTTTTATGTTTTAGTTCCATTCAACAATTCAATTCCATCCAAACGAAAATATTTACAACTGTGTATTTTTTCAAGTAGTTTTGTAACTTCCGTTCTTTTAATTTTTAAAATAAACATTATTCAAATAACTCAAATTTTTTCTTTTCATTTGAATAATACAAATTTTCATTTAAATAATACAAATTTTATTTTTTCATTTAAATAATAAATTAATTAATTTTACTACTAAAATATTTTATTTTACTAATACTTTTTTTCGTTTTACTAATAAATTTTTTTCACTTTAAGAATGAATACTTTTGCGAAAAATAATTTTTATTTAATTCATTTCTTTTATTTGAAGCGAAAGAGTAAAAGAAGATTTCTTTTTTTTGTTCATTTATTTCAAAGTATAGAAAAGGAAACGAAAAATGAAAAAACAATTCACAAGTCTTATTCGATAGAAAATCGTTGAACACGATTATTATTACTATCGGCGACATAGAGATTACCTTGTCGATTGAAAGACAAACCAACGGGATAGTTGAACTGATTTGCTCGTTTTCCTTCACCATTTCCACCCACAATTACAGTGCCTTGTTTCGCTCCTTGAGTCCAACGCATTACACGATGATTCCCCTGGTCTGCTACATAGAGTGTACCCAACGTATCAACGAAGATTCCATTAGGATCAGACAATTGTGTCAGAGCATTCCCTTTGCCTTGTCCTCCAGCGACCACAATACCTTCTTTCGCACCTTCCACCCATTTCATCACACGATGATTGTTCCAGTCTGATACGTACACTGAATGATCTCGATCGACAAAGAGATATGCCGGCACGTTGAGTTGACTGAGTCCATCGCCTTTGCCGTTACCACCAGCTACGAGAGTGCCATTCTTCTCACCCAATTGATGTCGTCTTACTTCATGTTTTCCGCGGTCAGTGACGTAGAGATATCTCTGTTCATCCATTGCTAATCCCCAACAATCGATGTTGTTGATGAGTATTTCATCTTGTGTTGTACCACTACGACGAGACCATCGTACAATTCTGTCATTCCCCCAATCGCAAATAATGAGACTATCCGTCTCGTTGTCAAGTAATACATCAGTTGGCCAATACAATTGATGTGATCCATTTCCTTGGCCTTTACCACCGATTATTCCAGCGGTCAGCAATAACCACTGTTTGATCATCATCAACGCAGAGACCACGAGGCCAGTGGAGTTGATTTGTGGCACCACCTTCTCCATGACCTCCAGCAATAGTCATTCCGTTCTGTGTCCACGTGGCATTCGCAGGAATATTAACTAGAAGAGAAAACGTAAGAATAAAAGGAGATCTTTCTCTTTCTCGAGTATAGCTAGTATATGAAATAATTTCGAAAGTATCGAGTAAAATTCTTTGAATAGATCATTCTTTTTTTCTAGAAATTCCTCAGAATAATTTTTTTCTATACTGGAAGATTATTCTATAGAATGAATATAGCATATATTGTTCTCTCTAATGCTCTTTTTTTGCGATTAAATCATAGTATCTTGTTATGTTTAAAATGAGATTTTTTCCATCAAAATAGTTCTATAGACGTTTATCTTTTGCTTTGTATTTTTGAGATGTTATATACATGCGAGTCTATATTTTCTACGAACAGACAAACATTCAATAATTATATAACGATTTATTTCTTATATGAGCTTATTATACGCGTTGTATTATTTTCCTATGATCAAAATATATTTTTGCTAGAATCTTTTTTGTTCACTTAAATAGAGCATTTCTTACTTCTAGAATATGTTTGTGTGCCAAGAAGTAAGTCCCTCGTAAAGGACGAGATTAGATAGGGATTATATGAACCACTGAACGTCCACTCATAAGTCATAGAAATAATGGACATCCTTGTATATGACGACACATAATCACCCACTGAACAATGCGTAATCGTTCCCTGTATCATTTTCTCCCTATATATCTTTTTGTCTCTATGTATCTTCTCTCTCTCTAGTAGATAAACTCGCGTTATATGTGAAATAGACAGCAGTATAAGAGCGACAGTGTTGGATAGTATTAGAGCAGTAGAAAGGCCGTTGAGTCGAGTTCACTTCTAAACAAGTCAAATTCCAAGAAGAAAGTTGTGCTTTGTAATACGTACGATTGTATTCGGTTGTATTGAAAGACAAAACACAGAACTCATTTTGGACAAGAATAAACTCATCGTGTGGAATTGTTGTTAATATTATACACACAGTGGCTAAAATATATAGCTGATACTGATCTACACTTTGCTGTCCATCATCCTATCAGGATATATACGCAATTCTATATATCTCGATAGTTATTTGAAGAATATTTACGCGACCTAAATATTTTTTCGTTACAGTTTGACCTATAATTAATAGAGCAATAGAAATATATTGGAATGAGGAATAATTCTTATTTAAATAAAGTATAAAATAACTTCATGAAATATTATATGTAATTTATACAAATGATTCAATCGCAAACACGTAGCACAGTATAATTCTGATTCTGAAAATGGTATATGTATAAACTCAACCTTCTAGCAACGCATTGAAGCAGTTAAAAGAATTTAAAGTTGTCTTATTTTTCTATAGTCAATAAATGGTCCAAAGAACGAAAAATCCTATATCTCTTATCAATAACATTATCATATTGAACTGCTGCATACGATTGGGTTAAGCTGAACAAAGGCGTTATATCTATATTATGAATGGTGATACAACGATATGTATTATTTGTCTGCTCTAACAATGCTGAAGTCCATCATTCATGAAAAATTATATATGCAAGCACATTATTGGTATATGTTCATTAGATTAAAATATTGGAAACCTTCACCTATCATTGAAAGAAAAAAAGAGCTTCATTGGTAAAATAATCAATTATATATGTTTCTTTTCTTCTTGTCAATTGTAAATAAAAATAAAAGTAATGCAGTTTTTCTCTTTTTAGTTACTCATTTAATATTATAAAATTGTTTAAATTAAGTTTTCTTTGCTCGATCGTTATACTGCTAAATCATATTTATCTTATTGTTCATTCCAAAAATTTTATCGCTGACATAAATACAAGCTAATATCTTTTATTAAATTCTATATAAATTATTCTGTGGCATTGGCAGGAAGATTTGCTAGAAGAGAAAACGTAAGAATAGAATGAGATCTCTCTCTTTCTCTCTCTTTCTCTCTCTCTCTCTCTCAAATATAGCTAGTATATGCAATAATTTCGAAAGTTTCGAGCAAAATTCTTTGAATAGATCATTCTCTCTCTCAAGAGTATTTAAATTCTATATTTTTCTAGAAAATCAAACTTAAAATAATTACATATCTAGTTAACCCAAGCAGACATTAAAAAGTCATTCAATCGGAGTTTCAAGTGATGAATTCTATCTATTTCTTTTGTGTGGGTGTATCGCGAGATAATTAATCAAAACTCTTGTAAGTAGTACACAACCAAGAATACTAATGAAAGAATGTTTTGGACAATACCAACTTGTAATAATTTATTCAACAATAAGTTTATAGCGAAACAAGATAGCAATATTGCACTGCTAATAATATATGC